GTTGTGGAGGTTGAAGTTCCCTGGCTTCCCACAGCTGCCTAAATCTCCTCCTCTCCCAAGTCCTTCCCAGGCAATCTGAGACTACACCAGGGCACCTGTCTCCGCTCCTAGCTCTTCATACCTCTCCTGGTTCTTGGAGACCAGGGGGAAGGGGAGTTTTTTGCAGCAGCAGGAGGAGACACCCATGCCTCTTCCCCAGCCAAACTCATCTCTGCCTCTTGGCCTCCCTCCTCTTCTGCTTCTGGACCTCTCTGCCACAGACTCCTCCTGCTCACTAAGCCCTGTTACTTTTTCCTCTTCCCATTCTTCTCCCTCCGACCACTCATTGTTGTCCCACTACCACTCCCTGGGCTCTGAGCCTTCTTCCCTTGAGGGTTCCCCAGCTGGTTTCTCCTGTCATTCCTTTGCACCAACCAGTCCATGACAATTGTTTACACCAACTGGCAGAGGCTGTCTCCAGATTTTCACCCAGGGGGCATCCTCAACCCAACTTGGGGATGCCAGGGATGGAACCATGCACAGCAGGTGCTCCACCACTGAACCGCCGCCCTTCCTCTAAATGAAGTCCCACGATCATTCTCCAGGACATGCCCTTCCTTCTGTACATGCTGATCAGTGGGTAGAAAAATGCCTCATGGGACTTTTGCACAACCCTGCTTTCCCCCACCACACTGCCCCATGCTGGGTATGTGGATCCTTTGCCAGGAATGCCGCAGTGTGCCAGACCACTGGATCAGCCAGAGACCCCCCTCCATACTTCACCTTCACCTGGTCAGTGGACCATCCCTGCAGAGGCACATATGAAAAGCACCACTCCTGCTGCAAGCAATTGGTTTGCCAGCCAGGGCCTTAGGAACCTAGGAAGTTGCCTTGCACCCAGTGGCAGACCTACATTTCTGGAGCCCCAAAGCTTGAACTGTTATAGGGGAGACCTTTGCAACCAGCATCGAGTTCTGGGTAACCACGGTCATGTTCTTCAATGGGGTTTACTTACAACCACCTTTGCAACATCTGAGCTACTGACTCTCAGACTTTGGGATTGTTGAAATATAGACAACATAAAATCAATTTGAGTTCTGTGACTCAAATTGGGTCTACTAGAACCAATTTTTTTAAGCAATGTGGACTGAAGTTGCTTCTAGGGCCCTTCTGGGATTGGGGTCGCTGGGGTCCCTTTCTGGAATTGTGGTCCCTGGAGCCTAAGCTTCATTTGCAGAGGGCCTTCTCGGTAGTGGCACCCGCACTGGTAGTGGCTCCCACCAGATGTCAAAGAGAAAAACAACTACCAGACTTTTAGAAGACATCTGAAGGCAGCCCTGTTTAGGGAAGCTTTTAATGTTTACTAGACTACTGTATTTTAATATTCTGTTGAAAGCCACCCAGAGTGGCTGGGGAAACCCAGCCAGATGGGCGGGGTATAAATAATAAATTATTATTATTACTATTATTACTATTATTATTATTGTTGTTGTTGTTGTTATTATAAATCCATCCCGGCTGCACAGTCAAGCCATTGCTCCATCTAGCTCAGTATTCCTTGACTAGCAGATGCTCTCCAAGGTTTCTGATAGGGGGGCATTTTCAGCCGTATCTAGAGATGCTCCACCACCAAACTTGGGTCATTAGTGAGCAAAAGAGCATCTTGGGTCATTAGTGAGCAAAAGAGCAGCCAACTGGGGCAGAGATGGAGAGGGAAAGGGTTTGGTGCAAGGAACCACCGCTCTGACTGCTGCCTGCACACAGATGGGGCATGAATACAGCCATGATGTTCCCTGCAAAAGCAAATACCTGTAGAAACAGCATGAAGAGGCCGGAGGGGGAGGGGAGAGAAGGGGGGAAGGCGTGCAAAACTGTAGAATCTGCAAAATGAAGGGAAAACATATATTTCAATATTCTACTGCAACCCCCCGACCATGAACCCAGCGCATCAAGCACTGTTGGGTTTGGCTAATTTTCAAAGCGATAAGCTTGCTATGTTGATTTAAACCTTGCCCATTAACCCTTATATGAAACCAAGCATTTGACCTTGAGGGTGATTGATCCCCTTGTCCATCAGGGAAATGGTCTCCCCTCCTTGTGTTATGTAACCTATTGGTGCATGCCCCCACAATCTCTGAGCGGTATAACAACAACAACAACAACAACAACAACAACAACAACACGGTTTTAGAAGTGAGTCCGTAAGTGACTATGGAGGCCAATTCTGGATCCACACGTCCTTCCACAGCAGGAACACAGGTTTCCTGGCAGGAGTTGATCACGGTGAGGGTTTGCCAAGCGTGCCTTCCTCTTAGCGCGTTTCTTCCTTTCGTCCTGAGTTCGAGCGTCTTCAAAGCCCATGACATCTTTGGTAAAGGCTGTCCTCCAACTGGAGTGCTTGCAGGCCGGTGTTTCCCAGTCGTTGGTGTTTATACTACTTTTTTTAGATTTGCCTTGAGACAGTCTTTCAACCTCTTTTGTTGACCACCAGCATTACGCTTCCCATTTTTAAGTTTGGAATATAGTAGTTGCTTTGGAAGACGATCATCAGGCATCTGGACAACATGACCAGTTCAACGAAGTTGATGTTGAGGAATCGTTGCTTCGACACTGGTGATCTTTGCTTCTTCTAGTACACTGGCATTAGTTCACCTGTCTTCCCAAGTGATGTGTAAAAAAATAATTCGGTCCAAGATGGTGCCGGTTTGAGGAAGGACATCAAGAACCTAAAAGGAAAGCATGAGGAGTCTTGCAAAACCCCTTAATGTGAGTCTCCTCCTCCGTCTTTAAGCAATTAGGACAGTCTCTGTCTCTCTACCATGTTTATGCATCAAAGCTTCTTTTGAAGCAGCCTCTTAAAGCAGGGAAAAGTTGTTTCAATTGGTGCTTTGTTCTGCTTAACATAAGAGCACAACATGAGTCTGCTGGATCAGGCCAATGGCCCATTGAGGCCAGGATCCTGCTCTCTTATATTTTCTGAGAATCCTCCGGAAAAATAATCTCTCAAAGGACCTGTTGATGGCATTTTACAATTGTACTGTTCAGAGTGTGTTAACTTATGGTCTCTGTGTGTGGTGTGGGAGCTGCACGGTCAGGGGGGAAATCAATGCTGTCCAGGGTTATAAAGACTGTGGAGAGAATAATTAGGTGCACTCTTCCCACCTTGGATCAAATCTATGCTTCCAGGTGTCATAAGAAAGCTGCAGAGATAGTGCAGGATAGTGCAGACCCCGGAGATGATCTCTTTCTGCTTCTGCCTCTGGAAGAAGGTACAGGGTTATAAAGGATAGGACTAGCCGCCTGAGAAACAGTTTCTATCCAAAAGCGATTTTGGTTTTAAACGCAGTGTAAGGTAGTCTTTATGTGAGTATATTATATTCAATTATGGGGTATCAGAGTTTTTAGGGGCTAACCAGGCAGGGATAGCAGGCTTGTTGGTTTTTGAATGTCTGCTGTAGATTTTTTCAATTTCGTTGTTCTGTATGGGACAATGGCAATAAAGATTATTGTATCGTATCACAGTGGCCAACCAGATGCCTGTGGGAAACCAGCAAGCAGGATTGTAGCACAAGGGCAACTCTGCCTTCCTGTGGTTTCTGGCAGCAGGTTTTCAGGAGCTTTGCTGCCTCCAACTGTGGAGGCTAAGCACCGCCTTCCTGGCTGGTACCCATTGATAGCCCTCCTCCCTATGAATTCACCTAACCCTCTTTTAAAGCCAAATGGGCTGGTGGCCTTCCCCGTTTCTCTTTTAACAGGCTTTTGGGGAACTGACTGCTTTTACGGAAAGGGATGGTGCCGCAGTGTTCATATTTGCATTGTTTTAATAAAGAAAAATCTATCAATGCTTATTGTTTTTATTATTGGTCCCCCCCCCCCCCCAGGTTTTTAACTATTGCTATCTTTATCTGTAAGCTGCCTTGAGTCCCTGTCAGGGAAAATGTGAGGTGTGAATAATGATATTATAATTGTTGGCTCAAATATTTTAAAATGGGTGTAAAATGAGATTTCCCTGGATGCTCAGGGTTTGGGCAAGTACTGTTTGGTGAGAGAATTCCAGCAGAAATCTAAAAGCACTAAAAAGCAGCAAAGTAAAACATGGAAATATAGGCTGTTATACCTTTAAAATATGCCCTTGTGAGTTCCACATTTTCCCTCTTCCCCTAGCATCGAAAAGGACAACACATTTGGTAAGTTAAAAATGGTTTGGTTACAAACTCTCCAAAGGTCAGATTCATGTGCTTCTCCTTACAGCATTCAGGAAAAGTTGCACAGGCAGTAAAACTTGGCTTAACTACAGTGGGGAAAGTTCCTAAATTATAGGAACTCAAAAATGGCTTCGGAGAGCCATGTGGCTGAGCTGCAGCAACCAGCTTAGGCTCTTCACCTGCCGAGCTTCTCAGGTAGACTGAGGGGGGACAACGGCCCTCCCAAGGTGAACTAAGCCTAGCAGGACAGATTACTCAGTGGTTTTAAGAGAGACATTTTGTGACAACAACAATAATAAATAGTTACACCTTGGCTGCGTGAACCCGTTTCCTGCTGGCAACAGACCAGTGCAGCCAAGGCAGGATCAAACCCTTCTGCCCATCAGATGATGTCACCAGTGATGTCACCTGATGGACAGGTGGGTGTGGTTTGGGGGCCTGGCAGGCCACACTGGACCCCCCCCCCCGGCCAGGGGAGCTACAACATAATTCCCCATAATGCCCTTTTAGTGACTGGTAAATGGGACCAAAATGACGCTTTGAGATTTTTTGCCCATGCCATCTTCTTTCTAGCAAACTTTGCAATTTCCCCCTTATCTAATAAACCTTTAACTCAATGTCCTGCACATATTTACTTTTCCCTTTCTGTTGTTTGCAGTCGCTTTTTTGGACCCAGAACAAATATTGCAGGCCTCCTCATGGGCCGAGAATGGGAGGCAGGGGCATCATCTTTGTATAAATGGGAGCTCTGCTGTGGCTCCTTCCACCCTTCCTTCCAGCACAACCCTCCTCCCTAGATCTTCTGCAGGTGAAGCCATGAGATCACTGGTAGCTCCAGCACTCCTGGGTCTGATCCTGGGATGCATAGCAAATGCAGCTGTACTCCCTACCCTCCCTCAGGGAGAGTTTCCTGCTTGCGATGACGTTGAGACGGAGCACATGGCAGACTTCGCAGTGAACTACATCAACGCAAAAAATAACCACGGGTACAAGTACGCCCTAAACAGGATCGAGAAGGTCAAGGTTCTCCCTCGGGTAAGTGCTTCCTGGCGGGTGGGGAGGAAGGTCATTCTCCAGATCATACGAGGTGTGAGTGAAGGCTATGTAAGATCTTCAACTGTGCGGCACCCGTCCAATACCCTGCTTCAGAACAAAACCTTCATTATGAGGTTTCATCATAAAAATAATCTTATTTTTTGCACCCCACTCACCTGACTGGGTTGCCCCAGCCACACCGGGCAGCTTCCAACATATAAAAACATAATAAAACATTAAACATTAAAAACTTTGCTATACAGTGGTACCTCAGGTTACAGACGCTTCAGGTTACAGATTCTGCTAACCCAGAAATAGTACCTCGGGTTAAGACCTCAGGATAAGAACAGAAATCACGCGGCAGCAGGAGGAGGCCCTACTAGCTAAAGTGATGCTTCAGGTTAAGAACAGTTTCAGGTTAAGAATGGACCTCCAGAATGAATTAAGTTCTGAACCCAGGGTACCACTGTACAGGGCTGCCTTCAGATGTCTACTAAAGGTTGTATAGTTACTTATCTCCTTGGCTCAGGGGGTCGAATAACTCCATACCCTCCAACTTTTCTCCGATGAGAAAAGGGATGTCCTAAGGAAAAGCGAGACATTTAGGGATCAAATCAGAAACTGGGATGGCTTCTGTAAATCTGGGACTGTCCCTGGACACTGGGAGGGTCTGTGGGTGGCTTCCAAGAGATATAAAAACATAATAGAACATTACACATTAAAAAGCTTCCCTATACCGGGCTGCCTTCAGATGTCTTTTAATAGTTATATAGTTACTCATCTCCTTGACATCTGAAGGGAGGGCATTCCACAGGGCGGGGGCCACCACCGAGAAGTCCTTCTGCCTGGTTCCCTGTAACCTCACTTCTTGCAGTGAGGGAACCGCCAGAAGGCCCTCGGCGCTGGACCTGTGTCCAGGCTGAATGATGTGGGTGGGGACGCTCCTTCAAGTATACTGGGCTGAGGCCGTTTAGAGCTTCAAAAGTCAGCACCAACACTTTGAATCGTTTATTCGATGTTGGTTTATTTCACTACCAACCTTCCACTGAGAAGCTATTGGGGTTCAGTGTACCCACACGGACGATGGAAGCTTTGGTGTGGATTGCACCTGGGCACGTCTTACTCCGTTGTTTAAAGGCATCCAAATGTCTTACTGTCCAGTGAGTGTCCCTATTGCATTTGGAAGATGCACATCTACCCAATTCTGAAGTTGTGCATGTCCTGAATGGCTCACCGAAAGTGTTGTGGGAATGAAGGGGTGGCAGTTATGCAGAGGAGACCCACTGAAATTAATTGCCCTAATTTACTCATGCACACTCGTTTCAAGAGGTGCCGGAACGCACCACGAATACCCGCCTTGTTTTCTTATAATGGCAATGGTGTCTACCTGAGAGGTGTTGGAACTGAGTTCCGGCTGGAAAAAAAGCCCTCAATATAATTAGTTGTACTTAGCTGAACACCACTCAAAGTCTGCACCACTCTCAAGGAACATCCACTTGTTTGTTTGTTTGTTTGTTTGTTTGTTTGTTTGTTGCATTTATATACTGATGGCTCCAATCCCCACTCAGCCATGAAGCTCACTGGGTGGCCTTGGGCCAGTCAGTGCCTCTCAGCCAAACCTACCTTGCACAGTTGTTATGCGGATTAGATGAGGGGGTTAACCACATATGCCACCTTGAGTACTTTGGAGTAAAAGGTGGCGTAAAATGCAACAAATAAATTAATTAAACATAAGCTTCAAGAACAGGAAAGAAGCGAGCCAGGCTTCCAAGAAAGCTTCATAATGCCAGGAGTTCAGAGTAAGTCTCTACAGAAGCTCTCAGACCAGGAAACATTGATAGATTTCCCCTTCATCCTGCCCTCTTCTCTTTAAGGGGGCTGGAAGGAAGTACCAAAGGCAATGACATACCATTTTGAAGAAATTTCTGTTTTGGCACATCTGTTAAGAGGGGAACTGACACCGTGAAGCACTCTATGGATTAATAATAATAATAATAATAATAATAATAATAATAATTTATACCCCGCCCATCTGGCTGAGTCTCCCCAGCCACTCTGGGCGGCTCCCAATCAAGTGTTAAAAACAGTACAGCATTAAATATTAAAAACTTCCCTGAACAGGGCTGCCTTCAGATGTCTTTTAAAGATAGGATTTCCTGCTTATTTCCTTCACATCTGAAGGGAGGGTGTTCCACAGGGTGGGCGCCACTACTGAGAAGGCCCTCTGTCTGGTTCCCAGTGGGCCTTTTAGCTGTATGCTGGTTAAATAAATGTAAACAAGTTTTTTTTAGTTTTTTTTAATCTAATCACCTTCTCTCATTTCCTCCTCCACAGAGGCCGTTTGGGAAGATAGCCTTCCTTGAGTTGGACTTATTGGAGACTGAGTGCCATGTGTCAAACCCACTGCCTGCTGAAAATTGTACCATAAGGCCACAGACACAGCATGTGAGTTCCTGGACCTTTTGCTAACCTTGTGGAGAATTTAAACATGGATTCTTGGGTGCATGCATCATATCTTTATTCAAATTAATAGCAATAATAATAAAGGCATGTCAATACAGGCTGACTGCTTGGAACTCAACTGTCCTGCTCACCAGGACGGTGCTGATTTTACTTTTCAAAGTTGCACCCAACAAAAGTTTAATTTACACAGCAAGCGTTCATACTCAGGATCCCTTAACATTCTAAGGCATAACTTGCCTGAGCTATATAACCTCAACCAAGTCTCTTGATTGAGAGCGTGGGAAGTGCCTTTATGGATCAAATCAAGTTCCACTTACTCAACTACGCATTGCAAGGATTTGAGCAGGTACTAGGTTGTCCACAAGAACAACCAAGTTACAATTTAATGGACGACCAGCCGCTAAAGATTAGTCTGATTCATTCCAGTGGAATTCAGCTAACCCTAACCTTTCCCAAACCTCAGCGGGTGATGATGTCCAACATTCAAGGTCTGTGACTCAGTGATGGAGCCAGTGGTGGAGGAACCCTCTCCGGCACCCGGGGCAGGACGCCGATGGGCGGGGCGAATCACCTGGTGGCGCACACACGGCGTCCATATGGACTGTGCATGTGTGGCATCCCGTACAGAGTGCGCAAGCGCAGCAGCTCACGCGGCGTCCGTATGGGCTGCCGCTCACACACACCATCCATACGGGTGTCCGTACAGACTGCCGCACAAGCGGCATCCCATACGGACTCTGCATGTGCAGCATCCCGTACGGAGTGCGCACGCACGGCAGCCCGTACAGACACCCATATGGACAGCGTGCGAGAGCGGCAGCACCCATACTGACTGTGTGTGCCCTCTGGAGGGAGGCAGGGGCCATCTTATCACACACAACCCCCCAGAGTGGCACCCAGGGTGGATCACCCCCTCTGCCCCCCACTTCATACACCCCTGGGTGGAGCAGCTGTTTTGCATGCTGAGGGTTCTAGGTTCATGGAGTCACAGAATTGTAAAGTTGGAAGGATCATCTAATCCAACCCCCTGCAGTGCAGGAATATTTTGCCCAATGTGGGGCTTGAACCTATGACCCAGAGATTAAGAGTCTCATGCTCTACCAGGTGAGCTATCCCAGACCTCCTAATTTTCCATCATCTCCTTGCCTGAAACCCTGGAGAGCCACTGCCTGCCCTTGTACACAGTAGTGAGATAGATAGACTGACTCTGCATAACCTATTGTGCCAAAATTTGAATTGACAGTGAAAGTTGATTGTGTTCGGGATCACAAACACATCCTAAAATAATAATAATAATAAAAATAAAAATACAACCTCCCAAAACCTAAATATTTGCCACACATAAAAGCTTTAGTGTTTGAATCTGTGGTCTCAGATTTAAAATCTGGACTCCTTTGAATTATATGGTACGTCGTCCAAGTTCTATTTCAACTGGTCAAAGTACAAGACAGAAACTAAGTAAGAAATTCAAATCTATCTCATTATTTCTAGAACGGCATCTTTTCCCACTTTGACTATTCGTGGAAGTTGTGCCGTGGCTCCTTTGTTTATAATTGTCAAGTGCATTGGCAATTCTGGTAGCTTATTACAATTTTCTTTAGTGTGGGCCTTCCAGCCTGAGGGAATTGTCATACAAGTTTAACAGATGGATTAAAAAAAAAAAATGTGTTGACTAATATCAACAATGTGGCTAGAGAAGCAAACAGAAAAATGATCATGGTGCAGTCTTGTAATGAAGTCTACCCAAGTCCACCATGCTCTTTTTAAAAACACCTGTTCATAAGGCATGGCTAGAGGGCTCAGGTCAAGGTCCACTTAGTCCAATGGTAGTCACAAGAATCCAAAAAATCTGTTGGCAATTGTCATCCAATATAAATGGTTAATTGTGTATTTATGTGCACAATAAACTGGCTATATTAGTCACCGGAGCATCTGGATAGCCTGAAGGTATGGGGAGCATTATTCCAGTTTGCAAAAACTTCCCAGTTTGCATTTCAAGGCATTTCTTACACACTATAGGTGACCAGGCCAGTGACTGTTTGCTAGGCTGGGTTTAGTCCCTTTTGGGTTCAGCATCTGGGAGACGCATAGCATGTGTACCAGCCTTGGCCCACCAGGCATTCCCCAGGTATTTTGGACCAGAGCTTCCGACAGTCCTTGTCAACACAGCAAACGGACGTTGAGATCCAAAACATTGCCAAACAGGACAGCGTAGGCCGATGTACAAGGTGTACAGTGTATGTACAAGGTGTACAATGATGTACAATGCTGCGGAACTTGGTTTTGCTCCCATCATAATCAGCCCATAATCCTCTTCCTTTGAACCGCTAGGCTGTTGAAGGGGACTGCGACGTCAAACTCCTCATTGTGGATGGAGCCTACAAAGTGCTGTCTAGCAAATGTCACTCTACTCCAGGTAATCTCTTTGGCTGCTTTGCAGTCCTCGGTCACCAGGGCTGAGAAATAGGGGGTCAATGCCCCACGCTCCAACTCACTCCATTTACCATGACTCTCCCCAGGGCATACCTCTCCCCAGCCTGGTTTGGCACATCCCTTGAGTCGTTCTGCCTGGCCTAGGGATATGCCCTGCCTCTCAAATGCCTTCCATGTGGCCTCATGAAGGGTTCCCAGAAGGCACCGCTAGCTTGAAGAAGGTTCTCCACCTCAATCTAAGTTAGAGAGAGAGAGAGCAGCTGCAGGTGGGGCAATGAGAACTAGTAGCACAATGTGGGGGGCGGTGTTAACCCTTTCTCAGCCCTAGTGAGCACCACTCTTTCGCAGGTGCTGTTTGTCCCTGAGACATCTGGGGCTTTCCCCCCCTACAGACTGTGTAGCACAAGATTAAACCCTTGCTCTGTGAGACGTGGACTTGATCCTGACTGGATGTCACCACACCTAGCGCTCTTAAAAACAACAACTTACATCCGTCAGTTGTGTCCTGTGGCCCTCAGTCCACCTGTGTGCTGAATCTTTGTCTGGAAGGCACGTCCGGGCATGCACATGAACAAGGGATGGAGAACTTGTGGCTCTCCAGATATTGTTGGACTCCAGATCCCATCACCCACTGCCAGCCTGGACAATAGCCAAATATCAACATCTGGAGAGGAGCCACAGGCTCCCTGTCCTTGATATAAACATGAAGGGACCACACAGCTCTTATAATGGGTCTGTAGGTCGGTCCAACGAGATGGTTGGACAGTGTTCTCAAAGCTACCAACATGAGTCTGACCAAACTGCGGGAGGCAGTGGAAGACAGGAGTGCCTGGCGTGCTCTGGTCCATGGGGCCACGAAGAGTCGGACACGACTAAATGACTAAACAACAACAACAGGTCTTTTTCTGTTTCCTCTCAGTGTCTCGTTCTCCCAGTCTTGAGTTCACTTCTCCACATTTCCAAATGAGTTTGCCAATTGGTTTTTCTTTTCTTTTTTTAACCCTCAGGAAAATTGCCCAGCATTTTCTTCTGACGCGCACATTTTCTGTGCAATTTTGCATAAAATACACACAACAACAACATATTATTTGTACCCTGCCCATCTGACTGGGTTGCTCCCGCCACGTTGGGTGGCTTCCAACATAATATAAAAACACAGTGAAAACTTCCTGGTACAGATGTCTATGAAAAATTGTGTAGTCATTTATCTCTTTGACCTCTGATGAGAAGGTGCTCCACTACCGAGAAGGCCCTCTGCCTGGTTCCCTGTAACTTCACTTCTCGCAGTGAGGGAACTGCCAGAAGGCCCTTGGAGGTGGACCTTGGTATTTGCAGGGCCATCGTGAGTTCTTGGAGGAAGAGCAAAATAAAAATATAATAAATTCCTTAAATGTTCATTTCTTAAGTTTCTGCCAACACAAAATGGCTGCACCCTGTACTTTTCTCTTTTTCTTCCTTAGATTCAGTTGAAGATATTATCAGTGTTTGCCCTGATTGTAACCCTTTGTCACAACTGGATGACCCTAAGTTGAAGGAGGCAGCTAATTCTGGGCTCGCCAAGTTCAACGCTGAAAATGTCAATGGAACCCACTACCAGCTCCTTGAGCTTTCAAGAGGGTTTACCTCAGTAAGTATTCAGACAGGGCCACTAGCAGTGCTGCCGTATTACAGAGAGAGTAGAGAGCAGGGATGTTTGAAGACATTGTTCAGTCCACATGTTTAAGCGAGGCAAGCTGATCTGCACTTCTAGTACGGATGCACAGATCTAAACGCAGTTATCCCTTCTACTTTTGCTCTTTCAGATTTTTGCAACACAATTCTCGGCTCCCAAATGGTCCATTCTGGTGTGCAGGTTTCATTCTGGCGGTCCACGCCATCTGTAGTTGGAGGAGGGAGACAAAATATCCGTTGCATTCAATATTCAAATCCATTTTTAATTTCATTTTTATTACTCCTTCTTCTGAATTGCATTGCGTTTAGCCTAGTGCATGTCAATCACCACGATGGGCAGACAAATTATGAAGACCATCAGCAAGTTTCAGTTGATCAGGCAAGGGCAGAGGGAATTTGGGCACAACAGATCAAAAACAAAACCAAGCAACACCAATTAATTAAAAAGTAGTAACGGCAAGCTTATCCTCTAAAACAAATAGTCCAAACAAGAGTGTTGGACTAAGACCATTTTTGCTGGCGGCAAATAGTGAGCAGTGAAGGGTTAAGGCATATCTTTCTTGGAAAGATGGTCCAAATGTGGGGGGACCATGGCAGAGAAGGCCCTGCTTCCAGTGCCCACTCACTTTACCTCCAACCGTGAAGGGACCTGGAGAAGGGAACATCTGGAGAGAAGTGGTTCCTGAGATACCCTGGTCCCAAGGTGCTCGAGGATTAAAAGTCCAGTCCAGCGCTTTGAACTGAGTCCAGAACAAAGCGGCAGGCAGTGAAACGGATCAAGGATGTGTGTGTGAAGTGATATGCTACCAGCTCCACTAAAAACGCTGGTTCCCCACAGCTGCCCTGAGCCTAACCTCCATTGGAAAGAAGGACTGGTCTGAGTTGCTAGAAGGCAGCTTCATAGGCTGGGTTGGTGGGAGGGAGTGGAAACTAAACAAAAGTGCCCCAGCGTTGCAAATGCCCATTTATATCATTAAGATTCTATATGACTCTTTCTGCTCAGTTGCGGCATTTGAGAGAGACAGCTAAAATGTTCCTTATTACGTTCCCAGCATATGCCTCTAGGTACACATGTGGAGTTTGCAATTGCTGCCACTAACTGCTCAAGGCAACAAGCCCAAGACCCTGCAGAACACTGCCACGTGGCGACAGATGAGCATGCGGTAAGTGGATGGGATCCCAATTAATTCAGTGCAGATTCCAGGACTGGTAACGTCTGCGGTCAAGTGAGACCTGCCAGCCCTTCTGCATTGCGGGGCCCCTGTGCCTTTAAGAAAGCATTTGAAAAATGAAGTCCACACATTTCTGACCTCCATGGCTACAAGTCCCCCTCTCTATAGAAAAATACATATATAAACTCGAAGATTTCTAGACTTCAGGTCTAGAAATGCCTGTTTTTCACAAGTGAAAGTGATTTAAATCTGGCCCATGTTCACAAGCGAGTTGCTAGCTCTGCCAGACTTCAAATCGCCAGACTCTGGAAGTTTGCATTGGATTCCTCAGGATTTGGGTTCCTCAGGATTTCATACCCTCCAACATTTCTCCGATGAAAATAGGGACGTCCCATTCCACGGTGATAATTTTATTATTTATACCCCACCTATCTGACTGGGTTGCCCCAGTCACTCTGGGTGACGTCTAACATGTATAAACACATATTAAAACATTAAACATTAAGACACTTCCCCATACTGGGCTGCTTTGTGTACATTTCATTGGTTAGAACAGCATGCTGTTACTGGTTTCAGCTGTCTCCTAAAGGTTGTATAGTTACTTAGGGTTGCCATATTTCAAAAAGTAAAAACCAGGACACCCCAAAGTTGTTGAGCTTTTTGAAGGAAACCACCAGAATTCTTGAGCCAAAAAAACCACAGTTTTTGGGTTGACTTCTCTAAGATCCAGGACAAAGAGCCGCCTTTCGGAAATTCCCCCCGGACATCAATTCTGCCTTTGAAATCCCAGTAATGTCCAGGAAAATCTGGACGTGTGGCAGCCCTGTAGTTACTCATCTCCTTGGCTCAGGGGTTGCATAACTCCATACCTTCCAACATTTCTACGATGAAAATAGGGACGTCCTAAGGAAATGCAGGACATTCCAGGATCAAATCAGAAACTGGGGTGGCATCTATAAATCTGGTGACCTTTTTAACTGCACATTCAACCTGATATGCTTGCGCAGAGCTTGCAAGGAGGATAGACTTTATTGAGCATTCCTTCTGTGTGGTTTTTTAAGGTGAGGTCATGTGCATTCATCCTGATATTTATTTGCTTACAGGATATTTATATGCCTTGCCATGAATCATTTGTTCACCCCAAGGATTTCAATGCATTTCCCCATCTCTTTCCTAACTGCAAAACAATATGTTTTATTTCTTGGCAGCAAAGAACTTCAATTTACTTTTAAATTGCACAAATCTAATTAACAGTGGAATTGCCTGCAGAATACTGGCAGTTTTGAGTCATCCCTGATCACCTGATGTCAGTCTTGTGTGGTCTTTCAGAATGTTGGACCACAATCCCCACAGTTCACTTACATATTCTATCTGTAAATAATTTTTATTAATTTTCAATTATTAAAATCCAATAACAGCCACATTTTTTCAATATCAAATTACAATTCCCATCCAAATATAGATCAATTATACGGCCAATTATACATTTTGAATGACTTCCCATGTGCTGGGTTTCGGGGTGTAAAGTTCTTATTTCTTTCTGCTTCCGAAATCTTAGTTAATCCAATTACATTCAGTCCTGATCTTAGTCCCTTATCAACAGCTACTGATTTCTTGACCTCCATTCATGCTGAGATATTCAATTTTAAAAAAAAAAATCCACGAAAACAGTTTTGTATCCTGTAAATTCCCTGTGTGAGATGTTTATTTTCCCATTTGTTTCTTCATTGTTCTAATTAGATCACTTACATATTCTAATTTACAAAGTCGAGAAGGCATTCTTCACACCTGTTCATAATTATTAATTTGCAGTGCCTACTTGCTCCCCATCAGTGATGTAGAATGCAAGACCAACTACGCTTGCATACCCCACTGAACTTTATTATGTCCCTAGAGTAAAGGTCAACAGGTCTGGGACTTGTCTACAGGTGGGTGGGTGACCTCACTGGGAATAACATGAAAACCGTCTTAACTTCCATGATGGAAAAAAGGCAGTATATAAACCTACATAAGTAAAACGGTTTTACTCACATCTTCAGATGCCACTCTAGTCAATCGATTCCCACACTTTTTGGATGGTTTATGTGAGGAAGATGGGAATGAATGGAATTTTCTACACCATGCTGCCTGGCTGAGATGAAGTATTTTCTTTTCGGATGTCCCTGTGGGGATGTCTTAACTGCTCTCTCTTTCTTCCTCCTTATCAAGCATAATGGGTTTTGCAAGGCATCCATTATCCAGTTGCCTCCTGTTCCTGTTCTTGGTGGTGAGCCCATTCCACCTGCAGAGGAGATCACCCTAGATTGTGCTTTATATGATCACCAGGTAGGTGCAATTTTTAAACATGGTTTTCAGCAATTCACACACACAGAGAATTCACAACCGGTTGCTTGCTCTGAGGTTCACTGGAGAGGGTCTGATGGTGTACACGAAAGCTAGTTTGGAAACCAAAGCCCTTTGGGACTTGAAGCACGACTACTTCTCCTCTTGCACCAAATCCTGTAGCACCCAGACTTTGAATGTTTCTAATTATTTGGCCTTCCCCAATTGGCTTCCGTTACCTTTCCACCCACCCACTTTTCCAGAGAAGCATCCTGACCCAGCTCCTCCCAAGGCCAACTTCCCTGCTTCCCTGCAGAACAATTAAGGGATTCTTCATCCCTAGAGCTAAAGAGGCTGCTATCCACGCCCCTGTTGCAGTCCTGCTGCACCCCTTTCTTAGCACTCATGGCATTGCTAGGTACTTAGACTCAGGGCATTGGTCTGTGGCACAAATCTGCATGAAACTTGCTTGTGTATGTGTCTATGTCTCTGTGCATGCCTTGGTAGCTCGGATGGTGGAGCATGAGACTCTTAATCTCAGAGTTGTGGGTTCAAGACCCATGTTGGGCAAAAGATTCCTGCATTACTAAGGGTTGGACTAGATGACCCTTGTCAACTCTAAAATTTTATGATTCTATGAATTAAGGTAGGTGATGGGTCGTTATTTAGCACCATTGTGCTCAGCTGCCCTATAATCCAAGAAAGATGCATTAGTTGAAAAGGCGGGGAAGGGGGAGGAGATCATAGAATCATAGAATCATAGAGTTGGAAGAGACCACAAGGGCCATCGAGTCCAACCCCCTGCCAAGCAGGAACACCATCAGAGCACTCCTGACATATGGTTGTCAAGCCTCTGCTTAAAGACCTCCAAAGAAGGAGACTCCACCACACTCTTTGGCAGCAAATTCCACTGTCGAACAGCTCTTACTGTCAGGAAGTTCTTCCTAATGTTTAGGTGGAATCTTCTTTCTTGTAGTTTGGATCCATTGCTCCGTGTCCGCTTCTCTGGAGCAGCAGAAAACAACCTTTCTCCCTCCTCTATGTGACATCCTTTTATATATTTGAACATGGCTATCATATCACCCCTTAACCTCCTCTTCTCCAGGCTAAACATGCCCAGCTCCCTTAGCCGTTCCTCATAAGGCATCGTTTCCAGGCCTTTGACCATTTTGGTTGCCCTCCTCTGGACACGTTCCAGTTTGTCAGTGTCCTTCTTGAACTGTGGTGCCCAGAACTGGACACAGTACTCCAGGTGAGGTCTGACCAGAGCAGAATACAGTGGCACTATTACTTCCCTTGATCTAGATGCTATACTCCTATTGATGCAGCCCAGAATTGCTGCAAGGATACAAGGGCCTACCCCAAAAGACCGCCTGGGCCACCTTAAGCAACAGAATTACCTGCCATACATAGGAAGAGGTCCTTTCATCAGCACTAATACCGGCTGGTTTATTTATTTCAGTGAACCATTGTCATTTTTAAATTAGGTTGCCCATCTAGATTTACCTCTGTGAAAGAGGTCTAATTTGCTGGCCGGGAACCCAGACACAACAAAGGACTTTTAATGGCTCAACAGAAGTGGTGATTTCACCATGCTGGTGACCAAAGCTCCTCCTGTTAATGGTGAAGGATTTCTGCCTCCTGCTCATCCTTCTGTAGGGCCTTGAGGCTGTGCATTGGGGAGAAACACAAGCCGTATAGATCTCTGGGTATGTCTCCTAGGATTGCCACCTTTCCTCTGGCAAAATACAGGGCAGGGGAGGGCAGAATGGTTAGGGGACGCCTCCCCCCCCCATCTGCTGCTGAAGTGACTTCAAAGCAATTCATTACAATCTTTTGCATCCTAACAGAATGGTCCCTCTACAATTTGTCTCTCTCTCTCTCACACACACACACACACAAATTTGTAAATCTGTCTGTGCTTGGCTACCCAGAGCTTAATTACATGACCTTTCCCACACCTTTCAAACACTTGCATTTGGAGAGAATCCCTAACTTGGCACACACACACACACAGAGAGAGAGAGAGAGATGAAGACCTGAAATACAGGACCTGGCATTTTACATCGACAGTCCTGTATTTTACAGGGCAGGTGGCAACCCTAATATCTCCCATGCCCTCTTTGTTTATGGGAGTGGATGGGGAAAGTCATTGCACCTCATGAGATTTGCACCTGCTCAGAGCTTCAAGCTGAGAGGTCTGTATATTATTTATTCATTTATTTGGACTGTGTTCTGACTAGCACCAGCAGACTGGACATAATGGTTTTCTTTTCTAGGCCGGCGGTTCCCATTTCATCGAGCATTCCTTGCATCATCTTGGGAAGAACATCCCTTCCCCTGGAACTGGCCGCAGGGTCCTTGACCTCATCCATTCGCACAACGACACGCACGCATCCCATGAATCTCACTCTGCCGAAGCTCCAGCCGTCGCGGCAGCAAAGCCTGTCGTCAAGAGAGCGGTGGAAGCTGTGCCACTCCCAGCAATTTCGCTACAATTATGCCCAGGGAGGATTCGCCACTTTAAGATATAGGAGAGCCTGATAGAAACTACGGGAGCTGCCCAGTCAATGAAATTCCTTTGTATATTCTCCCAAGCCTGAACTCACATTCTTGCAGCAAAATAGTGATAATTTCTCTCTCACACACACATCCCCCCTAAAAGCCAAGCCTGTCCTAAGAAAGGCTGTGTGTATTGTGTCAGCCTGCTTTCTACCTGTGCAGATTTTGGTGCTTCTGACAGATCCTGCATCTTCTAGCTTCCCTGCTATCTTTAGTTTCTGCCTCCTTTAGACAGATGCAAGGTGGAAAACAAGGACTCCATGCTTGGTGGAAAACTCAGGGGCAGGAGGGGCAGTATTAGGGTGGGGCTTCTGTCCTGTGTGTCATTCCTTGTCCCTCCCCTTGGTGGGTGGCAGAAGCAGGATCAGTTGTGCAAATTACATAACAATGTGCTACTCTGCATACTCTACTATTCAGCTAACAGATTCATGGCACTCTTGGGTGGAGAAGCAGGTGTGGTTTGGTGTTTCTCCTTTCAAAAGGGAAGAATATACACAGCACCGGACAGAAGGGACCGCAGTGATATATCAGGTGTATTCTCTAGGAATTACTGTTCTTTCCTTCCCCGGTGTCCAAAATTGCAGTGCTACATTATGGAGACCGTGCTGGAAAATGCATATTCTAACAATATGCAAACCAAAACAAAGGTGCTTCCAAAATAAAACACGAAACTCAAAACGCTCCTCGCCTTTTTTTCCGCCTCTAAACTCCCATCAGCCCTGAGCCAGTGTGGCATTTGCCAAGGATGGTGGGAGATTCAGTTAGGCAACATCGGGTGGGCCAGATGTTTCACTCTCCCGATATAAAGGCTTGAACATACTGTGGCATGTACCCCAATATCCAAGCAAAAGGAAACTCCAGGGTTCAGTTTCCTTGAAATGAAGGTCAACAGAGACTGTAGTGTCTTTAGGGTATGTGGTTTTATTTACACATACAATGGTACCTCTAGTTGCGGACACGATCCGTTCTGAAAAGTCTGCAACTAGAGTGGTGCTTCTGCGCAAGCGCGGAGCGCAATAGAGCACTTCTGTGCATGTGTGAAGTGTGCAGGACGTTTCTGCACATGCGCAAAGCATGCAGGATGCTTCTGCGCACGCATGCACAGTGAAACCCGGAAGTATACACTTCCGGGTTTGCTGTGTTCACAAGCCAAAAAGATGCAACATGAACCTAACGCAACACGAGGTATGACTGTAAATACAATCTGAGCATAGGATGGAGAGGCTCACAGCATTAACATTCCAACAGGTCTTGCCTCCCTGTTGGATTTCTAGGAAGGCCCCAAGCCACAGCTCTGAGTCCAGCAGCGAGCAAGACAAGCCTCTGTCTCCCAGCTTCCAGCATCCGCCCCAAACTCTCTTCACACACAGCCCCGCTTCGTCCATTCTTATCGCAGCTAGACTGGTGACTGGGAGTAGCCACCAGAACCATATAACACTGGTCCTAAAGGATCTTCACCGTTTCCAAGCACAATAATTCAAAGTGTTGGTGCTGACCTTTAAAGCCCTTAACGGTCTCGGCCCACTATACCTGAACGAGCATCTTCACCACCATCACTCAGCCTGGACACTGAGGTCCACTTCCGAGGGTCTTCTGGTGGTTCCCTCACAGCGAAAAGTGAAGTTACAGGAAACCAGCAAGAGGGCCTTCTCGGTAGTGGCACCCACCCTGTGGAATGCTTTCCCATCAGATCTCAAGGAGATAAAGAACTACAAAACTTTTAGAAGACACCTGAAGGCAGCCCTGAATTGGAAAGATTTTAATGTTTGATGGTTTATTATGTTTTTATATGTGCTGGAAGCCACCAACCAGATGGGCGGGGTGTAAATAATAAAATGATGATGATGATGATGATATGGCATCCAGCCAGGTGAGGTGGGTAAAGGCCTACCCATATGTCTCTATGGCAACAGGGCAGCCTCTTTGGACATGTAAATGGTGGTCCTTAATAAGCCAGCTGAGGCCATTACCTTAACAAAGGAACTGGTTCGGCTGGTTAATTTCCTCTTATACATTCTAACCTCAGCTATTCAGGATCACAGGTTTCGAAGGGACCCACGAGTATCCTCCACACTGACCTCCAAACCTTTAACATTATTATGCAGATGGGGGGGGTCATTAGTCATCATTTAGGGCAGTCTTCTCCAATGGGCAATGCCTCCCCAAGATTTCACCTAACTCTGTTGCCAGAAGATGCTATGAACTGAATTTGTTTAGTTAAAAAAATAAACACTTTGCATCCTGCCTATTATTATTTTTTGAAAGAAATTACATTTTGTATAAACGATATTGATAAAAAGTTGCACACTTAGTCAGGAAGAACCAGCTGCATAAATATAAGATGAGGGGCACCTGGCTTTCCAGCAGTACATGTGAAAAGAATCTCAGGGACTTGGTGGACCAGAAGCTTGACATGGGTAAGCATTGTGACACAGCAGCAAAAAAAGGCTAATGCTATAGTAGGCTGCAGCAACAGAAGTATAGTGTCCAGATCAAGGGAAGTCATAGTACCACTCTATTTTGCCTAAACAGACACAACGGAAGGGAAGTGGACCAGAAAGGCAGAGGAAGAAGATCTGTGCTTCAGGGCCAGAACAAGGAAATGAACTTACATGGTACTGATATGACCAGGTTGGTCTTCTTTTGCTGATGTTCTTGCTTGAATCGCAGTTGGTAGTCCTTGTTCCTTTGGTCAATAGATGGAGCAAGAATGACCTTTCCCCCTTATTTCTGCAGCACAACAGCACTTGGAACAGATTGTACTTTTTGGGGGAAGGAGGGAAGAGAGCTCCCTGCCGCTGCTGATGTCCACCCAATTTCCAAGGCATGTTCAGCAGCAGTAGGGAAAAAATCCCCCTCCCTCAAGGGGAGGGAATAAGAGCCCCAGTTCTCGGACTACAGCTCTAGACTGCCCTGTTCCAAAGGCTGCAAGCCCATTTGTATAATTGGGCAGATAACTGCTCAAGTAACATCGGGTGCAGGTAAACAACTTTTATGTACCTGGGAGTATGTAAAATAAACATACCAGTACGTAGGATTTGGGTAAATAAACCTTTTTAGGATTGCAATATAGGTCTTTCTCTCTTTTTGGCCACATTTCCAACATTAACATTAGGAAATGATTTGCTGCTACTACTACTACTACTAATTTATTATTTATACCCTGCCCATCTAGCTGGGCTTCCCCAGCCACACTGGGCAGCTTCCAACAAAATATTAAACTACCGTAATACATCAAACATTAAAAGCTTCCCTAAACAGGGCTGCCTTCAGATGTCTTTTAAAGATAAGATAGCTGCTTATTTCCTTCACATCTGATAGGAGGGCATTCACAAGGCGGGTGCCACTGCCGAGAAGGCCCTCTGCCTGGTTCCCTGTAACTTGGGTTCTCGCAGTGAGGGAACCATCAGAAGGCCCTCGGCGCTGGACCTCAGCGTCCGGGCAGAACGATGGGGGTGGAGACACTCCTTCAGGTATACTGGACTGAGGCCGTTTAGGGCTTTAAAGGTCAGCACCAACACTTTGAATTGTGCTCGGAAATGTACTGTTAGTTATTAACACTGCCACATGTTTTCAGCAGAATTCAGCTGGTTTAAAGAGAAGGCCTTTCATGTAACTGGGAGTAAGCAAACAAAAATGCCTAAGAATTGGGTAGAGCCTCTTGATCTCAGCGTCATGGGTTTGTGAGCCCCATGTTGGGCAAAAGATGCCTGCATTGCAGTGGGTTGGACTGTTACCCTACAAAGGGGGGTCTGGAAGTACGACGGTCCTCTTTAGCCAAAAAAAGTCAGCAGCATCGTGAAAAGAGTACATATTTATTGAGGGCCACAGCGAGAATAAGTGGTCCAGAGGAATTCTCCAAATTCTGGAACCCGAATACAAAATTCAAGACACTTTTATAACAATTGCATGTGGGATCACCTCATCCTTTTCAGCAATATGATTGGATAACAGAATGCATGGACAGCTTGTGGACGCCTAAAACAAATTTCACTGGTCAGAACAGCCTGCTCCTAATTGCTATGGCAACGGGTATCTTTAAGCAATGGTCATACAAAATGTGCCTTTTTCTGCTATCTGCTACATGAAGATTTGCATGGGTCAGGAGAATTTATGCCAGCCCCCAGTCTTCTGCGGAAGGCCAGTGAGCTCTTGGCATGTTTTACTGACCTGATAAGGTGAAGTGAGAGGCCCATGGTGGGTGCAGTCTCAGCAAAAGACAGAGAGCATTGGTGTGCTTGGTTCTGACATACTTCCTGGGCTGCAACATCTCCCTGGGTCCCACGACATCTCCCTGGGTCCCATCTACCTGGGTCCCAGATCATGACACCCACATATCAGAGATGACTCTCGTGGTCCCTTCCAACTCCACAGTTCTGTGGTTCTAGATAGTCTGGCAGTGATAATTAACATCACTTTTAGGCGTGGCAAATGGTGTTTTCCTCCCATTCTTGCCACAATCTCCCACTGAGATTCAAATTATTATTAATAATAATAAAAATAATAATACCCCGCCCATCTGACTGGATTTCCCCAGCCACTGTGGGCGGCTCCCAAAAGAATATTAAAAACATGATAAAACATTAAAAATTAAAAAGTGCTGCCTTCAGATGTCTTCTAAAAGTCAGATAGTTATTTATTTCCTTGACATCTGATGATGAAGGAGCACATTACAATATAATTGTTATTATTATCCTTTTTTAAAAAATGATATTTATTGAGAATTTTAAGATTACAAAGAAACAAAGAAAAAGAAGGAGAAAAACAAGTAACATTTAAACAATACAAATCAATAAAAAAACAAGGTCAAAAAGAGAAAAAAACAAAACACATGATACATCAAAATCAAAAAGCAAAAATAAACAAAAAATTTAAAAACAGATCCAATATTCCCAAATCATTAACTGTCATTACCTTGTTTCATCGACCTCCTCACACCTCCCTTTTTTGTATTCTAGTTATTAATTATCTCAGCAAATCCTTTCCATCTTTCATAATATTCTGTCATTAAATTACCTTAATCTATTTTAACCTTATCTTACCATAAAAACCTAAAACTTAAAACTTAAATCTTATTTATACCAAATTCTCTTAACCATGACATATTCTTACATAATTCTTTTTAACATTTCTGCTAAAGCCAAATAATTTCATTCCAACATTTTTCTAATACTCTTTACTTTTACAAGATTTTCCTAAATAAATTGTTTAAAACTTTCTTCCAATCTTCATCCAACGTCTCTTCCTCCTGGTCTCGGGTTTTGTCAGTCCTTTCTATCATCCATCTAGTCCATCAACCTGGTAACCTTATGTCCGAGGCCCTTAGATCTCTTCCATGTCCCATCCGCAGATCTTCTTCATATTTATACCTGTACTTTACTTTGTCTTCTGCTCCTTTCACTCGGGGAGACTCCAGCTTGACAATATTTTTGTCCCTTCTCGACAGATCAGCCCCTTTTCCATAGTCAACACTGAACTCCATGTGGTATTTAAAAGCATGTTTCAAAGTCCCTCCAAAGTTAAGGGCCCCCACAACTCCCAACTCCTCCCGGCCCAAAGCCAGACTTGAAAGGTCAAAACATCCCTGCATAGGGGGGTCTATCCAGCCCCCCATCTCCAAGCCAAACAAAACTCTATCTCTCCAAATCTGGCTTTTTCCAGGTTCATTCGTCAAGTCCAACAACTCATGTTCCTGCTGGGCCACAGTTCCCTCCATCTCTGCCTCACGAGGTCCAGCAACAACCTCCTCCCTCATCTGATCTGTCAAAGCACACTCCTGAATTAATTCCTGAGTGGGTTCTATATAGGTACCCACTGCCTGTCCAAAATTTCCGATCCCAACAGTCATCAAATCCATCTTCTCATGTAACTGTTCCAATAAAGCACTTGTCTTGCAAAAGGCAAGCACCAGAGCCTCCGAGTACATTCTTGTTGAAGGTCAGAGTCTGGTCCCACGATCTTAATCTATTGCAGCTGCACAGCTCCCCAGTTCGGATTTAATAACAGTTTCGCAAGCTCCCTCTAAGGGAAAAAGCTTCTATTTGTATCCATCTCTTTTTTTAAAAAAAAAGCAGATCTAACAACAAAGTTTCCTTATTCAGATATTTTGTCAATATTTTGTTCCTTTTAGATGCGAAGGGGAACAATGGAATCAATATGTTTCTCTTCTTTTAACTATCTGTCAAAAACGTTTGTCTATAGTCCTTGAACTTCCCGAGGACGTCTGTCCTGACACCCCGCTCCCAGGTTCAGGACGGTGGAGAATTGCTTTTCTTTACTTTGTCTTCTGCAGGTTTAAACAGTCCAGAAAAAGGACTGTTTCCAAGTCTGCTTCCAAGGGGGGTTCAGTGATTTTAAATGATGAAAATTGATCCTTTACAGACGATTTTCTAAACTCTAGCTTGCCGTGTCTTTGCTTCAATCTATTTACAAAAAGCGGAAGGCAGACTTCCTGTTTAGACCTTCCTGCTTCAGTGCCAAATTAAAAGAAATTTCTTATTCCAATTTTCCGTTCTACTCACGGACAGTTATTTAAACTCCAATTGTCCACAGGAAAAAGTCAGCGCTCTCCGGCAACAGCAATGCGGCTTCACTCCGTGAAAGAAGCAGTCGATTCAAAGCACCGCGCCACTCACCCCACGTCGCTCCGGATCCCCGAAACCGGGTTTCCCCGCGAGTGGGGGGGGGGCGCAAAGGTGCCGGCCAAATCCCACGTCCACAGGCTTCTCCCGCCTGTGGTTTTTGATGGGTCTCCGCCTCGCTGTGGCGGTTCAGACCCTGTTTTCCATGGAGCGGATTCCTCCTGATCGGAGGAAATCCGCCATTGCCAGAGGCGCCAACCCGGAAGTCTATAATTGTTGTTATTATTATCCTAAAAGGGAAGGTTTCTACCAGAAGGACATGCTTAAATGTTACAGTGCAAATGGGCCTCTCGTTGGAATGTCTAGCTTGGGCGGATAGAGATAAGGAACAAGGATTTATTGTAATACCAGGATGAGGGAGGTTGCAGGAAGGAGGGAGGGAAGACCAAGACCTTACATGGTAATAGGAACTTATTATAAGTTTCGATTTCCCAGAAATCAGGTGACTTACAAGAAATCAGGTGACTTACAAGAGATCAGGTGGTATTCTATTCTGCAAATCTGTATAAAGGGGGCACACCCTGATTGGGTGTGCAGGTTGCGTACTGATCGCCCTGCACCTTTGTTTTGCATATGCACTTCAAATAAAAATCCTGTTAATAACCTGCAAGGACGTTTTGTCACTTTGTGTGAATCTGTGCTTCAGGGACCCAATAGCAGATATGTGTGGTCCTTCAATGGGAGGGAGGGCGCCACTACCGAAAAGGCCCTCTGCCTGGTTCCCTGTAACCTCACTTCTCGCAGTGAGGGAACCTTCAGAAAGCTCTCAGAGCTGGACCTCAGTGTCCAGGTTGAACGATGGGGGTGGAGGCGCTCCTTCAGGTATACTGGGCCAAGGCTGTTTAGGGCTTTAAAGGTCAGCACCAACACTTGTAAAGTGTGCGTTGGTTAGGTAATAAGTTCGCTTCCAGGCCGCGCTCCTATACACACTTGCCTCTGGTGTGTAACAGAACATCTTCATCAGAAACAGTGTGACTTGCTTCTCAGTAAACCTGCGAAAGATTGCACCATAGATCTTGTATCCGGCCCCTGCGCAGAATTTATATAACAAGTGGTTAGTTTGGCACCATTATTGCTAGATGTTTTCTGCGGACTTCAATCTGAAGCCAAGGACGTGGGTTCAGAGCTGGTTAGAAAATCACATTTTCAGCCTGTGAACACAACCTTCTAATCATTGACTCACTGTTTGCAGTTTGCATGTCCAGGTTCAAAGGTGTTGGCCACGGTGAGGAAGAAGAGCAAATATTAGTGACTTACCTCAAAAGTATATAAAGAAACCTCAGTGTACTGCAAAGCCTGAGGGGCTGCGGAATCTCCCTCCCTGGTACCCAGGCCTTTCCAAAATGGCCCTTTTAATTTCCTTCCTGGTCGGGATACAGGCATTGTGTTCCTTAGCTGGTCTTCCACCTCGTCCAGGACAGCTACCAAGACCACCACTGACAGGACTGCTCTCCCCAGGCTGCAATAATTCTGTAGTCAAAGCAGCTGCAGCTCAGGCCCTAGACTGGATCAATTCCCATGAAAAAACGGGGTACGTGCTTGGTCTTCAGCGAATCTTTGATGCCCGGCAACTTCCGCAGGTAAGCAGCTACCCTGGTTCTGACTTTGCTCTCTACATTGCAGTCGGGGACAACCACCTTCCAAAACATCAGATAAAAGAGGGGGAGATGAGGGGGAGCCATTGTCCTATCTATTGAGTGGTCACTCCAAACCAGGAGTAGCTAACATGTTGCCCCTCCTGATGCTGGAATTGTAGAATTGCAGAGCTTGTGAGGGATCCTAAGGGTCATCTAGTCCAACCCCCTAGAATACAGGAATCTCAGCTAGACAGATGGCCAACCAACCTCTGCTTCAGCCCATCCCAGATCTGCCTGCATCTTCCAGCACTGGCCTCCCCGTGGCTTCAGTTGTACAGAATGAAAGCTGCAGCCTGTATAATATTTACTGAATTCTAGCTGAGAATTGCTCCATTTTAAAAGAGGAGAAACTGAGGCAGAGGAATAAGCAAGTGTTGGGGCGGATGCAATAGTCCTGGGTGCTATTATCATATCTTCTTCTTTGGCGATCGCTTGTAGCCAAGTAAGATTGTCTTCCATAAACACAGTTTTAACAGTGGGTCCGTAAGTGGCTGTGGAGGCCAGTTCTGGATCCACATAACCTTCCATAGTGGGGACATAGGTTTCCAGACGAGAGTTGATCATGTTGAGGGTTTGCCAAGGGTGCCTTTCTCTTAGCACCTTTCTCCCTTTCGTCCTGAGTTTGAGCGTCTTCAAAGCCTTTACACCTTTGGTAAAGGCTGTTCTCCAATCGCAGCGTTCACAGGCCAGTGTTTCCCAGTTGTTGGTATTTATACTACATTTTTAAAAGTTTGCCTTGAGAGAGTCTTTAAACCTTCTTTGTTGACCACCAGCACAGGGATTAGCATATGCTCTCAGAAAGGAGGACCTGGCTGCAGGCATTTTTAGAACACCAAAGCATAACTCTAAGAGCCATTATTTATTGGGGGGGGGGACTTTCTAGTTTAGCAGTGAGACCCTTTTCTTTAAAGGTTTCGAATAAGTGGTTGCAAAAGAAGCAGCTGTTTGAATAAATGGTTGCAAAAGGAGGCATTTTGGATCTTTGTGATCCTTGAAATCCCAGGAGAACGAAAGTCTAAGGCTGTAGTCAAAACTTACATGGAATAACTCTGTTGACATCAATGTTAAATTTACTTAGTTCTACAGAAATTGTTTTGTGTGAAAGGCAGCCAGCCAGGCTTGCCTTTTCAAATTCTGCTCTGTCTTGTGCTGCAAAGGGTTTCGTCTTCTTATTGTCTTTCGTCTTCTATAGGAGCCTGAAGTCTCTAAGTATTTTCTCACCTTGGATGTGCTGGAAACCGTGTGCCATGTTCTCAGTGGAAAACAGGCAAAGGATTGCAGTTTCAGAAGCACCCATGAGACAGTAAGTATCTGATCTGCCAAGTTCAGAAAAGGACTGAACACGCTAAGTTTTGTTTTTAAGCTAGGAATGCCTCCAGACGGCCACTATTTGGTGGGAGGAATTCAAGTCCATACTAGGAAACTTAAAAAGGTAAAGGTAAAGGGACCCCTGACCATTAGGTCCAGTTGCAGATTACTCTGGAATTGTGTGTTCCTCTCGCTTTACTGGCCGAAGGAGCCGGCATACAGCTTCTGAGTCATGTGGCCAGCATAACTAAGTCACTTCTGGTGAACCAGAACAGCACACGGAAACGCCGTTTACCTTCCCGCCAGAGTGGTACCTATTTATCTACTTGCACTTTGACATGCTTTTGAACTGCTAGGTTGGCAGGAGCAGGGACCGAGCAACGGGAGCTCACTCTGTTGTGGGGATTCGAACCGCCGACCTTCTGATCGGCAAGCCCTAGGCTCTGTGGTTTAACCCACAGCACCACCCACTGTGCAATTAAAGTGGATGAAATTTCACTGTCACCCTAGAGCAGCGGTTTTCATCCAGTGTGCCGTGGCACCCTGGGGTGCCTGGATTGATGGTCATGGGTGCCACGGGCAACACTGGCCTCTGTCCTTCTTTCCTTCCCTCCCTCCTCTGATGACTTCATGTGTCTCTGCCTCCCAAAGGCTTGCACAGCTGTTTGTTGCAGCAGCCCTGGCTACAAGCTCCACAGGAGAATGGTGCCTCTGGGGCTGGCCAGGAGGTTCTGGTTGCCAGGAGTCAATGTGGCCTCGGAGTAAGGTTCTGGCCTCACAATCACCTTTGGCCAGTCTCTGTCAGGTTGCTAAGGCTGGGGGCATCCTCTTTCCAGGCCTCTGTGGGGTGGCGTGAGGAGGCACCTCTCTTTGGGGCAGTGGCGGCTGCTGCTCAGAGGACTCCAAAGGAGAAAGGACAAGAGAGGAGGCTGCAGGAACCCTCCACAAGGGAGCGTGTTCAAAAAAGGGGTGAGAGGCTGCTAGCTCTGCAGGCAAGGAGTGAAATAACTGGGGTCCTGAGCTGCACAGGGTGCCACAGAAAGAATGTAGTTGGTCAACGGAGCCATGGGCTCAAAAAAGGTTGAAAACCTATGTCCTAGCAACAAGTCAGGTTTCAAAAGAAAATGACTTTGTACAATCATCTGGAAGAGCTCTGCGAAGTCAGAATCTGGTGCGACCTGAAAAGATCTATAGTGTATTTCAGATTTGAATTGATTCACAAGAAAGGTTAAGGGGTTCACATCACCCACATTCTGCACATGTCTGCACGGTTCCCTTTCTCTCCCCCAAAGCCTTCACCAAATACAAAGAAATTTCTAGTGAGGGAAGCAGATGCCAGTGGCAGTATAGAGTGTGGTGAGATGATTTGGGACTGTGGGAAAGGGGCAGGATCCTGCTGTTTTTAGAGTAGCCCCATTGGGGAGGGAGGTGTAATAGATCATTCTGCCCAGAGAGTACTGCCAGGCCAGGGCTTAATTTGAAAACAGGCCACTGAAATATCATATATTGGTCATTGGCCACAGAAGTGTTGTTGTTTTAATTTACTGGTGACTTCTGGGAAAGGGCAAATCCAGACTAAATTGGGGAGGGAATACAGACTGTCATTTTGAGGCCAGTGAAACTGAGTGGAAACTGCAAAACACAAACAAAAAAAACAAAAACTTGCATGCATGGAGAGCTAGAGAGAAGTAATAACAAATAATATCAGTCCAAATAAACAAAAAAAATTTAAAAATGTCCAGTAGCACCTTTGAGACCAACTAAGTTTGTTCTAGGTATAAGCTTTCATGTGCATGCACACTTCTTCAGATACTCAGATTAAAAATAAGAATATTATAATATTATATTATAAAAATAATATCAGATTTTGCAAGGGGGGAGTGATTCTGCATTGCAAGTTGGGGGCTGAGCTGACTCCTTGGTCTGCAAAAGGTGAAGGTTTCTGGTTTGGCAAAACAAATCAGTTCTACAAACATCACTTACCTTTCTGTTGCTCCAGGTCTATGGGCAGTGCAAAGTAACAGTTTACGCTGATAACCACGGGAAGGTTTCTCAGCTGAGTTACTACGACTGCGTTTTACGCCCACGTATGTATTTCTATACATTTGCTTGAATTAACGTTTGTAAGGAAATTCATAAGGTAAAGGTAAAGGGACCCCTGACCATTAGGTCCAGCCGTGACCGACTCTGGGGTTGCGGTGCTCATCTCGCTTTATTGGCCGAGGGAGCCGGCGCACAGCTTCCGGGTCATGTGGCCAGCATGACTAAGCCACTTCTGGCGAACCAGAGCAGTGCATGGAAACGCCGTTTACCTTCCCGCCAGAGTGGTACCTATTTATCTACTTGCACTTTGATGTGCTTTTGAACTGCTAGGTTGGCAGAAGCATGGACCGAGCAATGGGAGGTCACCCCGTCGCGGGGATTCAAACCGCCGACCTTCTGATTGGCAAATCCCAGGTTCTGTGGTTTAACCCACAGCGCCACCCGCGTCCCCATTGTAACACATAGGAAGTAACAAACCAGAAAGGATGCTCGATAAAACTGAAGGTCCACGAGCAAACCAAAGACGTGTCTTTATTTAACAAGATTAAGAAGCAAAGGCCTTTTGCGACTTCTGCTTGCCCACTAATTTACTGGCCTGTGTAAAGGAACATTTAGCTGTGCAAGTCCAACTATGCTTGTTTGTTTTCTAAATAGTTTCATCAAGGGCTATCGCAAAAGTTTGTCCTGACTGCCCAGTTCCCGGGGACCCAACTGAAGCCAGGTTCCAGGAGGCGGCGGCCGAGAGCCTTGCCAAATTCAACTTAGAAAACAACCATGCTCATTATTTTGCCCTCCTCAACGTCACCAAGGCACGGTCACAGGTAAGTTTGCGACTGGACATCCTTGAAAGCAGGAACAGGGAACCTGTGGCCTTCTGGATCTCGCTGGACCACAACTCCCATAATCCCTGATCCTTGGCCATGCTGACTCTGGCTGATGGGAGTTGGAGTCTAACAAATACCTGGAAGACTGCAGCGTTGCCATTTAGAGGGGAAGTTTTCTCCATCACGCACGCCCCCATTCGTCACAGGATAGTTGATTCCGTTGCCTAGAGGCCTTCTTGCTATCTATAAGCCACAAATAACTGGAAATTCCATGTTTGGGGGCACAATACTTTCTAATACCAGCATGATGGCAGGGTTGGGACTTAGGAGACCAGGGTTCAAAGCCCCACTCATCCACGAAGCTCACAGGGTCACCTTCTCTCAGTCTAACCTACCTCACAGGGTTGTCATAAGGTTAAAATGAAGAGGAGAAGAAGCTTCAGCTCCTAGGAGAAAAAATTGGATATAAAAGTAGCACTCTCCTGGTGTGCCCCGCGGAGGACCTTAAGGTCCATAAATAACAACACTTTGGAGGTCCCAAACCTCAAGGAGGTTAGAGTGGTCTCAACTAGGGCCAGGGCCTTTTCAGCCCTGGCCCCGACTTGGTGGAATGCTCTGTCACAAGAGCCTGGGGCCCTGCGGGATTTGACATCTTTCCGCAGGGCCTGCAAGACGAAGCTGTTCCGCCTGGCCTTTGGCTTAGACTCACTCTGACCCCTTATATGGGATTTGGTATATAATTTTTCCCTTGGCTTTTTTGCTGGCCCATGTAGGACCAGCATGGATAGCTGGCTCGGGTGAATATCTGATGTTTCCTCCCTTTATGGCCTTGATTTATGGGCTACTACTAAAATGAGGCTGCATTTTAAGCTGTATTTTAATTAACTGTTTGTTTGTTTGTTTGTTTGTTTGTTGTTGTTGTTGTTGTTGTTTCTATTACATTTTATTGTAATTTTATTGTAATTCATATTTGGTGTTAGCTGCCCTGAGCCCGGCCCTGGCTGGGGAGGGCGGGGTATAAATAAATAAAAATTATTATTATTATTATTATTAATTGCACCAGTTGCTGGGGAGCAAGGCGGAGGGCCAACAGGAATGTAAGAGGGCTGTTGTCTTCTATCTTGCTTGCACTTCATCCAGACGACACAGACTGCTCTAACCCGTTGCCTCTGCCCTTTTGCACAGTGGGTTATTGGGCCTTCGAACTCAGTAGAATATACGATCCAGGAGACATCTTGCACCAAAGGCAAGGGTGTCCCCGACATCTCCAATTGCGAACTCCTCCCACGTGAAACGGCCGTGAGTATTCCTTCACTTGGTGCTGATTTTTTTTTGTTTGTTTGTTTTGGTACCCCGCCCATCTGGCTGGGCTTCCCCAGCCACTCTGGGCGGCTTCCCAAAAAAATATTAAAATACTCTAATACATCAAACATTAAAAGCTTCCCTGAACAGGGCTGCCTTCAGATGTCTTCTAAAAGTCTCGTAGTAGTTGTTCTCTTTGACATCTGGTGGGAGGGCGTTCCACAGGGAGGGTGCCACTACCGAGAAGGCCCTCTGCCTGGTTCTCTGTAACTTGGCTTCTCGCAGTGAGGGAACCGCCAGAAGGCCCTCGGTGCTGGACCTCAGTGTCCGGGTAGAACGATGGGGGTGGAGACGCTCCTTCAGGTATACAGGACCGAGGCTGTTTAGGGCTTTAAAGGTCAGCACCAACACTTGGAATTGTGCTCGGAAACGTACTGGGGGCCAATGTAGGTCTTTTAAGACCGGTGTTATGTGGTCTTGGCGGCCGCTCCCAGTCACCAGTCTAGCTGCCGCGTTCTGGATTAGTTGTAGTTTCCAGGTCACCTTCAAAGGTAGCCCCACGTAGAGCGCATTGCAGTAGTCCAAGCGGGAGATAACCAGAGCATGTACCACTCTGGCGAGGCAGTCCGCAGGCAGATAGGGTCTCAGCCTGCATACCAGATGGAGCTGGTAAACAGCTGCCCTGGACACAGATTTGACCTGTGCCTCCATGGACAGCTGCGAGTCCAAAATGACTCCCACGCTGCGCACCTGGTCCTTCAGGGGCACAGTTACCCCATTCAGGACCAGGGAGTCCTCCACACCTGCCCGCCTCCTGTCCCCCAAGAACAGTACTTCTGTCTTGTCAGGATTCAACCTCAATCTGTTAGCCTCCATCCAACCTCCAACCGCCTCCAGGCACTCACACAGGACCTTTACCGCCTTCACTGGTTCTGATTTGGAAGAGAGGTAGAGCTGGGTATCATCCGCATACTGATGAACACCCAGCCCAAACCCCCTGATGATCTCTCCCAGCGGCTGGATATAGATGTTGAAAGGGACATCCGTTAGCTAGGGATGATGGGAGTTGCAGTCCAAATACAGCTGGAGACTCAAGTTTGGCAAACCCAGAAGCAGAACATTTTTGCACCATCCCCCCCCCCCTTCTTCTCCAAAGATATGAGTAGAGAGCATAAGAAGAACTGTCCTTGACAACTCCAGACTCCCCATTCATGCCCTGGATGTTTGCCTAAAGGGACCCCTGATCATTAGGTCCAGTCATGACCGACTCTGGGGTTGCGGCGCTCATCTCACTTTATTGGCCGAGGGAGCCGGCGTACAGCTTCTGGGTCATGTGGCCAGCACGACTAAGCCGCTTCTGGCGAACCAGAGCAGCACATGGAACCTCCTTTTACCTTCCCGCCGGAGTGGTACCTATTTATCTACTTGCACTTTGATGTGCTTTCGAACTGCTAGGTTGGCAGGAGCAGGGACCGAGCAACAGGAGCTCACCCCGTCGCAGGGATTCGAACCGCTGACCTTCTGATCGGCAAGCCCTAGGCTCAGTGGTTTAGACCACAGCGCTACCCACGTCCCTTTTGGGTGTTTGCCTAAGCCTCCAGGCTTTCTACTGTGGGTATAGGGCGGTATGCACATCATCATTATTATTATTACACAGTTGGACTTGTGCACGTGGTTGCCACTATCCCTCCCTGTCTCTCAATCTCTGGTGAATGCGCAACTGAGACACACGTCGCCAACCTTTTTTGGGCATATGGACCCATTTGCAACCTGGAGAACCTGTTGCGGGCGCCATGCACATGCCACAGCTCCCCACACCCCAGCTGCAACCTCCTCCCTCACCCCCCAAGTTGCATCCCACACCCAAGTTAGGCTTTCATTGGCTAAAGAAGGCTTCTGCCAAGCCTAATTTCAGTAGAGGTGTGGGAATGGGAACCTGAGGGTGCCAGAGAAAAATATTGTGTTTGGAAGTACATTGTTGACCTGTGGCCATCCCAGCTCCATCACATTCGCTCCAAGGACGGAAAGGTTCCCCACGACCGCTTTAGTTATTAGAACCTAAAGTCTAGGCAGGCTTGTTTTTTTTATCGCTCGTGCTTTCCTGACGGAGGGATCTGGTTTATTTCGTAGGAGACAGGCCTGTGCAGAGGTTCCGTGGTAAACAGCCGGGTAGATAATCAGAAGTATGTCAGTGCGCAGTGTGAACTCTACCCCCCAAAGGTATGTGGCTCAGTCGGGCATATAATAATAATAATTTATTATTTATACCCCACCAATCTGGCTGGGTTTCCCCAGCCACACTGGGCAGCTCCCAACAGAGTATTAAAAACAGGATAAAACATCAAACTTTGAAAAATTCCCTGAACAGGGCTGCCTTCAGATGTCTACTAAAAGTCAGGTAGTTGTTTATTTCTTTGACATCTGCTGGGAGGGTGTTCCACAAGGCGGGCGCCACTACCGAGAAGGCCCTCTGTCTGGTTCCCTGTAACTTGGCTTCTCGCAGTGAGGGAACCGCCAGAAGGTCCTCGGTGCTGGATCTCAGTGTCTGGGCAGAATGATGGGGGTGGAGACACTTCTTCAGGTATACTGGGCCGAGGCCATTTAGGGCTTTAAAGTTCAGCAACAACACTATGAATTGTGCTCGGAAATGTACTGGAAGCCAATGTAGGTCCTTCAGAACTGGTGTTATGTGGTCTTGCCAGCCACTTGACCAGTCACCAGTCTAGCTGCCGCATTATTTTCTGGAAGTAATAACCCACAGTAAATGAGCATATGCAAGGCATTTATATCATGGGTTCGTAGAGCTGGAGGGGGTCTAAAGCGTCATCAACTCCCTGCAATGCAGGAATCACAGCGAAGGAATCCCTGACACACGGCCACCCAATGTCTGTTTACAATCCTTCAGCGAAGGAGAATCCATCACCTTCTGAGGTAGCTCATTCCACTGTCAAACATCTCTTCCTGTCAGAAAGAGCCTCCTAATTTTTAGTCGCCTGCTAAATGAAACTGGGCAGAATTAGCCAACAACAGAAACCCCAATAAGAATATCCTTTGAAAACACCAGATTGAATGTGTTAAAGCTCAGAGCTTAAAACCTCCAGGAGAACAAAATGGTATTTTTCACCTGGTGCTGAAAAGATATCAGCTCTGGTGCCAGGGAAGGCTCTCAGGTGAGGATGTTCCACGAATTTCCCACTGCCCAATCCCTGGGTGCCATCCACTCTGGGAAGCTGGAGGAAAGCCTTGGTCGCCAACCAGTAGAACTAAGACAGCTTTCCGGGTCATGTGGCCAGCATGACCAAACCGCTTCTGGTGCAACGGAACACCGTGACGGAAACCAGAGCAGTGCACAGAAATGCTGTTTACCTTCCTGCTGCAGCAGTGCCTATTTATCTACTTGCACTGGTGTGCTTTCAAACTGCTAGGTTGGCAGAAGCTGGGACAGAGCAACGGGAGCTCACCCCATTGTGCGGATTTGATCCGGCGACCTTCCAATCAGCAAGCCCAAGAGGCTCAGTGGTTTAGACCACAGCGCCACCCGCTTTGGGTGGAAGATAAGTCCCAATAAATGCATAGGTATATAAAGATGGGGGGAAAATTGCAAAGTGATTCAGAATGAACAATTCTAATATTTTTTCCCCTATTAGCCACTCGACACGGATGATCAGAATCCACAACCTGGACCTAAACCTGGGCAGGAAGGACACCGCGAAGATCACAAAAGCAGTGAAGAACTCCATCACCAGAAAGGGCATGGACACGGCCATGGCCACGATCATGGTCACAGTCAGGGTCACGGTCACAGTCATGGTCACGGCCACAGCCACGGCCATGGCAATCGCCGCCACCACCACAAACATCACGGGAACCACTCGCATGAGCACCAGAGTCCACCAGGCCAGCCAGAAACACTGGGCCGTGTGGTTGTTCTCCCTCCTTCAAACGAACATGTATCTCTACATTCCCTGCCAGAAATTCAACCTGAACAATTAGATGGGGAACCCGTTCCCCCCGGGGCAGAGAGCCCAACAGGAACCCCTCAAGTCAACCGCCCTGATGGTGCTCCGGGCAAACCACTGGCTAAGCCAAACATCTTTGCATTCCCGGTTGGGTTTTCAAACTCAGCTACGTGTCCAGGAGACAGCACAATAACTATCCCTGGTGTTGAGCTGCCCCAAAGGCCTGTGATAAAATTGCCCCCAGAGCCCAAGAAGGCCTAACGTTTGGGTACTGTAGAATCCCCAAAAGCTATTCAACATGTGGTACCGCTTCCTCACAGCATGAGAGGAGCGGTTTTGGAGGAGGAGAAAAAGATGGTCATTATAATCTCTCACCACAAAAGGTAATAATAAAAAAATTCCAACTGGTTGTGCAGTGAATTGACACAAAGGGCACCAGAGGAATCTTTGTGGTACTAATGTTAGTGCTTTGCCAAATGAGCTCCCTCTTATAGTATTCCCATGCTGTTTGGACCAAAGTCCACAGAGGGAAGGAATGACTGACAGTGAATAGGGAGCCCATCTTGGGCCTTATAGCATCCCAAAAGCAACACTTGAAAAGCCCCAAACGTTCACAGCTCAGCTGTGCATTCTTTAGTCCCTGCGGGGGGGTGGGATATTTTCATGAATCTAAACAACATGGTGGCCAGAGATTTCTGTTTTTCCTTTCTTTTCTCCGCCCATCCCTGACCTCCTTGTCCTTGTGAATGTGAGAAGAACGACGTTTTCTCTGCTGCAAGGAAGCTTAACAATACTCAATAAACGAGCGGTGTGACATTACTGCCTCTAGAGTGGCTGTTTTGGAAACCAGACCTTTCTCATTTTCGCTTTGAAAAACAAAGCAGGCCTCTAGACCTCAAGGCCTCCAGGTGGTAACCGTGAAGTGTGTGTTTGGGGCAGTTTAGCCTGAGGAAACCAGGAGGTACTGGGGGTGTCTTTCATGTAGAGTGAGAGAGATGAGACATATATTCTGAAATATACTCGGAGTCCTGTAGTGATTTCATGCTCTTTATTGCAGCTTGTAAAACAGTGATTGAATTGCCCCCCAACCCTCAGGTTTTTATATACATTATTTACACAGTGAGTCCCATCTGATTGTCTGATTCTGCTTCCCTCCTGGAGCCTGATTGGTCTTTTCCCGCAGGCCAATCAGTTGTTGCATTCTAGGATCCTAAAGGTAAAGGTAAAGGGACCCCTGACCATTAGGTCCAGTTGTGACCGACTCTGGGGTTGCGGTGCTCATCTCGCTTTATTGGCCAGCATGACTAAGCCGCTTCTGGCGAACCAGAGCAGCGCACGGAAACGCCATTTACCTTCCCGCTGGAGCAGTACCTATTTATCTACTTGCACTTTGATGTGCTTTCGAACTGCTAGGTTGGCAGGAGCAGGGACGGAGCAACGGGAGCTCACCCCGCCACGGGGATTCGAACCGCCGACCTTCTGATCGGCAAGCCCTAGGCTCTGTGGTTTAACCCACAGTGCCACCCGCGTCCCCTTCTAGGATCCTTTTTGCCTATTCTAGGAGCCAAGCTTAGTACATAACATATTCTCACAGGAGAAATTTCACCTTCAGCCTGGGGGAGGTGGCTGAGGATGAAAGGGGGAAATCCCTCCCCAAGATTTTCAAGGTGGAGGAGTGAACAGGGGAGCTCATCCTGTTTCACCGCTTGAGGCAAAATGGGAGGTGCTGCCCTGCCATGCCATTGCCACCTGAAGCAGCAGCCTGAGTCCACCTAGTGTCCGTATCGGCTCTGGGAGTAAAACTCATATAGTGGGCATGGAAGAGAAAAACTCATTGGGTCAGCATCTGCGCTTCCATTCATGCTTGTCCCAATGGTCATGTCGGCCTTTTTTGTTTTCATCTTTGCCCAGAATGGTGCCGTGTTATAATATAGCATAGCTTTAGCTTTCAGGGGTGAGGCCAAGAGTGCCTTCCATCACAGAGCAGAAACCTCTCTCTTTGTAAACCCAGAACCTCTTGTGACAGTGACACTTCTATATTTTATTTTATTTTTCAAAAAGGAGTGTCCTGCAGGTAATGGGAGCAGCTCTGATGGTTGCCAGACACACACACACACTGAGTTTTGCCCTGTGCCCAAAAATCATCTCCCACTTTATTGCCTAGCAAAAAGGTGTGTGTGTGTGTGGAGCAATACTTTTTTTAATAATCATTTTTATTAATTTTCCAAATTATTTCAAACCAAATTACTTTAATTTAACACAATTTCTTAAAATCAGGTTTCCCACTCCTGTTGCATTGTATGTCCAGGGGCGGGGGGCATAGCAAAACCTTATTAAATTCATTGTAAAGCATAAATCAACCCCCCCCTTTTTTTCAAATTGTCTAGCAGAGTAGCAACTACACACGTCTCTTCATTATGTAGAGGAGGAGAGGCGAAAACCATCAGAGAGCACAAAAAAGCACCTTGTCTTCCCCCTTTCTTTTCACGGCTGCGGTAGGGATTCTCAAATTTCAGGAAACCATTCAAATACCTTTAGTCCCTGTTCTTTTGGCAGCTGATTGATTGCAACCTATTTGCATATGACGCTTGCATATGGTGGCTCGTCCATGGTGGGGTCACACTCCCAAATTGCTGCCATTCTGCCTTCCAAATTGGCAGACACAGGATTGTGCAACACTGTGGGATACAGTGAACTTCCCAGACCCCCTGGAAAGCATCTGGAGGATTAATAATAAAATTTTATTTATATCCCGCCCTTCCTGGTTCAGAAAACCAGGCTCAGGGCAGCTAACAACAAATTTAAAACACTTAATTGATGCTACAAAAAACAGCAAAAGTCAATTTAGGGGGGAAATCCATCCAATAAACATTAGATGATCACCAGGGCTAGCTGGCTAAAGTAGTCCTATTTGGGCCAGCGAGGAGGCCAGGGGAGAATTAGCTGTGAGATCCCAGAGCGGGTAATCTTCATAAAAAGGGGAGAGGGAGGGAAGGAAGGGGAATAAAAGATCAGGCTAAGTTCAAATTGAAAGCCAGGCGGAATAGCTCTGTCTTACAGGCCCTGTGGAAGGAAGTTAAATCCTGCAGGGCCCTGGTCTCATGGGACAGAGCATTCCACCAGGTCGGAGCCATCACTGAGAAGGCCCTGGCCCTTGTGTTTGTGCCTCATTCCCTCCCTTTCCCCTGCCTGAACTTTTTCGCAGCCCCCGGAGGGGCTACGGAGAGCCTCCCCCATGGAATTGTGAGCAAGGCCAGACACCATGTGTGGAGCAATACTTTGCCCATTTTACGTAAGCACTATACCTAATTTCTGTCCCACAATACCATCCAATCAAAGAAGTATTTGCAGAGTTTAGAAGCATGATACACCCCTGTTTGACCAGAGACTATAGCACATTTGGGAGGGATGAAAACCATTATATGAAGCAGCAGAAGAGCCATGGGATTCTGTTAAAAGCAGACATGCTGCGAGACAGAGAAATGGAAAGGGGTGCATTTCAGATTCTGCCCAGTGCATCCTCTTTGCCAGCAACAAGCTACAAAAACAGTCTTTAGGCACACCAAGGAATCTATTACAGGTCAGTGCAAAGCAGCAAAAGGCTTATTATCAGTGGACTTGTATGCTTAAGACACTTCTTTTTTAAAAAACGACAATTTGGGAAAACATTAAAACAAACTGCAGAAGAGACTGTCAGTCATCCGACCACTTATGCACTCATTGGCCATTTCATGAATATACTCATATTTATGCCCAATATGTTGTTGTTGTTTAGTTGTTTAGTCGTGTCCAACTCTTCATGACCCCATGGACCAGAGCACGCCAAGCACTCCTGTCTTCCACTGCCTCCCACAGTTTGGTCAAACTTATGCTGGTAGCTTTGAGAGCACTGTCCAACCATCTTGTCCTCTGTCGTCCCCTTCTCCTTGTGCCCTCCATCTTTCCCAGCATCAGGGTCTTTTCCAGGGAGTCTTCTCTTCTCATGTGGTGGCCAAAGTATTGGAGCCTCAGCTTCACAATCTGTCCTTCCAGTGAGCACTCGGGGCTGATTTCCTTAAGAATGGAGAGGTTTGATCTTCTTGCAGTTCATGGGACTCTCAAGAGTCTCCTCCAGCACCAGAATTCAAAAGCATCAATTCTTTGGCGATCAGCCTTCTTTATGGCCCAGCTTTATGCCCATTATAATTTACCCTAATATATGCATTTTTGCATTTCACTATACACACACATAGGGACATGGGTGGCGCTGTGGTGTAAACCACTGAACCTAGGGCTTGCCAATCAGAAGGTTGGTGGTTCGAATCCCCACGACAGGGTGAGCTCCCGTTGCTCGGTCCCTGCTCCTGCCAACCTAGCAGTTCGAAAGCACGTCAAAGTGCAAGTAGATAAATAGGTACTGCTCTGGCGGGAAGGTAAACGGCGTTTCCATGCGCAGCGGCTTAGTCATGCTGGCCACAAGACCCGGAAGCTGTACGCCAGCTCCCTCGGCCAGTAAAGCGAGATGAGTGCCGCAACCCCAGAGTCGTCCACGACTGGACCTAACGGTCAGGGGAACCTTTACCTTTATACACACACCTGCTATTTCAGCCATGCACCTTTGTTCCTCCAGTGGGCACGTAACACCCACACAACTACCCTTTGTGATGCTTGGGGAACACCTGCTATCCCAACCAGCTTGAATCCAACGTTCCGCTTTTGCTATTCTGCTCTGGCTCCATTTCTGCATAAATCATTCATTTTCTGTTTACATTTCTCAACCAGGGATCAAGACAGCTGCCTTAGTTACACTGATGCTATATCTTTTTTCTTCTTTAATAAATGAAACAAGTCGGTGTCCTGCTGAGCATCACCCCATGTGCCTCTGTGGGGGCTTTCCTGGTGCAAAGTCTTCACAGAGCACAGAAGGGGTAAGGTTGGCTACTAGCACTTCTGACAGCTTTGTTCTGTTCTGATGCCCAAAGCCAGGGATCCATGGTTTCTGCAGGCTGCAATGGTACAGAAAAGGAGGCAAGGGTGGTCCTTGACTTGAGCACAGTCCCAGTAGGCCCTTCCTTCCCCCACCCGCAGGGAATAAGAGCAGCCTGACCCTTGCCAGCCTCCCATGTAATCTCCCGCACGCTGATAAAACTCCTGAAGGTCACGCAGGGCCTCTGCTACTGCCCTCCTTCTTGTGCATCGACTCAGAAGGCCCCTGAATGCTATTTTTAGTGCAGTGATAGGATCAGGTAGAATAAGCTCCCTTAAAGCACACTCTGCGTCCCCAGGCGTGTCGCTTAAGGGTCCCGAGAGGTTGGTCCTTTTGCGGGTAAGTTTGGGCTTCTTATTTTCAGGGGTCGTCTTTGTGGGGAATGAATGCCCTCCTCCCCAGTGCATGGAGGGGGGAGGAATCATGCTCACGCTGCACTTTCGGCAAGGATGTCAAAGAGTCTAGGCATTTATTCAATGTATGCCCATAGCCCTGATCTCAGAGTAAGGGAACCCTGAGCACTCCACTGGACTGTGATGAGTGAGGGTTGAGGTTATTGTCCCCCCCTCCTGTTTTGCTTTCCCCCAAGGGCACGCTCTATGGGGAGCTGGCTTTGGGCACCAGTCCCATGGGCAGATGGGGCATTACAAAGATGTCTGCAAACATAGCACGAAGGCTGGCAACATCAACCCCGCCATGACAGCCGCAGTGCCTGGAGACAGACAGTCAGGTCATGTATCCACAGCAGTGACCAGAGGAGGAATGGTTGCTGGGAGGAGCGCAGAGAGAAGAAACGCCATGTTGCATCTGCAGCAGCACACCTTCATCTGCCCCAGCTGCAACAAAACATGTCTCTCCCATATCGGTCTCTACAGATGCTGCAACCTTCCAACAGTTTGACAATGAAGCACTTCTCCATTGTCTCCCGAGACAGACAGATGCCAAGCAAGTTTTGCATTCTCCAGGGTAACACCCATCTGACCAACGGATCAAGCCACTCTGAAATTTAAAGATGGCAGGCAGGGTTGGTATCACATGAACCCTGGTCCCCGAATGAAGCACCAGCAGGCACTTGCGAACAACTCTCTTCCTTGAATGAGCAATGGAGGCTACCCTGTAAAATAATGGGCATCCCTTTTGTAGGCTGTGTGTGTGTGTGTGTGTGTGTGTGTGTGTGTGTGTGTGTCTGTGTCTGTGTGTGTGTCCGCACGCAAGCTGAGAGTGACAAGGTCTAAATACAAAAGAGCAAAGATTGTGTCTTTGATTTGACAACAAAACCTGCTTCTGCTTTTCTCTCATGTGAATCTAATATGCGAGTAAGTTTTTAAAAAATGACACATGTGCCAAATTCAATATACAAAGGTTGAAAGAAAACAAGATAAGCAGAGCCAGGCTGTGTGAGCACTGAACCTTTCGCAAAGCTGGGGAGGAATTCAGTCGCTGGACACGTGCGCCTGTTGCAGCACCGCATTGCCCAATAGGCAACTGCCCCCAAAAGGTCTCTGTTATGCGCACCCCAATTTCCAAGCAGTGGGAGACTCAGAAATGCCAGTCCACAGCTCAGGCATGGCTTCCTTAGAATGAAGGTCACTGAAGATGGTGGCATCTTTGTGATACATTATTATTATATTTATTGAATCTGTATACTGCCTTTTATCTGAAGATGGTTCACAGCATAAGAATACAAGACAAAAACACAAAATGCATAATAAAAACAAAACAATAACCCTCCTCCCACAAATATATGAATATATGAGATTCATGAGATGGAAAGGATTATAGCAGTAACATTCCAATAGATCTTGTTCCCCTCTTAGGTTTCTAGGGGGCTCTCAAAAAGCCATAGTTTTAGACTCAGCACAAAGAGCAAGTCAAACTCATCCCAGTTCCATGCAAGACTGCCTATTTCCGTTGTTTATTTGATTTTATTTATTACTTAGCAAAATGTATATCCCACTTGACGGGATTAGAACCTCTAATGAACTTACAAGAAATATTACAATTATCAGTAAAAATATGTTTTAAAAAAAATAATAAGGAAGTTTAGAAAAAATGTAATATTTGTTACTATTAAAAAAAAATTTAGAAAAAAAATTGTAACTAAGATTCAAATATGTCAACATCTATGTGTCTGGATAAGGTTGCCTTAACAAAAATGTTTTAGTGCCTGCCTGATGTTCCCTTATACTCAGTGATAACATAATCTCCAACCACAAAAGAGGGGAAAGCAGTGCTCCCTTTTGCTCCGCTTTCTGAAGCATCCCCAGCTAGCCATTTCTATGGCAATTCCAGTCACCTGTGCTCATTAGTCGTACAAAGAGATACTTAACTGACTTGATTGGAGCCGTTAACTTCAGAAAACGGCAGATACAACCACTTTAGCAGCCTCACTTTCTGCAAAATCTTAAAGCCCCAAAGATGCTCTCTAGGCCAGGCATAGGCAAACTCAGCCCTCCAGATGTTTTGAGACTACAATTCCCATCATCCCTGACCACTGGTCCTGTTAGCTAGGGATGATGGGAGTTGTAGTCCCAAACCATCTGGAGGGCCGAGTTTGCCTATACCCCGCCATCCCCCAGTTCTTCCATTTCTGCACACCTCTTGGGTATCCCTTGAATGTAGAGCAGTTTATAAATCCTGAAGTTATGGTAGCCATCTTCAAACATCTCAAGGGCTGTCACATGGAAGAGGGAGCATGCTTGTTTTCTCCTGCCCTGGAGGGTAGGACCCAACCAATGGCTTCCAGTTACAAGAAAGGAGATTCCAACTAAACGTCAGGAAGGACTTTCTGGCAGTAAGAGGTGATGGACAGTGGAACAAGAGTCCCTCAGGATGCTGTGGACTCTCCTTCCTTGGAGGTTTTCAAGCAGAGGTTGGACGGCCATCTTGCATGGATGGTTTAGTTGAGATTCCTGCCTTGCAGGGGTTTCCACTAGATGACGCTTGGTGGTCTCTTCTAACTCTAAGATTCTATGATTAAATACAATAGATAAAATGCACTCTCTTCATGAGACCATCACATCTGTGCAAAAACAGCTGCCTCCCTATTTGCGGACATTTTATTTCAGCCAAAGCCCACATACCTTTGTTCCTTCACACATGGCTACTTGGCCAACTTGAATCTCGTTCTATTTGACTTCCTGTCACTCCATTAATGATTCATTTTCTATTTGCCTCCCTTGACTGTGGATCAAGGCAACTGCTTTAGCTTTGCAGATGTTGCGTCGGTATAAAACGGTGCACCTTTAAGCATCCCCCTGCGTGTGTGCGCATCTCTAGAAGGACACTTCAAATGTAAACTCCGAAGGGAGAGCATAAAAGGGGTGAGCTGAGGAAGCCAGTTTCTACCACAGACAAAATGGAGCTTCTGGCAGCTGCTGTGCTGATGGCGGTGCTGCTGGGCTCTAATGGCGAAAACCAAGCCACCGTGGTTTCTGCAGACTGCAATGATGCAGGAATAGAAAGGGATGCTGGCTTGGCCCTCGACTTGATCAATAAGCACCGCAAGGATGGCTATATTTTCACCCTCTTGCGTGTTGCCGACGCTCACATACAACATGCGGTAAGTACTACAGCTCCGACTGACTCCTTTGCTGACTTTTCTCTTAGGAACACAGTGGTACCTCTGGATGTGAACGGGATCTGTTCCAGGGCCCTGTTCACATCCAGAAGCGAACGCAACCCGCATCCGCGCGGGCCACAATTCGCCGCTTCTGCGCATGCGCGTGACATCATTTTGACCGTCTGCGCATGCGCGAGCGGTGAAAGCCGGAAGTAACATGCTCCGTTACTTCCGGGTCGCCGCAGCGCAGAACCTGAAAATACTTATCCCGAAGCTACTTCAACCCAAGGTATGACTGTACAGGGAGTTACCTTATACCGAGTCCTCTGGCCCATTGTCTACACCAGGGTATCCCAAATTTGGGTCTTCAGCTGTTTTTTGGACTACAACTCTCATCCTCCCTAGCCAGCAGGCTCCATGGAGGACAACCAAAGCTGTTTGAAATTGTCTCAAAGCGAGACGTTTCATGCAAGAACACATTGGTGTGAAATACCTCTATACGTCTGATGCGAACTGGAGAAATGTCAAACCAATGATAGCAGACATTCTGACCAAGCCACTACCAAGAAACCATTTTGGGAATGAGTCAAGATGGGGCTTTGGGTGGTTCCTTAATTGTGCGTGCAATTGTTATATTTGCCAGAGAGGGGGCTGTTGGGATAACCCACCTCATATAAGCAACATGCTTAAATCTAATTGATGCATGAAGAGGTTAATGTCATAGAATAAGCTGTCCTCCCAGGTTTAGCTCTGTTTGGGATGAACTAGGAAATCAAGTCTTTGTCCCCCTCCAGTCTACCTGAGAAGCTCAGCTTGTAAAGAGGACATAGCTGGTTGCTCTAAGCTCAAACCACATGACTCTCACGAGAAGTTTTGTAAGGAGAACTATATGAAATATTGCAGAAAAGATTTATGAGAATGGATTTTAAGTTATGGATTATTAAAAGTAATAGTTAGGATAACAAATGTAAGATTAAAAGATGAGGTTTGGAAATCATTAGACGTGGTTGATGGAAGCCTCAGGCTAAAATAGCCAAAATGTTGTATAAGATGAGATGAGATGTTCTGTTTGGAAAATATATGTAAAAACTAATAAAAATATATATTAAAAACAAACAAACAAACATGACTCTCACAAGCCATTATAGAGTTACTATACAAATAATTTGGGAAGTTTAACCACTTTGTAACAGCTAAGTTTTACTGTCTGTGCAATCTACAGTGAACGCTTGGCTTGCGAACGTGATCCGTGTGGGATGCACGTTCGCAACCCGCAGCGTTTGCAACCCGCTGTGGTGCATCTGCGCACTTGCGGGTTGCGATTTGATGCTTCTGTGCATGCGCAAAGCGCGATTTAGCGCTTCTGCACATGCACGGCTGCCGAAACCCGGAAGTAACTTGTTCCTGTACTTCTGGGTTTTGGCGGTCCGTAACCCAAAAAAACGCAACCTGAAGCGTCTGTAACCTGAGGTATGACTGTATTCGGAAGCACATGAATCTGATCATTGGATTGTTTGTAAGTTAACTCTAAAAAAAACTTTTAAAAAAACCTTACCCAACATGCAGTCTTTTTATATGCTAGGGGAAGAGGAAAACTTTGGAAGGAACTCACAAGGGCATATTTTAAAAATCTAACAACCTATACTTCCACGCTTTAATTTGCTGCATATTTTGTGGTTTTAAATCTCTGCTGCGGTTCTCTCACCAAAGATTACTTGCCCCAAAGCTGGATCTTGGAGCCCAGGGAAGTCTCCTTTGATACCTATTTTTTTCCTTGCCACCAACTCAAGGCATGCTGTAAAGTTGCCTGCCTGCTGAGAAATACATAATTCCCTAATTTATTACTGCATATATATCCCGCCTTTCTGCCAAGGAGCTCAAGGTGACATCCCGCCTTCATTTAATTCCCACAGCAACTGGCAAGGCAGGTTAGGCTGAGAGAGAGGACGACTGGCCAAGGTGAACTTACGGCTGCAGCATTTGAACTCTGGCCTCCCAGATCCATGTCCAACAATAACAACTAGGCCACACCAATCACAGGGGGAATTACTAAAAAAAACTGTTGGATTGCACAGAATTGGGGGTGGGGTAGCTGGATGGGGGGTAGCTGGATACTGCTAAAATATCTTCTGCAGAAATGCACTTGATTTTGTTGCATTTCCTCCCATTCCAGGGAAATGATTCCATCATGTACTTAACTCTGGATGTGCTGGAAACAGAATGCTCTGTATTATCTCGGAAAAACTGGTCATCTTGTGGAAACAGGCCGTTCTACGGCTATACAGTAAGTAACAACATCTTTACTCCTTCCGGCAGACTCACGGATACTGCCGATACTCTGTGGCAGGCATAGGCAAACTCGGCCCTCCAGATGTTTTTGGTCTACAATTCCCATGATCCCTAGCTCACAGGACCAGTGGCCAGGGATGATGGGAGTTGTAGTCCCAAAACATCTGGAGGGCCGAGTTTGCCTATGCCTGCTCTATGGATATCAATGTTTTTGTGACTAAGGATGTGTACTGCAGCTCTGGCACACTCCCACCACTGGCGTTTGAAGCTGAGAGTGCTTGTCATTAGCCACAATCTCTATGCATTCTGTGGGCCCTTGAGAAATGCTACTGCTTGGTTCATTTCCCCTCAAACCGGCTTCCATCCAGCTTGAAAACGTATGCCATAGTTAAGCTGAGATGTGCACATTTGAGACAGCTGCCGCACATGTGCAAATGACTGCGCATGCGCAGAGGACAGCTTCAAACAACAGGAGTTTGCAGGGGTTGCAGGTGCAGGGACACAAATCAGGTAATGCGCATCAGGTGAAGACATTCCAAGCCCCTCGTCGATGTGTACAAAAAGGTAAAAGTGTGACTTGAATTGCAGCAGCGGAAACAGCCTTCCAGCGTTTTAAGTCACTAATGTGTACACAGCTTAAGAAAACTACAGTAACCGTCAGAGCAGGGAAGCAAACATCCCTTGTGGCTTTTGGAAAAGACGAGTGCTTGTATCAGAGCTTCCGACAGATGTCTGTCTTTTGCCTTCTCCAGGACTTTGGGCGATGTAAAGCTGTTGTGCAAATAAACCGGTTCCTTGAGGAAGAGAAACTGCATAGATACAACTGCACTATGAGCCCAGGTATTCATAGCTTCCAAATGAAGTGTGTGTGAACTCAGGCAGGATACAGACAAAAAGATGGGTCACTGCAATCTGGTAGCTCACTCACAGCATTACAGGGGAAGCTGCCTTATAACGAGTCAGATCATTGGGTTCATCTTGCTCAGAATACCAGGGCTGGGGAACATTTCTAAGTCCATTTCCCGTGGAAAGCCTCCTAAGGGGCGCATGGGTGCCGGGGGCAGGAATGGAACACTAGATGTGAGTCTTAGCCTTTGTGCAAAAGGCTACATTCCAGACACACAAAAGCAGGTGGTTTAGTCTAAAAGGACTCGCAGCCCTACCTAGAGATGCTAGCTACCTTTGAAGGTGACCCAGAAACTACAACTAATCCAGAATGCGGCAGCTAGACTGGTGTCTGGGAGTGGCCGCCGAGACTACATACTACCGGTCCTGAAAGACCTACATTGGCTCCCAGTATATTTCCAAGCACAATTCAAAGTGTTGGTGCTGACCTTTAAAGCCCTAAATGGCCTCAGCCCAGTATACATGAAGGAGCGTCTCCACCCCCATCATTCAGCCCAGACACTGAGGTCCAGCTCCGAGGGCCTTCTGGCAGTCCCCTCACTGCGAGAAGTGAGGTTACAGGGAACCAGGCAGAGGGCCTTCTCGGTAGTGGCGCCCGCCTTGTGGAATGCCCTCCCATCAGATGTCAAGGAAATAAACAACTATATGACTTTTAGAAGGCAGCCCTGTTTAGGGAAGTTTCTGATGTTTGATGTTTTATCCTGTTTTTTATATTCTGTGGGAAGCTGCCCAGAGTGGGCGGGGTATAAATGATAAATTATTATTATTATTATTATTATTATTATTATTATTATTATTAGCAGGGATTGAACCTGGGCCTTTTCCATGCAGTCCAGATGGTCTGCCACTGAACCACAGCCCTTAATTGTCATCATATGAATTATCTTTTCTCCCAAGCTGATCCCAGTAGAAACCTTCCCCCCACCCCTACTTTTCAGCAGATGCTGGCAGCAGACTTTGGTGATTTGTGATGTCAGAAACCTGCTTTTCAGGACCATTTTTCAGGTTTAATTTTTTAAAAAGCACCATCTTAACTTTAAAAGGTATAAATGCAGTATTTTTAAAAGCACAGGCAGGTAATTCACCTGAAGAAAGAAAATTCACCTGAAGAGATTTGGGATTTGATAAAGAGGAAGATACAGGGCGAGGGAAGTCAGGGATTAAAGGACGAGACTGGGACATTGGACATGCTATAAATCAATGACTTCACCCTGCGTGTTAATTATAATCCCAGGCAACAATAATACAATGCTGATAACTGCTCACTTTTCTCAGTTCCACCTAAATTATATGAGTGCAAGGATTGTCCAGTGAGGATAACAGTCATAGAAGCTGCTGAAGAGCACATGAAGTACGCCAACGGGGTCTTGGAGCAATACAATCAGGACAGCAACCAGACGAACTATTACAAGGTGGAGGAAATAAAAAAAGTTTTCAGTGCGGTATGTATCAGTCTGCCCTGGAACTTAAATTGCTGGATACAAGTGAAGCTTTCCCCATCTCCCATTCATAGCTGTCAACCGTCCCTTATTTGTCGGGAAAGTCCATTATCCCAGCACCATTTCCCGCTGCTGTCTTGGATTGATGACGTCCCTTAAATTTCCTGGGTTTCAAAGGAAGCATCTCCTCTCCCTCCCTCCCTGTCGGCCAGGGAGGAAGGAGGCTCCAACTGTGTTGTTTGGCTGCGTTGCTCACCCAATAAGGAGTCTGAGAACAACTGGGGGGTGGAGCTTGCATGCCCTGTGCTGATCAAATCGGCCGCATTGCCTGGGGACTCCCCTTTGCTCAGCGCTTCCCTGTAGTTTTCCTTGCTGCATCCCCTTTGCCGGGTTGCTGCGCTGTGGGAACCACCGCTTGGTGGGAACCTCTCGTTTGGCTGCTGGTTGACTAAAATCCCTTATTTTGGCTGTTGATCCCTTATTTTCGAGGCTGCTGGCCCCTTATTTTCAAATCTGTAAGTTGACAGCTATGCCCATTTCTTTGCTAGGAAAGAGGCTATGTGCTCTTTTGTGTACTATTAGGATGGTGTCAAAGGCCCACAATGCTTGGCAAGTACATTCTCAGAGTTCACTGGGGCAAACCATGTCTATTCAGGTAATTTGACAGTGCAGAACTGGCACCGTTACAAAGGTGCCACGTAATGCTTGTTCCGCATGGAAAAGAAATGGATTTCTTTAGTGTGGTGGCACCTGCAGTCTGGAGCTCAGTGCCTATTGACATCTGGCAAGCTTTGGGAGTAAACCTTACATCACAAAACCCAAGGAAAAATCCATACCTTGCTGGACATCTTCGGGAGGAGGAAAGGCCACAAGGAGTAAAGCCTACACAAATCTGGAGTGGAGTCCCTAAGACAGGTGGATGGCACCTTTTATGCTCCCTTCTGGCAACTCCTGCGGCTAATCTGGTGCCAAATGTCTCACTCTGCTTTCCTTTGGACCACGTTAGTGAGTCTGAGAGAGGGGTCTTCTTGTCTGGGCAGCCCAAGACCTCCATACACACTGCCCAGGCTTGTGGCCTGGAGAGATCGTTGCAGTGCTGCTCATGCAGCAAAAACAACACAGGAGGCAGCCATTCCAAGTTACGGGTCTCTGCAGCCACAGCAGGCGCTGTGATTCTGCAGCAGTTTGACTTCACCCCCGGAGGCACACTCCATTGTCAGATGCCAGCAACAAAGGCACCATAAATGCACGCTGTTCAGTGCCTGCTTAAATCACTTTTGTTTAGGGAAGCTTATCCCGACACAAATAAGTTAGAAGTGTTTTGTTTTATGTTTTAATCATATTTTGACTATTTTTAAATACCTGCTTCCGACTGTTTTTAATCTATGATTTTAATGTTTTAATTTATATATTTGTAAACCTTTTAGAGGGGCAGTGATTTGGGGTTGTTGTTGTTTTTTTACAATCATGTGATATATAATTTTTAGTAATTAATGAAATTCAGCTGGTTTAAATTTGCCGTGTAGCTACCAGGGGCCCAACGCAAAGAGGAAAGGCATGCATTGGCATGTCAAATGGCTGTGCCACCTTCATCATTCTGCCCGGACACTGAGGTCCAGCGCCGAGGGTCTTCTGGTGGTTCCCTCGCTGCAAGAAGCCAAGTTACAGGGAACCAGGCAGAGGGCCTTCTTGGTAGTGGCTCCCGCCCTGTGGAATGCCCTCCCACCAGATGTCAAAGAGAAAAACAACTACCAGACTTTTAGAAGACACCTTAAGTCAGCCCTGTTTAGGGAAGCTTTTAATGTTTAATAGGTTATTGTATTTTAGTGTTCTGTTGGAAGCTGCCCAGAGTGGCTGGGGAAACCTAGCCAGATGGGCAGGGTATAAATAATAACTTATTATTATTATTATTATTATTATTATTATTATTATTATTTGGGCTCTTGCCTGGCCTTTCCCCTGCAGGTGGCCGATCGTACGGCGTACGTTGTTGAGTTTACCATCAAAGAAACCTCGTGCCCCAGAGCCAGTCTTGCAAGGAATATCTCGGCGTGTGAATTTCTCCCTGACAGAACTGCGGTAAGCGAAGAGTCTAGCATAAGCTCTGCAACGTGGCGCTTTCTGGGTGTTTTGAACTACAACTCCCACCAGCCACAGTTCGACAGGCTGTGGGTTAGCTAACGCTAGAAGCTAAATCGTGAGGGGAAATGTGAGAGGTTTCTAGACACACACTCACAGCTCTTCGCCACCTATCCAGGCAAGCAGGAGCCATTATCAGAGTTCAAGGATGCAATCCAGCACTTGAGGAGGTTGCAGAGGCAGGGGGTGTGGCCTGGGGAGAGGGCATGGCCTAGTGAGAGCCCCAAGGGCCTGGTGGAGAGGTCTTGAGGTCCACATTTAGCCCACAGGACTGAAGTTCCCCCAGGCTGATTTAAATATCATCACAATTACAGCGTAAGTCTTCCTCACAAATTTATTAACAGCTACAAGAATTACGATGGCTAGGAAATGGAAGGAGCAAGCAGAATATAAAATGGAAAAACGGTATAAAGAGGTGTGGGATATAGCTATTAATGATTAATTCACATGTGCCATTAAGGTAAGACAGGGAATATGCAGGAGAAATGATTTTGAGGAGATATGGAGGGTATCTGTAGAATTTGTACTGTTAAAACGGAAAGGGGTCAAACCATCGCAAGAGGTGTTGAAATTTTGGGAGGTTGGATAGTTACAATGGAATGGTCTCAGCGGTGGGGTGCACATTTTTATTCTTATTTGTTTATGATTATTACTATGTAAATAAAAATATAAAAATATAAATAAAAGAATGAATAAAAATAAAAAACAAAACAATTACAGCGTATATCATGCAGAATAACAAACAAATCATCAGTAAAACAATTACAAATCTTCAGTAAAGGTATCCTGTTAAAGGGATCTGGGGTGTGACATACTGTCCAAAGCTCCTACAGGGACCCCTTGGGGTGGTGCCTCTTGTTTGAATTCCTCCTCCATGGTGGCAGTCATGGGATTGTTGTCTATCACATGACGGTGTGTGTTTTGACTCCACAGAGTGGGAACTGACGGAGACAGGATGTTTGTGTTACTGTGTTCCGTGAAGTGGGACTATTGTCCTTTGTTCTCTTTCTTTGCTGTCTGATGCTAGAGAGAGGGGGAGCCATGTTGCAGTGCTCTGTGTGTGTTTATATGTAAATAAAGTAGATTAGCCAAAATGCTGAGTTGCTGAGGTCTGTTACACAAGCTGTGAAGACTCTGCGGATCCCAAAGTGTGCCAGTATCTGTTGGCATCGGTCGCTGTGACTGTTCGGGCTGAAGAAAGCTTTTGAAGCGCCCGAACGATCGACCAGGAGGGAGAGAACATGCCAGTCGGGCATGTTTCTCTGCCAGGGTCCTACTCAAGTGTAGGACGAGCTCCTGACACCTCTATCATAGGACACCCCCTATCAGTGGTTTACCTTTCCATGGACTCCCTACAGATGGGCAGGAGTCAAGATATAGCCTAGCTTCACCCCAGCGCCTAAGCCAAACTGCTCACATCTGTAACCAATGAAGTTATGGCCTATTTGAACCATAAACCAAACTACTCCGTGACAGTGTGTTTTATTGTTCTTCTGGGAACTTTGTGGCTCGGGTGCCTTGACACACAAAAGAATCCACAGCACCATCCAGCGCAGGGGCACAGATTCACATTGACATTTCCTCCTTCTCCGCAGCACAAAGGACTCTGCAGAGGAAAAGCCGTTAAGGAGTCGGATGCAAAAGATCCCAGTGTGATTGAAATAGAGTCCTGTGAAATCTACGATATTCAAGTAAGTCTATTCCCCTGCCCCCTGCTCCGTGGCTAAAGGGAGTGGCCTTCCCACCTACCTTTAAGTCAGGCTTCCTCAACCTCGGCCCTCCAGATGTTTTTGGCCTACAACTCCCATGTTGCCTAGCTAGCAGGACCAGTGGTCAGGGATGCTGGGAATTGTAGTCTCAAAACATCTGGAGGGCCGAGGTTGAGGAAGCCTGCTTTAAGGGCAAGGACAGAAGCAGGCAGCATCGACAGAAACAAGCACTCCGCCTTGCCTCCATAGTTGAGGGGGCCGGTGCCCGCAACATGCGCAAGTGACGTCAGCACGCCACAGGACGTGCTGATGTCATGCGCCATGTGCCGTGCTCACACTGTGGACACACGATGAACTGCGTGCTGATGGCAGTTGCGTGACTGTGTGCAATTAAGGTAAGCATGTTACACAGCATGCACACACAGCCGCTGCAGGTTTTTTGGGGAAGCGGAACATTGAAGGGGGGAACATTCAAGGACACAATCTGTGCAGCATAAACCAATCCACCAGGTGGCGGCAGAAAATTTAGGTGCACTGCAATTACAGTGGAACCTAATCCGTTCCGGAAGTCCGTTTGACTTCCGAAATGTTCAAAAACCGAAAATCAAAGGGCTGTTGGCAAAGTGAATGGTGAAAATGGAAGAATGTGCCACAGAAGCCGTTTGACTTCCGAGGCATGCTTGAAAATGGAAGAATTCACTTCCAGGTTTTCTGAATTGTTTGGCATCCCAGACATTCGAAAACCAAGGTTGCACTGTACTTCCGTTAGCAAGTGGCAATAGCAAATTTGTATTCCACCCAGCAGAGAGCACCAAAGAGGGTTCTATACTGTGCTTTCTTTTGGTCTCTAGAGTTTCAATGAATAGGAAGTACAAGCTGCTAATGTGGCTCACATTAATTGGAGATTTTGCAAAACAAAAACAAAAAACTCAGCAAAACTCAACAAGTTTGTGAAAAAAGGTTCAGCAACTTTTGTGCCCGGAATTTCACTTTTTGAAACATGGCAACCGTATACTAGTGATTTATTGCAAGAAAATGCAACCCACTTATAACGACATGAGCCAGGAAGAACTGCAGCATTCCTTAAAATTAGGAAATCTCTTTTCAAGGATCCAATACTGCAGCAGTTCAGCTCCCTTCAGTCTTTACTCCACAGGAGAAGAGAGCAAGTGGCCCATTTCAGCCTCCTTGCCTGACTTCTGCAGCACATCAGAAGCCCCAATTTCACATTTCATTAGTGTGACACCAGGTCTTACTTATCGAGAGTGGCTGGGATAGTGCCACAAATGTCCCAACAAGCACTGGTTTGCTGGCTAATATGTTACAAAGGTGACAATTAAGCATATGTTGCAGCTCTACCCAACGTGCAAATCAGGCTCCTTCACAGCAATGCATCTGAGTATTTTTGGGTGCTTTTTGCAATAACTGTGCGCTACCTGGCTCCATCATTTGGCGGCTTCTGTTTTTCCTCCACAGCTTTGCACATAGACTGCTATATCGGAGCCATTCAGCTGTAAACTAACACGTGTTGAACACATCACAGTATATCTATCAAATCCAACTCTGCATTGCAATCATTGCAGGGAAATTGCCAATCCTGATTGGCTAGGCTTATGTCCAGCTTCTCTGCAGGAAGGGAAGGTTTTCTGGGATCTAAGCAATATCAGCAACAGCAGGAGTAACTTTGCGAGGGAAGAGATCCTAAGGAGGGAGGGGAAGAGGAAAGTCTTCAATAGGCACAGAAAAGACCGAAAGGATTGCATGTGTCTAATATCTAGCAGGAGAGAATCCATGAGGGTAGGTGCCACCACACCAAAGCCTAATTCCTATTGCAAGCAGACAGGACCTCCTGATAAGGATGCCTTTTCCTGCAGGACACAGTGAAAAGTGCAGATGAGACAGATAAATAAGGCCCAAAAAGGCAAGTGAAAGAGAAGATTCTAAGGAAATCTCACACTGCTTAAGGCAGGGGTGCCTAATTGTGGCCATTCACAGGATCATAGAGTTCTGGAATTGGAAGGGACCCCAATAGTCATTTGGTCCAATCCCCTGCAATGCAGGAATCTAACTAAAGCACCCATGACAGGTGGCCATCCAACCTCTGCTTAAAAACCTCCAAGGAAGGAGCGTCCACAACCTCTCAAAGGAATCTCTTCCACTGTCAAACAGATGTTGTTGGACTCCCATCAGCCCTAGTCAACACGGCCAACATCCAGAGATGGTTGGGTTTTGTGCTGGGCCTGGGGGTAACCCGTGAAACGCAGTCCTGGAGCGGACCAGAATCCGGAGGTTCTGCTAGGAATCAGTCCGACAGGGCCAAGGCAGGACACAAGGCAGGAAACCAGACAAGGACAGATACAGAATCTCAGGCAGGATCTAACATACAGCAATGTTGCTCCCACAACCTGGGGTGGGGTCCAACAGCCTTTTATCTTTGTCGGGGTAGCGGCCGGTCCTGATCCCCTGGCAACTCACCTCCCTGTTTCGCCCAAAGGCGAGCTCTCCTCCTGCGAGTACTCAGATCTCTCCTTCTCTCAGACCTTAGTCTCTGCAGCTCAGGAGACATCAGTGGGTTACTAGACCCAGGGGCTGCCTCAGCCTCCCCTGACCAGAGTGGAGCAGCTGTAAGTGATGGCCCAGCTGAAGGCAACGAGGTAATTTCCGCATCTGGAACCAGGGCAGGCTCAGGCCCCTGACTCGGCCCAGCTGGTGCTTGTTGCAGGGGAACCTGTGCAGACTGGGACTCTTCAGGATCAGACCCTAGACCTGATTCAGATGATGCCTGAGGCAAAGGATCCGGTGCAGACTGAGACTCCTCTGGATCCGAGTCTGAGCCCGAGTCCCAGGCCATCACAGGCTTATAAAGAGCACAGTTTACAGGCTTACAGGCATGGAGAGGTCAAATGGTAGGCTGCTGTTTCATGGTGAGCCTGATAGCAGCCCAAAGTCCAAGGACTGACAATCTACATCCAAGGCAAAAAAAAGGAGTTGGGTGCATTCGCTGGTGCAATGAAAATTGTGAAAGGTTCGTAAGCTAACTCCTTTTCTTTCTTTCTTTCTTTCTTTCTTTCTTTCTTTCTTTCTTTCTTTCTTTCTTTTCTCCTTTTGCTTCTCGTTCTCATGTGTGCTGCATGCACACCTGGTGGCTGCGCTCCAGGATACAGGAAAAGATTGCCATGTATGCGGGCACACATGCAGGCACCCGCCACATGGGCACCCTCACAACCATGACCACCACCACCATGGTCCTTGTCACCATCATTGCCATCACAGCTTTGGACCTCACCATAGGCATCACAAACATCATGGGCATCACAGGCATAGGCATCACGGGCATGCAGGGCCCAGAGGTGACCACAATTGCTCTGAAGAATATCCTGACTGTCCCCCTCCTCCAGGACCTTGCTACCCTCCTCCACCCCCTGGCGGACCACACCATTTCCCACCTGTTAACTGTCCCCCACCTCCTCCAGGGCCACCACATGGGCCTCTTTGCCATCCTCCTCCCCCTCCTGATGTCCCCAACGATCGTCCCACGTCTCCCCCAAATCAGCGGGTTCGCAGGAATAGCAAGCGCTGTCACGGCCCCAGGTGTCGTATGAGGTCAGCTGGGAGAAGAGGAGGAGGATCCTCTGAAGAGCACAGTTCCTTTGAAGACCACCACCCTTTCCACGGCAGCAAAGCCGGGTCGGTCTACTACATCCCAGTTGCGAGTCCAGACAATGTCCTCCAAGTTCCTGGGGCAGACTTCTTTGGCAGCCCAGACAGTCAGCAGAGAGGCCACAGGGGGCCGCCTTTGTGCGGCAAAGGCCTTCGCCAGAAACCAGCACTGCAGCCATTCCCAGAAGCTGATTCAGAGTCAAAATCATGCCCAGGGAAGCCCAAGTATGATCGCCCGGGCCTTTTGTCTTTGTATCCGCAATGAAACACATTCCCATTAAGCCGAAGTGTTTCCGTAACTACATAGCTCCACGGCCTTCAATAGTGAAAAATAAAACATCTCTATACACAAAACAGTTTCTTTTATTCTGAGAGGGAATGAGCATTTATGGAAAGAGGTATGTCTCAAGCAGAAAACCTATGTTTGGTTTGTTGGTTTTATTTGATTTATATATCAGCCTTCATCATAAGATCTCAGGGCAGTTCACAGAATAAAATGCAGGATGAAAACACGAGAATAAATAAAACGGAACAGCACAATAATAACACACACACCCTTCCCACAGACACATTTAATAGCCTGTAGAATGTTAATCTGGCTGAAGAGGAACGTTTTCGCAGGGCACCTAAAAATATATAATGAAGGCGCCAGTCGAGTGTTGCCACCTTCTGAACCTCACGTGAAGGAGGCACATGAAGAAGGGCGTCAGATGATGAGTGCAGAATCCAGGATGGCTCGCTCCATCTTCCATATGACAACCCTTTAGATATTTGAAGATGGCTATCATATCTCCTCTCAGTCTCCTCTTATCCAGGCCAAGCATACCCAGCAACTTCAACTGTTCCTCATAAGCCTTGGTTTCCAGACCTTTTATCATCTTGGTTGCCCTCCTTTGTGCCCATTCCAGCTTATCAATATCCTTCTTAAATTGCGGTGCCCACAACTGGACACAGTATTCTAGGTGGGGTCTGACCAAGGCAGAAAAAAGCATTACTATGACTTCCCTTGATCGGGACACTATACTTCTGTTGATGCAGTCTAGAATAGCCTGAGGTTTTTTCTCTTTTTTGTCGCTGCATCACACTGCTGACTCATGTTAAGTTTGTGTTCTACTAAGATCCCTAGATCCTTTTCACATGGCAAGCCAGGTGTCTCCCTTCTTGTATTTGTGCTGGTGGTTTTATCTTGCCTAAGTGCAGAACCTTACACTTGTCCCTATTGAAATTCATTCTGTTTGTTTGGGCCCAGTTCTCCAATCTGTTAAGCTTATCTTGAATTCCAATTCTGTCTTCTGCAGCAAGTTGCTACTATTGCTTCTTCGTATATACAGCCCTTCACATTTGGGGATCAGTTTACTTGTGAGATTGCCTTACCCATATAGGACCGTGCAACTGCTTTGATCTGAAGAATTGGCACTGTTACAGGTGCAAATATTCATTCTGCAGTTTTAAGTAATCCGTACTTTACTGCAGCTGCATCTACACTTTGGAACTCCCTGCCGATTGAAAACAGGCAAGTGCCTTCCACTTGACTCTTTTTGGCACCTGTTTGAAACATTGTCGGCCTACGTGGAGAAGTGTTTTAATCTCTTTTGCTGTTGATTTCAATTATCTTTAAATGCTTCTAGTTTAGTTTGTTTTTTAATCATTTTAAACAAACTGGTTTTATTGATCATTGTAATATTATAAGCCACTCAGAAGTTTTGTTGCAATCAAGCGGCCTTCAAATTTTAGCGAAATAAACAAGCAAATGCCAAGGTAAACAGGTACCAGGTGCGTATCTAAGGGAAAGCATCCCACAATGACTGCCAATGCAGCCAGGGATCTGCATCTCCCCTCTAAGTCATTTTCTTGGTTCTCACCTCCTTGGCAAATTTGCATTCTCTGAAGGATGGTGTTACAGAGGGGGAAAGGTCCCCTTTGGGGGCTGGTACAGGGCCTCTTGGTTTGTTTTCCTGAGGTTCCACTTCAGCTTTCTCTGTATGCATCTAAGTTTTGAAATCGGCATATTCACCATAAGACTGCAGAATGTTCTAGGGCGTACAAAACATGACCTAGAACTGGTAATCTTTGTTCTGACCCTGACATCCTGAGGTTCGCCCTGTAACCAGAGCGGCAGGTGAACAAACGTGGTGTCATCACAGCGCAGGGCTGCCTCTTTAAAAAGAAAACAGCAGATGTTTGGATAAACCCAAAAGGTTGTTTGCACTGTACACAGGAAGCGACAAGAGTCCATCAAGCCCTCCTGCCCTCTTTCTGCTTTTGCTTGATTACCTTAAATCAAAAGAAGGCTGTTCCAGTCTTCCACGGCAAGGCATTTCCCCGTCAGGCTTTTGGAGAGTCTTTTCTCTCCCTTTCCCTCTCCCCAGGTTTCAGGACCTTCTTCCTCGCCTGGACATGGGACTCTTCATTCTGTTAGCCTTCGCCTTCTGCTGCTGCCATGCCAGCCCTCTCCAAGGCCAGAAGGTAGACTGCGATGATCCTGGGGTCTTTAACGCGGTGGATCTAGCCCTGAAGGAATTGAATCGAGGCATAGCTAGTGGCAACAAATATGCACTCAGTGTAGTCCTGGATGCCAGCAAAACAGTAAGTAAACTCTGGAACAACAGAAAAATCATCTCTGATTATTAATCTTCTCATGCAAGGACTATTAATTTGTTCTACAAGAACAACAAATCAATGTGATCAGTTGCAGGAGGGGACATTGCTCATGAGTCAGGAGTGCTAATTTTCTCTATCCTATCGTCGTTGCTCTCATATAGTTCTCTCTCTCTCCTTAATATTGAAGCACTCTAACTAGTATAAAATTAAATGAGCACCAATTATGACTCCGTTTAATGAATATTTCAATTGTATTAATAATTATCTCTGCATAGAGCTCATGCCGGACTTCAGAAAGTGTTCACCCGCAGAGTTTTACGCGGGTAACTTGCAACTTACGTGAGGGTCCGGTTCCGTGGGTCCATGCAAGTACGCAAAAATGCGTAAAGCCAGAAATTCCGGGAACACCGCTCCCCAGCAAGGCGGAGGGGTGCTTTCCCAGTTTTGTCTTTTTCTAAACCTTTAGTCCTTTTTTTAAGCACCTCTCACAATTTGATTAATACCTCCACTCGGTAGCTGACGATTGTGCGGTGGGATGGCAGTGCTCAAAGGACCACCCGTAAGTTGAATGGTTGCTGTTTACTGGGAGGTAGTACTTAGTTTTAGCATTATATTCCATCTTTCCTCCTGAAGGAGCCTAGGGTGGCAAGAGTGGGGGGAGGGCAAGGCAGCAGGGAGGGTGGCACGGTCCAAGTATAATGGCAAGAAGTGCCAGATTGGCTCCAGTGTCAATCTCATTGCTGCCTCTCCTCCTCTAAGGCATCAGTGTGACCAGTTAAAGGTCAGGTGAGCATCAGCATCCACTACTGTCTCTGCTCTAGGCCCAGATTACATTGTTATTATTACAGTAGTACCTCCAGTTATGTAACCTTTTGGTTACGTAATCTTCAGGATGTGAAAGCGGCAAACCCAGAAGTATTTGACCAGGTTTCGCCACGCGCACATGCGCAGAAGCGGTCCTCAGGTTGCGGAAACCTCGGGATCTGACCGGACCTCCGGAACGGATCCCATTTGCAACCGGAGGTACCACTGTATTATTATTATTAATTGAAGTTATATTGGCAAACTAGCTAAAATGTATAAAAAACCCTCAAATGTTTGTTGGAGATTTAAAAAGGGGGATGGTACCTTCATGCACATGTGGTGGGACTGTGTGAGGATACGAGAATTTTTTGGATATAATATACAACAAACTGAAAAAGATCTTTAAATTCTCCTTCCAAAAAACCCAAAAAAACCAGAAACCTTTTTGTTAGGCATTATGTCCACTGAAATCCAAAAAAACATTAGAACCAACTTTATGTATGCAACTATGGCGGCTAGAATTTTAGTAGCAAAAAACTGGAAATGTGACTCAATTCCTACAAAGCTTGACTGGCAGGTGAAGATGATAGGATACTTGGAACTTGCAAAGATGACTGGGAGAATGAGAGGAAACTCAAACCAGAAAGTGTGTAAAGAATGGATAACATTTAAAGAATATCTAAAACAATATTGTGAAAATGCAAATCTCCTGACAGGTCTAGACTGAATCTTGAATATTAAGGAAAACTATAAATGTAGAAAAAAATCTGGATATGTAACAGATATAACAGGAAATGCGTAAACTTTAAGAATATGTAGAAAACACAATGAGGTGAATCGGAAGTCAAAAGTGTGTGTGATGTTAGATGATATGTTGTTCATTAATGTTTAGTTGTGGTTCGAGGACCCGATCCCCACATAGTGGAATGAAAACACAAGAACACGTGATATAAGGTTAATGGGCAAGAAAAGGCCACAACTTTATTGATTACAGCAAGTGAAAAGGTATTGGCTTAGGCATTGGATTACGTCAGCTGACTCCACCCACTCGGAGAGGGGTGAGTCTAAAAGGGGGGGGTTATTCACCAGTAGGTGGAGCCTGTTGATGCTAATCCAACTATAAGCTCTCCCCTGATGTCACCGAGGGTTGTGCCATGGCCCCCCGCCACGCAGGCATCGGACAGAATACACAAGCGCCGGATTCCTTTAACGGAATACCCAAAAATTGAAGGCATAGGCGATGGCCACACCTAGCCCTTTGACACACCACAACACATTATTCCAATGTCTAACCTACCCACCAATACCACGAAAGTTGTGACGATTGCTACGAGGTAGGCGAAAAAACCAAAAAGCCTAATGCCAAATGGAAAAATTCCTACCAGGCCCCCCAGACAACCAGGGCGACCAACCTAAGGTCCATAGCAAGGCCAAAAGAAAACTGAGACCCTGAGCTCTAAGGGAGTGGAGGGTGGGTGACTCACAACGGGACGACGAAGAGTGAGGCGAGGTGGCTGGCGCCACCGCAATTTACGCTGCCGTTCATGCCCCCTTGGAGGCACCTGGTTGGGTGTCTGTCTGTGGGCGTGGGCGCCAGCCAGGTGAGTGGGAGGCAGGGGGCTAACACCCCCTGCTTGAGGCAGAGACCGGCTCCCGCCCACAACCACTCCCCTCTTTTGCAGGAGGAGAGTCTTTGTCATTGAGGTGTTGTCTTTGTTTGTCTGTGTTGTTATATGTAAATTGTTTTGCAATAAAGTTTAAAAAGGGGGGGTTATATACCGCCCGATACCAGGGGGGTCTCACAGAATAAAGTCAATATTTCTAGGCCTATGTGAGTGAGTGTTTTAAAGACAAAAAGTTCCAGTGACTTTACTTACCTTCCCTTTACATATGTTTTAGATCAGAATGTCCTTCCCAGAGAGGCTTGCTCGCTTGGTACTATCCTTTATGGTCATTTTGGTGCTAGGTGAAGACTTTTAAAAATTACTCCCTAGCTTTTTTAAAAAACAGAAAACCTGAGATTTTAACAAATCTGTGATTTTAGTATCGTGAGGTACTGTTTTCACATGCTGTGCATTGATCTGCTTTTACATTTTTCTCTGCTCAGCACCGCAATGCTGCAATGCTATGGTATTTTTGCACTGCGTTTTTAATTGTATTCTGACATTTCGTGCCAGGAGCTGCCCCCAAGGACCATGTCTTTGGGTAGCTTTCTATTAATATTGTAAATAAGTAAGTAATTTGAGTCCGCATTAGAAATAGTCGCTGCAGCGTTGTGGGATGGAATTCCACAAGCACTGTGTGATGAATTGCTTCTTATTGTAAGACCAAATTGCTGCAGATCAGTTTCTCTGAATGACCCCAAGTTCTTTGTTATTGTGAGAGGGACTCCAATAATCCCACTCATTTGTGACACTTCTGAACGACACACCAAGGTGGCTGCTTCTAGCTGAACTTTGCTTCCCATGAAATTACATGCTTTGGGGTTCTACAGTAATACAGTGGTACCTCAGGTTATAGACACTTCAGTTTACAGATGCTTCAGGTTACAGACTCCGCTAACCCAGAAATAGTACCTCGGGTTAAGAACTTTGCTTCAGGATGAGAACAGAAATCGTGCTCCTGCGGCGTGGCAGCAGCAGGAGGCCCCATTAGCTAAAGTGGTGCTTCAGGTTAAGAACAATTTCAGGTTAAGAACGGACCTCCAGAACGAATTAAGTTCTTAACCCGAGGTACCACTGTACTGAAATTAAAATGGTTTTTTGAGCTGAAGTTGATGCTAACATAGGAGAGATTTGGCTGATATCTATCTATCATCTATCTATCTATCTATCTATCTATCTATATCTATCATCTATCTATCATCTATCTATCTATCATCTATCTATCTATCTATCTATCTATCTATCATCTATCTATATCTATCTATCATCTTTCTATCATCTATCATCTATCTATCCATCCATCCTTAATTTATTCTAGAATATAGGCATTGCTGCCCTGCTGGCATTTCTTAAATGGATCGTTCAAACCCATCTATTATTGATGGACTAATTAAGCATAAAAGCTTGCTTGTACAAGAGACCGGTGTCACTCTGGTTTCAAGCACAGTGGGTAGGACTCGCCATCGTAGGAAAAAACAGCACGTAGCTTTATCAAAGGAGCCAAATATTGATGTTGCGGTGGGGCAAGTGCGAGTCTGGATGCAGCTGTAGATCACACAGTGCGTCGACCGCAGCAGAATTTGGAACAAGTCTTCTGCTTGGAAAGTTCACAACACGTCGGCTGAAGAGCTAGCTTTGTTTACAGAGGTTAAATATTCCCACCAGTTACCTTTCATTTATGAAATGTTTGCTCTGCTTTGCAGCTTCTGGACAACGGTTCAAAGAATGCTTAGCTGAAAAGTCTGTTTCACGGCATGTAGCAGAGAAACACAGCAGTGTGCTAGGCCCAGTTTCATTCTGTTGCTTCTGTGTTAACTCGGCATAAATTACTGCAGTTGAGTTAATGAGTCTGGGTGTTGTGTCTGATTCTGCCTTTCACACGTGCAACACACTTCTGCTTGTGCAACTCCTCTCTCACACAGCTCCCCCCATGCACAATCAATATCTGTTCCAGAGGATTGAGGGACCCTCTGGAGCAGATTGGGGGAGAGGGCACAGAGAGAGGAGAGGAAGGGAAAGTCCTGTTGGGAAAGCAAAAATATTTATTTATTTGAAGTGCTTAATATTTTTTAAAAATCTGTAAGTGGTATACAGAAATGACACATATTGAAAACAGCATCAGATAGATAGATAGATGATAGATGATAGATAGATAGATAGATAGATAGATAGATATAGCTAAAAACAGGAATTCAGAAATTATGGGCTCTGATCTTAAGTGCCAGGGAATTACCAGGCAAAACAATAAAACCTCCAAGAGATATCTGAATACATCTGATATATGCTACGATTTGGCATGTGCTGTCATCTTCTTTCTTATGTGTAGAGGATTTTTTATTTTTCTTTAAAGAGAAGTGTATATTATTTATTTCATCTGCAAATTGCTTCCCATAAGGCATTCCAAAGGGATTTAGCATCAGGCTATGAGATTTCCCCCCATGCAATGGGGCTAGCTAAACACAGGTTTATCACTTAATTTACCATTTTCAAAAAACTAGGCCTTACAGCAGGGGGCACCAACCTTTTTGGACCAGTGGGTACATTTTGAATTTGAATTTTGATGAAGTGCTGCCTTCTATGATTCTATGAATAGAATGGGAGCTGCTATCGGTGCTCCCACCACCACCCTGCTTAACCGCAGACAACTTCAAGCTTACTAAGAGAAATCGTCTATATGTCCTGCTGGTTTTGACTGTGGCACACAACTCGGGCACATTAATTTCATTGGGTTTTCTTTGAGTAAAACCGAGCTGGACACAAGCTTAAAACACAGATGAAATCGGCAGCACCTTCAAAACAAGCATAGGCGACTGAATCGTATGTCCGGATAAGGCTTGCGGAAAACAAAGATAAAAGGGTTTTAGATACTTCTTCCACCTCCAAGTCCTCTTGCACACCCAAAATCTGCTCTGGAGGATCTCCCCAACCCTCTAGATGGGTGGGCAGGTGTTTGCAAAGAAGCTATAGAGGGGAGGAGAAAAAGAAGGTGGTTTGTGAGACCCTTCACCATCAGGGTCCCAATGCAGGCTACAACAATTTAAACTTGGTTCTCAAACTTAATCCGTTCTAGGAGTCCGTTCAACTCCCGAAACTGTTCAGCAACCAAGGCGCAGCTTCCGATTGGCTGCAGGAGCTTCCTGAACTCAAGCGGAAGCTAATAATAATAATAATAATAATAATTTATTATTTATACGCCTCCCATCTGACTCGGTTTCCCCAGCCACTCTGGACGGCTTCCAACAAAACACTAAAATACAATAACCTAAGCTGCGTTAGATGTTCAGCTTCTGAAAAACCGGAAGACTTAATTCTGGGTTTGCGGCGTTTGGGAGTCAGGGTGTTCGAGTACCAAGGTACCACTGTACCAAAAACAGTTCAAAACTAAATACAGTGATGAATTTGGGGTATTTACTTAATTTTCATGAATATTGATCCAAGGGTAGCGGCACAGGGTATGTGTTTGATATATGGTAATTCTATTTTGATATTTAATTTGATTGGGAAAGTCTTTATCAACCTCCTCCAAACTGAAGCCATGTGGGTTTTTTAGACTCTAGGGCCATCTTCCCCAGTTAGCATGGCCAATGGTCAGGGATGAGGAGATCAGTGGTCGAAAACATCTGAAGGGCCCTATGTAGAAAGCTGATTTAAATATTCATTTTACTATGCAACTCCCTCTTGGGATATTTAGGTGTAGTAATTTCAATTTGTCTACCACTGGTCGAACAAAAGCACTGAAGTATTCTGAACAGAAATATTTAAAATGTAAAAAAAGAAAGAAAGCTAAGAATACACTGTCTACCAAACAAAATTTCTTGCACACTTTTAGAAAAATGGGTTTCCAGCAGAGAAGAGCCTGGTCATTTATGATCCTGGGGGATAGACCTCATTTAAAATGCTGCACATATTAATAAGTCATTAAGAAATCCTTCTGAAAACGATCTTCCTGGCTCGCTGTGGAAATGATGAGCACTTACATAAATGTTTTCTTCAGCCAGGCCCTGGCCAAAATTACATTGTGACATATCAGCTAAAGAAAACCTCTTGTGTTGCTGGAGATGCGACTCCCTGGCAAAACTGCGAGTTCATGCTATTATCGGAGGGAGTAAGTATCTCTATTTTCTCTCTAAAATGTATGTATAATTTAGCACAAACATGGTGGGAAGGTGCTACAGGAGAGGGCAACAGACACAGGCGCATACCGCTAAACAGTCCCGATTTCTGATTGGATCAGACCAAAAGACACCCATTTTATTTTATTTTATTGGTCTCATGCTGTGGTGCAAGTCAGCGGATCTGCGCCAGAGTGCCGGGCCAAAGGGCTATCGTTTTTTGGGTGTCTCATGTTCTTGAGGGAATCCTCTGGTTTCCACGAAAACTGGAGACCAAAAAACCAAGCATGCCAATTTTGATCAGCGGGAAGTTGGAGGGTATTCAGTGTTAGGATATAGTTCCATTCCACCTTAAAAGGGTACAGGCATGACGTTTGTGTATCACATGCCTGTTTACTGCCAGCACTGTCTGCTGGGAACTTCCGTTGTGTGTTGCTTTTGCTATGCGGCTGTTTTTGCTGGACACGAAGGCAAGCAGTCATGTTTTCCTTTGTTCCTGGACTACGCTGAATAAATGCTGTAAATGATGCTGGCACAATTCTCTTTGTCTGCCTCTTCCATTGTGGATGATTTATACACTCTGCTGACAGAGTGTGCACGGGTCTCGGAACGTATCTGAGGCTCGTGTCGCTGACTGACTGATGCTGTTCCACGGGAATCCGGTGATCGTCCAGAGCCAGCTGGGGGCCTGCCTGATGCCCCCGTCTCCCCGGCAGTATCCCAACATGCAGCAGCACCCATGTGGAAATGCTTTACACAGAACATGGGAGAACTGTGCTCTGGGCACAGGTCGCACCGACATCTTTATTTATTTTTTTAATAAATATTTTTATTAGATTTTCCATAAAAAAACATTTTTACAAAATTATACATCCATTTTTAACTTAAACCCTTTTTTCCAGAACTTCCCTCAGCTTGTCTGATAATTTTCCGTTTATTTTTTATCCTCGTCTCACATTTCACAATATTATATTGCACTCAAATACTCTTAATCACATCATATTTTTAAAACAATATTTCTAACAGTAATTTCACAGAGCTTCTTGAAAGCCAACGAACGTTATTTGCTCATCACAGAAATTTTTGATATACTCTGTAAATTTCTTCCAGTCCTCGGAGAATCTCTGGTCACGTTGGTTCCCAATTTTCCCCATCAATCTGTCCATTTCTACGTATTCCATCAGTTTCATCCTCCATTCTTCTTTCGTGGGCATCTCTTCCTGTTTCCATTTCTGTGCCAGCAAAATTCTGGCTGCTGTTACTGCATACAAAACTAATTTCACATCTTATTTACTAATTTCATTATCCAGTATTCCCAACAAGAGAGCTTCTGGTTTTTTAACCGCACCGATATCTTTAGCAGGGATTCCAATGATGAAATTGTATTGGTTGCCCAAGCATGCAAGCTACAGTGTGTATGACTCTTTGCTTGTATGTACAACTCACCAGCGTCTGAAGGACACATACCTAATGTCAATAGATATAACAGCAGTTTCCAAGATGGAAACGGAAGAGAAGCGCTTGCTGGATCCGACCAGAGGCTCTTGCATTGGCCAACCAGATGCCTAAGGGAAGCTCAGTGTGGAATAAGGGCTTGTGTACAGCAGAAAGCTGATCCGCGAGAGCAAAAAAAAATCCTACCAACTGCTATATTGTAGTGCTACTATTGATATATTTACTGCTGAAAAACCCAGAGATTCATTTCCATGCTAATTCCATCTTTACAGGGATCAATATATTCGCCATTAGCACTACATCAGACTACATCCACACAGGGTTTTTTTCCAAATAACTAAGCAAGATTATCCCTGCTTCAAAGTACTTTGTCATTCATTCGTGAATTACGGTTAAGCAGTTCTCCAGCAAACATTAATCTTTTTAATAAATAAATAAATAAATAAATGAAACCACCCACAATGGATTAAAAAAACCCACATTTGCAGCACTGATCCATTATATGATCAATTTTCCTTTATCACGTGCTTTCAACTGACTTTCAATGTGAGATTAATCCTTTTCGGAAACAAATCACACGACATCACCTCAGGATATCGTTTTGGGTAAAGAACGCCTGCTTGGATTAGTTCTGGATGAGAACATTAACAAATGATAGTTTCCAAAGAAGGAGTTGGCTAAATCAGCTTCAAATATCAACCCTAAATTATTCACCTAGTTTTCCATTTTCACATAGTCTGCCTGAAGGCAACTGAGGCGATGTTTGAACACACCCTGAAACAATAATAAAATAGAGGGCCATAGAATAATTTTGAAACATTAGTTAAAAGTCAGCGGCAACTAGAGATGGGGAAAGATTTTTATTCAGTCCACTTTTTTAAACAAAAATGACCTAAATTGTATAATAATAATAATAATAATAATAATAATAATAATAATAATTTATTATTTATACCCTGCCCATCTGGGTGGGTATCCCCAGCCACTCTGGGTGGCTCCCAACAGAATATTAAAACACAATGAAACATCAAACAGTAAAAACTTCCCTAAAGAGGGCTGCCTTCAGATGTCTTGTAAAAGTCAGATAGTTGTTTTATTTCCTTAACATCTGATGGGAGGGCGTTCCACAGGTCAGGCGCCACTACCGAGAAGGCCCTCTGCCTGGCTCCCTGTAACTTTGCTTCTCTCAGGGAGGGAACCGCCAGAAAGCCCTCAGTGCTGGACCTCAGTGTCCAGGCTGAACGATGGGCGTGGAGACGCTCCTTCAGATATACTGGGCCAAGGCCATTTGGGGCAGGCTTCCTCAACCTCGGCCCTCCAGATATTTTTGGCCTACAACTCCCATGATCCCCAGCTAGCAGGACCAGTGGTCAGGGATGATGGGAATTGTCGTCTCAAAACATCTGGAGGGCTGAGGTTGAGGAAGCCTGGTTTAGGGCTTTAAAGGTCAGCACCAACAATTTGGATTGTGCTCAGAAACGTACTGGGAGCTAATGGAGGTCTTTCAGGACCAGTGTTATATGGTCTCAGCGGCCGCTCCCAGTCACCAGTCTAGCTGCCATAAGAATAGAAGAAGACTCTGCTGGATAAGCCAGTGGCCTATCTAGTCCAACATTCGGTTTTTACAGTGGCCAACCTATTGAAAACATGCAAGGAGGAGCCAAGCATAAGAACACTCTCCCTTCTTGCAGCTTCTAGCAATGGCTGTTGAGAGGCATTACTGCCTCCCAACCGTAGAGGCAGAGAATAGCCATCACATCTAGTAGCCCAAACTAATGCACAGATCGGAGCGTAATTATTAGGGCTCTGCCCCTGATTCAGCTGAAGCCCTAATCCCACACCAGATCAGGTTGATCTGGGCTCCAGCTGAATCCAGTTGAGATGGCTTTCGATCAGTCACCTGGGGTTGCCAAAAGGCAGGACAGTTGGGTGGGAGGGGAGAAGGAGAGACAAACAACCTCTGCAGTGTTTGCCGCAGGGAACTGGCAAAGCAACACCCAGCAGGATTGAACCCTTTATTCACCAGCTGGTGATCGGAAGGTATGATCCTGCTCTCTGCAGTGGAGGGAGGAAGGAGGAAGGAGATCTAAGGTGTCTCCATCTTCCCCTCCCAGCTCCCAATCATAGGCTTGCCATACGTCAGGAAAATTCCTGACATGTCCTGGTTTTTGGATGTAAAAATGGCGTCAAGGGGGAATTTTCCTGAATCGGCAAAATGTCAGGGAAAACCGAGGTGTATGGCAACACGGTGGGAAAAGCAGAAACAGCTCCAAAAACTTAAAATTACCCAAAGAAGCTCAATAATTTTTGAAATATGGCAACCCTACCCAACCACATGTTTAAAAGGTAAAGGTAAAGGGACCTGAGATAGTTAAGTCCAGTCGCGAACGACTCTAGGATTGCGGCGCTCATCTCACTTTACTGGCCGAGGGAGCCGACGTTTTGTCCGCAAACAGCTTCTGGATCATGTGGCCAGCATGACTAAGCCGCTTCTGGCGAAACCAGAGCAGCACACAGAAATGCCGTTTACCTTCCCGCCAGAGCGGTACCTATCTATCTACTTGCAATTTGACGTGCTTTTGAACTGCTAGGCTGGCAGGAGCAGGGACTGAGCAACGGGAGCTCACCCTGTCGCAGGGATTCAAACCACCGACCTTCTGATCGGCAAGCCCTAGGCTCTGCGGTTTAGACCACAGCTTAAAACTGTAATTAAAGTTGTGAGTGGAGGAAGTGAAGCCACATCTTCTTCCCCTGCCCAACTCCTGACCACAAGTTTAATCAGAGTTTTAAACCCTGATTAGCACTAAGGTTGGCCTGCAAATTGATTTGAGAGCTTGATCTGAGTCAGTTTGGCCCTGGGTCAGTGTTGAGCCAAAGTGCCAGACTGAGGAGACCTTGCAAAGCCTTAATTCTTCTTCAGGTATTCCTTTATGTATCGAGTTTCTTTCCTTTTTAACAATTTTTTAATTAAATTTTCAACAAAAATAACAAAAATAAAAAACAATAACGAATACAACAACAAAGAAAGAAAAATATACACGAAAACAATATCAATTCCATAAAATGGGATTCTCTGAATCCCGTCACACACACACACACACACACACACACACACGGTTCCTTAATTTTTTCTTTTCAGCTGCATATCATTTCTACTCCAAATTATTTTTTATCTCAAATTTCCTATACTATCTCTATACTTACAAATGTTCTTAAAATGCTGCCAATAAATTAACCTGTTTACAATACTTTTGCAAATATATAATAAACATTTCCCATTCTTTTTTAAATTTCTTGTCGTCTTGATTTCTGAGCTTTCCAGTTAATTTCGCCATTTTAGCATAGTCCATTAACTTGGTTTGCCAATCTTCTTTGGTTGGGACTGCTTCCCTTTCTATCCTGCCCTTCTTCCCAAAGAATCCCAGGCCTGCATTTGTCAGAATTTTGGAAGTCTTCAAATTTTGAAGCACAGTTCTAGCAGTAACTAACAGCGTAACTACCAGGGAAGAGGAATTTTATGTCTGGTAAACACTAATCATTGTCCTTCTCACTCCTTGTAGGACTCCGGCGAGTGTAAAGCTGAAGTTCACATCGATGACTCCGCTGAACATTCCAACGTTTTGCAGAAATGCACTAACATTACTGGTAGGTGCTATTTTTAAGTTAGCACACAGTAGACTGACCGAATAGGAAAACAGTGACCAGGAATGGGCAGAAGAATGGTCCATGTTGATAAATGCAAAAAAATGCTCCCCAGGAAAAGATGAAAGCCCCAAGCTTGGTTTTATGTTGTTGTTGTTAAGTTGTTTAGTCGTGACCCCATGGACCAGAGCACACCAGGCACTCCTGTCTTCCGCTGCCTCCCGCAGTTTGGTCAGACTCATGCTGGTAGCTTCGAGAACACTGTCCAACCATCTTGTCCTCTGTCGTCCCCTTCTCCTTGTGCCCTCCATCTTTCCCAACATCAGGGTCTTTTCCAGGGAGTCTTCTCTTCTCATGAGGTGGCCAAACTATTGGAGTCTCAGCTTCAGGATCTGTCCTTCCAGTGAGCACTCAGGGCTGATTTCCTTAAGAATGGAGAGGTTTGATCTTCTTGCAGTCCATTGGACTCTCAAGGGTCTCCTCCATTACCACAATTTAAAAGCATCAATTCTTTGGCAATCAGCCTTCTTCATGGTCCAGCTCTCACTTCCATACATCACTACTGGGAAAACCATAGCTTTAACTATACGGACCTTTGTCGGCAAGGTGATGTCTCTGCTTTTTAAGATGCTATTTACTTAAATTAAAAGGAGCCTATTTCGTGATGGGTTACTTTAGTACGTGTGGAGCAAGATAGGAATTGAGAAATGGGCCACATGGAGATATTCAGCCAACAGGTCCGTGTATTTGAAGGGGTTTGTGTGTCTATGAATATATTTGAGACCTATATGCTACCAGTACTTACCCTGAGGCAGAAGGAAGCCTGGCTAAGACCCCCATTAATATTTCCCAACATGTACATATTTCATTTAGATTTATGGTTTGTTGAGGTAATTAAGAAACAAGGCTAGGAACTGAAGGCCAGGCTGGCAGGACTGAAGCAGAAGCCTACCAAATTCTCAGATGGACACATGTGAGGGGGCAGTGCCCAGATCTGAAGCCCATTGGATGTGTCCGAGGCCTGAGGATTTGCAATATGGTTTGTTAAAGCCGTTTAGCACTGAACTTGGAGCTGCAACTCCAGCTTCGTGTGGCAGCGCTGTGGCAAGTTATGTTGTAGCGCCTGTGCAAATGCATCCCCGATTGCTAGAACCTGAACTGCTTGCAAGCACCTTAGCTAAGCTCCGTTCTGCGAATGGCTGTTTGGCTTTATTTTTACCTACCAGCAAGTCTTCTAACTTCATTCTCAAGCACATTTATAAGGCAATGGTGACACCTAGTTGTCACTGTTAAATGGTAGCTGTATGCGTTCTGCAGGGACACTTTCTGGCCCCTTTGTGAAAGCTGAAATCTAACATACGCTGTGCACCGCCGGAAAATACGGCTCTGATTCCGAAGTCTGGGAAAGTTCCCCGTTGTATCTGAAGAAATGTGAAAACTAGAAGTACCCTCCAAATCTATTGAATAGGATTTGCTACGTTCAAGGTGCCTTGTCAATCACAGGAGCCAATTCCTAGGAACCGTGGGGGCTTCAGCCCCCACAATAAAATATTTGAGGGGGCCGCCTCCCCAAGTTTTGGGACATTTCCATTCAAAGGGGGGGTGCATTGTGTCACGGGCCCCCACAATATTTTATTCACGTTGGCACCCCTATTGTCAATAGCTGGATGAATTCGCATGGCCATGGAGACCAAGAGAAGGGGAGATTGCCAGTTTCATTAATGCTGCAGCATTAATGAAATTAAAAATTGCCATGTTCAAGCCCAGTGATAGACTATTTGTGTACAGTGCTCAGAACTACTCTGCCTTCGACTCCAGTCCTCTGGTCCTTCACCTCCTGTGTTTTTTATTATCTGTAAGCTGCCTTGGGTCCCTGTCAGCTAAAAAGGTGGGGCATAAATAAATTTAGTAGTAGTAGTAGTACCACTTATAAACGCCATCTCCAACTCCTCGAAAGATTCCATCAACGGTGTCTCCAAAAAATTTTACACATCACTTGGGAAGACAGGCGAACTAATATAAGTGTACTGGAAGAAGCAAAGATCACCAGTGTTGAAGCAATGATTCTTCAACATCAACTTTGTTGGACTGGTCATGTTGTGCGGATGCCTGATGATCGTCTTCCAAAGCAACTACTCTATTCCGAACTTAAAAATGGAAAGCGTAATGCTGGTGGTCAACAAAAGAGGTTTAAAGACTCTCTTCAGGCAAATCTAAAAAAATGTAGTATAAACACTGACAACTGGGAAACACTGGCCTGCGAGCGCTCCAGTTGGAGAACAGCCTTTATGGAAGACAATCTTACTCGGCTACGAGTGATCGCCAAAGAAGAAGAGTAGTATTTCTTTTCCCTTGCCTCCCATAGGAGCCCAATGCAGCAGAATAACAAAACAACAAACAAAATGAAACAAAAGCAGTGTTTTCACATGCTCATTTTCTCCCGCAGGACTATAGCTGTACAGTACAAAGGGGTCCTTCTGACTGGTGTTCTATGGCAGGTGTATTACGCAACATGTTCCTGACTCAATAATAATACATTAATGGTCGGTTGATTCTGCATCGTTAGTTCTTCTGCTATGCTTCCTGAAAGCTACCACATTACTACTGTCGGGAGGCAATATAATAGCGCAACAAACGCAGGGCAAAGCCAGAAAGTTTGCAATATGAAATGTCACACGATTTCAGCAGGACGTTGTAGGATGTGCACCAATTGCAAGTTAAGCATTGGCTGGATGTTACGCAGTTTGCCCACCCCTAAGGCTTTGCAGGTGCAAAAGTGGGGTGACGTATGACCCCTGAGATCCCATCATGAGCGCAAATCATCATGAATGTGCAATAAAAGGGAGGTTTGGAGGGGCCCTACATTTTGGAGAACTGGGCTCTTGCTTCTATTTAAATTTTGATTACTGTAAAAGCAGCCACAATTAGACTGGGACCACAGCACTGAGGGAAGAGGGTTGAACATTTTTCTTAATGTTGTTCATCGACTGTGAATGTCTTACCTGAACCACTATTTCCCCCAGGAAATTTCTTTCTTTCTGCATTGTACCAGCTTACCGAAGCTGGCAAAGTGCTGTTCTTGTTTTGCTTGTTCTTCAGTCCCAGACAAGGTGACCAGGGTGCATGCCGGATGCCTAGGCTGCTGGCAATCCATATCCACCAAGATTTTGGAGTTGCTGCCCATTTTGAGACACGCCATAAAGCTACATAACAACCAGAGCGGAATGCCAAACCTTTTTGAAGCTGGAGAGATAGTGAAAGCCCAGCGTCAGGTTTGTATATGTCTGGGGTGGAGGGAACCTAATGTCATGCGCCCCTTGACATCATCTGGGTCTCCATACGCTGGTGTCATGACCTCAGGGTCTGCCTCACCCTCTTCAGGGGATAATAATAATAATAATAATAATAATAATAATAATAATAAATTTTAAATTTTTAAATTTATATCCTGCCCATCTGACTGGGTTTCACCAGCCACTGTGGGCAGCTTACAACATATACAGTCGTACCTTGGTTTTTGAACAGCTTAGTTCTCTAATGTTTTGGCTCCCGAATGCAGCAAAACCGGAAGTGACTGTTCTGGTTTTTGAATGTTCATTTGGAAGCCGAATGTCTGACGGGGCTTCCGCAGCTTCTGATTGGCTGCAGGAGCTTCTTGCAGCCAATCAGAAGCCACGCTTTGGTTTCCGAATGTCTTGGAAGTCGAACAGACTTCCAGAATGGATTCTGTTTGACTTCCAAGGTACGACTGTGTGTGTGTGTGTGTGTGTGACATAACATCAAACATTAAAAACAAAATATCCTATACAAGCAACAGACCAATAAATCAATAGAAACCAATTACAATAATAACAACAATAGTGATAATAATAGTAGACTGTTTACAGTTATACCCAAATTAAAGTAACCGCCAACCTCAACTACTGTATTGTTCGCTCCATAGAACGCAGTTTTTCCTTCTTAAAAACTAAGGGGGAAAGTCTGTGTGTCCTACAGAGCGAATGCAGGGGGGAGGCAGGCAGGAAAAGCCCCCAAGAGCCTCACACAAGCTTCACGCGGCTCTTGGGGGCTTTTCCCCAGGAGGGAGAAGGGACCGCCGCTCCCTGACCTGTTCTGGGGGCTGGGGTCGGGGGAAGCTCAGGCTTACCCCGCCCCCAGCCCCACAAGCTCCAGGAGTGGAGGCAAGGCTGCGCGCAACCTTGCCGCCGCTCCCGGACCTGCTCTGGTGGCTGGGGATGGGGGAAGCCCGGGCTTTCCCTGCCCCCAAGCCCCGCAAGCTCCGGGAGCGGAGGCAAGGCTGCCTGAAACCCCCTGAGCGCAGCGGCAGTTCGAGCTGTGCTCGGGGGCTTCAGGCAGCTATCCACAAGCCTTCGGAGCGCGGTGGGAGTTCCCCCCGCACTCCGAAGGCTTGTGGATAGCAGCCTGAAGCCTGGGGAGTGCAGCGCCAATTCCCGCTGCGCTCCCCGGGCTTCGGAGCGTGCCCCCAGCCCCACAAGCTCCTGGAGCGGCGGCAAGGCTGCACGCAACCTTGCCGCTGTTTCCAGACCTGTTCTGGGGGCTGGGGTCGGGGGAAGCTCGGGCTTCCCCCGCCCCAGCCCCGCGGCTAAAAACGAAGCCATGACAGCTAGTGGGATCCATCCCGCTCGCTGTCTTGGCTTCTGCCAAAGCCGCGTGCAGCCTCTCCCGGCTGGAGAGGTTGCACGCGGCTAAAGAGGAAGCCAAGACAGCCAGCGGGATGGATCCTGCTAGCTGTCTTGGCTTTTTTGCTCTTTGGGGCTGGTGGGGGGGGGAACTAAATTTTTTTTTCTTTAATTCACCCCCTAAAAACTAGGTGCGCACTATGGTCTGGAGCGCCCTATGGAGTGAAAAAGACGGTAAACATTTAACCAACACCAACCCGACAAAAATGAAACAGAGGAGCCAAAATTAGAACATTTTAAAACATTTTAGCTAGTTGCCCCAACCCAAGATTTGTTCCAGCAAGACTGTGGACTTGGAGCAAAAACAATGGGAGGAGTGGAAATTGCCCACAGAGCCACTCCCAATGGTCCTCACTGCGTCAGAAGGTCCAGCGTGGGAAGAGACGTTCACTTCCCCAGCCTGAAGAGGTTTCATTGCCCCTTGTGACTTTGAGAACTCCAGCCCAGAAGCTCAGCAGAACCTCCATCTCCCTTGAGCTGTAGGGGAACTTTTGTGAGTCATTTACAACCTCTCCTAAACGTTTCTTCCAGGTGGTGGCTGGATGGAAGTATAATTTTGAGTATTTGGCCAGAGAGACAAATTGTTCCAAGGCTGAATTTACAGATTTGACTGCAGAATGCAAAGCTCTTCCTCAAGGCGTAAGTGAACCTCTCTGTTTATTCTGGAATAAAGAAGGGTTCCAGAATTTTGTGCAAAAAATACCTCAAAATGTTAGAATCACCAAACGTACATGAACCAATGGATGAATGAAACATACAAATTGGACAAATTAGTATTTTTGAAAATTGCATACAATGTGCATATTTGATTTACACAGAATTTGGGAAATAAGTCTGAAGGAGGACAAAGACAGATGGAATTGTATGTAACCAGCAGAAAAAATACAGAGTGCATAGAAATGTGATAGCATTTGATGTACCTGAGGCTGGCCCTCCATCCCTAACCTCACTCTCAACCTTTATAATGTATGATGGAGATTGTGAACAGAATCGCCAGGGAGCCAGAGCAGACAGACCAGTTCAGGGAAGGGTTTCTTTTTCTTTTCTTGAACCAAACCTAGGGACGAAGGAAAAACTCAATTCAGCTGGTATTTCTTTTATTAATTAATTTATTGTTTTATTAATTAAATTTTTTATACCGCTCTTTATCTGTATATCTCTGTGAAGTTCACAACATTTAAAGGCGAACTTACCAAGTTAGCACTTTCCAAAGCAATACACGCACCAAAACACAGTCGTATACTGAAATTAACACTTCTCTGAATTTTGCAAAGCAATTCTAGAGTTAAGTGATATATACAAAAATGCAGTGCTTTTTCCCTTAAAAAAAAATGTTTAGGGGTAGTCTCATTTTGACTCGAGAAAATCACTATTTTATAGTTCAAATCAGGAAAAATCAATACAGGAAATGGAGAAAAGTACAAAGATTCACAAAATGTTTAGGGGTATGCGTACCCCTGTGTGTCCCCCCCCCCCCAGAAAAAGCACTGCAAAAATGCATATACTGGGGTAAAAGAGTGCATATAAATGTATGTATGTATGTATTTGTGAAAATAGCACACAAAAGCACATTACACATGGGGAAATTGCTTTGCAGAAATGTGTATATTAGGAGACATTCTTTGCAAAAATGTGCACACTGGAAGAAATTAGCAGTAAGATGCTGTTAAATTTTCATGAGAACGTAAACATTTTTTTAAAAAAGAAGATTTCAATAGTGTTTGCACCTGCAAAAGTTTCAGGGTGGACATACTGTTTTGTTTCTAATCCATACATGTCCCATAGCTTCCTGCTGAAGTCCTGTATCTTTTCAGACCACAAGTGTTCTGGTCCCGTCCCCCGTCCCCCGGTTTTGTTGTGCTATACTGCAAATATTGCCCCTCCAGACTGCAATATTGCAGTAACGTTAGGCTAGCATCCCTGAACAAGTAATAAAGCAGAATGATGTGTGGACGCTTCGGTATAAATCCGCCTTTAACGCATTATTATTGTGTCAATGACGTGTTGCAGAACGCACCTGCAAAAACAACACCAGCCTGGTGGGATCCTGGGGCTGAAACAACATCATAGCAAAAGTGGGAACTAAAGTCCTGTCTAGCTCCTAGACGGCAGCTTCCTCCGGGGATGTTTGGCTGCGCAGCCAAAAGCACTTCAGGAAACAGCAGTCTAATTCATTCTGTTTCTCCTCTTGGCCAAGAGAGCTGTGCTGGAAGAGTTGCCAAAAGAAATAAAAAGATTAAGACAGCAACCAATTTAACTCCAGGCAAATATTTCCATAAAAAGGAAGTTGTTAAATGATCCTCTAAAGCATATATATCTGCAATGCAGTTCAGAGGAGGGATGTTTCGAGTGGAGATATATATATTTCAGCTAGGAATTTACTAGCTACTGCATTGTTAGAGATGCCTCTGAGTTAGAAAGAACAGCTGATTTGCTTGTTCTTGCTCTGCGATTCTGCCTCCTAATTCCCCCATCAGTGGTCCAGGCCAGATTACAGGGGATCGGGGGAATGTGGATCAGGAACATTGTTTGGAGACCCTGCAAAGCAGGCGTGGGGAACTGCAGCTCACCAGACTACAACTCCCATCATCCCTGTCCATCAGCCAGGATGGCTGCAGCTCATGGAAGCTGGAGTCCGACAGCTGCTGGAGGTTCTCAGGTTCTCCACTGCTGGAGTAGACGAGAAAGAGGAATACATAGGAAGAGCTGTTAGCCATGAGAGCTAATTGAAACCCTAACCCCTATCATAATGAAAGCATGGTACTGTTTTCGCCCCCTCGCCCCAACAGCTATGGCTATTGCCTACCCAACTTTCTTAAGGAACTGCCCAGCTGAACTTAAGCCTCGAGGGAAGCAATGGACATAAAAAAAACTCCGAAACAGAAACAAGGTCATGAGAGGGTAGGAGAGGGTATATTAATTGCAATTCATCCCTCCATATGTGTGAGTCGAATATACACTGAGCAGATCTTAAAGTCCCACCCTTGGCAGAAAAATGGAATGAGGTGCCTCTGCTCAGCTTCTAAACTATGGGTTACTATTTGACTACAAGAACTCAAGGGAGGCGGGTGGCGCTGTGGGTTAAACCACAGAGCCTAGGACTTGCCGATCAAAATGTTGGTGGTTCGAATCCCTGCGATGGGGTGAGCTCCCGTTGCTCGGTCCCTGCTCCTGCCAACCTAGCAGTTGGAAAGCACATCAAAGTGCAAGTAGATAAATAGGTACTCCTCTGGCGGGAAGGTAAATGGCATTTCCATGCACTGTTCTGGTTCGCCAGAAGCGGCTTAGTCATGCTGGCCACATGACCCGGAAGCTATACGCTGGCTCCCTCGGCTAATAAAGCGAGATGAGCGCCGCAACCCCAGAGTCGTCCGCGACTGGACTTAACAGTCAGGGGTCCCTTTACCTTTACCTTTACCTTTACAAGAACTGAGCTTAATACAAATGAAATTTCATCAGTAATTTAGTGCCCGTTTCTCCTCATGTACATAGTTTTGTATACAATATTACCTTATTTTTGCAAACCAATTTCCCCCTAATTTAACACAATTATGTATGTTATTATTTGTAATATATCTATTTTAAGCACACTTTGCCCTAGTATATGCAGCTTTGTGCATGTTGCTTGTCGGGAGAACTGCATTGCAAAATTCAAAGAAGTGTGAATTTTGAAGGCGGTGTTTGGGTTCATGTACTGTTTCAGACAAGGGACGCAGGTGGTGCTGTGGGTTAAACCACAGAGCCTAGGACTTGCCGATCAGAAGGTTGGCGGTTCGAATCCCCACAACAGGGTGAGCTCCCATTGCTCGGTCCCAGCTCCTGCCAACCTAGCAGTTCGAAAGCACGTCAAAGTGCAAGTAGATAAATAGGTACTGCTCCGGCGGGAAGGTAAACGGCGTTTCCGTGCACTGCTCTGGTTCGCCAGAAGCGGCTTAGTCATGCTGGCCACATGACCCGGAAGCTGTACGCCGGCTCCCTCGGCCAGTAAAGTGAGATGAGCGCCGCAACCCCAGAGTCGGCCGCGACTGGACCTAATGGTTGGGGTCCCTTTACCTTTACTGTTTCAGACACTGCAAATTTGGGAGGATGAACCGAATTGAATTTCTCTTCCATCCCTGCTGCCCAATGAATATTAAAAAAGGAATGGGAATGGGGGGGAGGTGTGGTATGTCCTTAACATCTGGGGATTCCCTTTCTCCTTTTCCAATTCAGCCAAGAGGACCACATCAGGACATCAAAAAGAAGAGCAAAGCTTGAGATGTAGCGGCCAACACACAGCATTTGCTTTTATTTTCGGGGTTTAATGACCACTTCACCTTGTCTTCTTTTTGCTTTCTGTCCCCGCTCCAGCACATAGCTAGTTGCGTAGTTGATGCCGTTGTGGACTTGAAAGGGAAGCTTGTGCATGCTGAACAGAAGTGCATCCTTCGAGGTTTGTAACTGCAGTATTATAAAAAAAAATTGGGGGGGTGAAGTTAGTATTCATCATCTCTACGTGGGGGCAAAAAAGGTAGGGCACTTTTTGGCTCTGTTTGGGCCACAGTGCTGTGTCACACGGGACCTGGCATTAATTCCTATGGGCCAAAGAGACAAGTGAGAAACAGACCGGAGGACAGAACGCAGGCTCAGCTTACTTAGGACAATGCGGAGATGGGAGACCAAAGCGTAGCCTCTTCGCCATAGCTATGGCAGCAGCGCCCATGCCCACTGTCAGGGGACTGCCATCGGGACTGGCGAGAGAGGCAGGGGGGTACAGGGAGCCTCCGACGCTTCTGAGGAGCAGCCACTCGTCAAGGGGTGGGGAAAGCCAGTAGAACAGAGGGGGAAGGGGATAGCCAGGCGAGGGGAGGGCTCGAAGATGCTACTGAGAGCCCCAGCACCTCACCTAGCCCGGCTGGCCAGCAGACAGACACGCCGTTTCCATCACCCAGCTTACGCAGAGGGGTGAAACGTAAGGAGGGGAGGCAGAGATTTGGGGTTTCCAACTTCTTATGTTGGGGGAGAAACCAGAAGGGGCCACTCCCAGAATCTGCAAGCGACTAGGACGGACATGAACTTTGTGTTTCTGCACTGTATGTAGTTTGCACCAATAAAACCTGTAAAAGACAGGTCTGAGTCCTGCCTGGTTCCTCGCGAGCAACCACCACCAGCACCTGACACCCACATAGGCCTTCTATAGCTTCCTCTGGGCTTCCTCACCTCTCCCCGCTGAAATTAGGCTTGAAAGAAACATTCTGTTGTAACCAATAGAATGTGGTCATGGCATGTGCTCAGTCACAATACATGCGTGGTGCCTGCAGCGAGGTCTCCATTTTGAAAATTATTTGATTTTGATGAAATCTAACATGTTTTACTTAGTTTGTTCGTTTACTTACAGAAAAGGAAAAGTTTTCTGGCGCTGTTTGTCCTGGTTGCCCTCAACGTATTCCAACAGACAGCCCAGAACTGAAGGAGCCACTGGCAGTTGCCCTGGAGAAATACAACTCGCAATGTGGTGGCAATTTCTATTACAAAATTGAAACCATTACAGAAGCTTCAAGCCAGGTCTGAACTCTGTTGCTACCATTATATTTCAATGTAATGTTTTAAGAAAATTGACTCAAATTGGGATGAACTGTTCAGTCTGTCTCGAGAGACAATGGGAGGTGCCTCAGGGGGTGAAGTCAAACCGCTGGGGAATCACAGCGCCTGCTGTGGCTGCAGAGACTGATGACTCATAACCGCTGCCCCCCTGTGTTGTTTTTGCTGCGTTATCAGCACCAAATTGGCCTCCCTGGGGCACAAGCCTGGGCAGTGTTTATGGAAGCCCTGAGCTGCCCAGACTAAAAGACCCACCTCTCAACTTCCAAGACCCCCTTCTCAGCCTCGCTGGTGTGGTCCAAAGGAAAGCAGAGCAATCCGCTTGGCTGCAGGAGTTGCAAGAAGGAGGCATACAAGACGCCATCCAAACACCTTAGGGACTCCACTCAATTTGTTTAGGGTTTACTCCTTAGCCTTTTCTTCTCCCAAATATATCCTGCAAGGCAGAGGAGCTTTAGAGTCAGAGCTTTCCTACTAGAAGGGCCACCTTCCCAGGTTGATGAGCCCCACCTGTCCCTTATGGGAACATACAAAGCTGCCTTTTACTGAATCAGGCCAACGATTCATCAGCTCAGTGGTGTCTACACTGGCTGGCAGTGGCTCCCCAGGGTTTAAGGCAAGGGACAATCTGAGCCCTACCTGGAGACGTCGGGGATGAAACTTGGGACCTTCTGCATGCAAAACAGGCAACCCATCACACTGAGCTGCAGCCCTTCCCCAAAATTTAGACTTTCCCATACTGGGAGTCAAACCTGGGCCACTTGGGTGAAAACTGTGGGAATGTTCAGGGATGCAATTTAGCAGAGCAACTTTCCCCTTTTTTAAACTTGCACAGCGGATGTGTTTGCTCAGGCTCGCTAAAGCCTCTAAAATACGTTTTCCTTTTTGGTAATTCCCCATTTAGTCCCTCGTAAAAAGATAGACATGACACAGTCTTCTTTAAAAGTATAAAAAGAGTTTACTCACACATTCTGTTCACAATTGGATCACAGAAGGCAGACTTAAGTTAGAAAAGTAATATACACCTGGAAACTATCCCATAAGGAGACGGCTCCTTTGTCCATTCTTGACTGCAAGCTAAGAGAGCATCTTAGGCAAAGCAGATGTTGCTTCTTCGACAAATGTGGTCAGAGAGAGAGAGAGATGGCTGACCAGTCCTGCTCTTTTGTTACCTGGGCAGGTGAGCTCACACCCACCTCTTGTCACATACAGAAGAAGTCTGTTCCAGCCAAGGAGAAACAAGAAGTTTCGACTGGCTGGTCAAGACACCCCTTTTTATGTCCACTCTAGGGGTGTTGTACTTGACTGCTCTTGTGTTTCACATCCCACAAAAATCAGGATTTCTAACTGCTAGACCACATGAGAATATATACATTAAGCCAGATGGGATAGTAATTTTCATGCAAGACATGCCCCTACTGCTTAACCCTTTCTGTGCAAAAGTCCTGACTTGGGTTTTGAGGCTGCGCTTGAACTGCGTGAAGGCTTCACTCCCAACGTGAGGTGTGTCCCATCTCAACGCCATCCTGACAACCTCCACACTGTTTTTAAATATAACAATACTAAGTATTCACAGTGTGCTCTACAACATCCATTCCCCTATACTCATGCTTTTCCTGATCATCTTTCTCCTTAAATTTCAGGTTGTTGCTGGAATAATGTACCGAGTTCACTTTCAAATTAAGGAGACAAATTGCTCTAAGCAAATTGTCCCGAAATTGAATGATGATTGTCAGACTACAGAAGACAGTGTAAGTTACTGGGAGAGGTTCTAAGATGAATATTTTATTTCAATCCGCTAAATAAATCTTAAATTTGGATGTGGGTGGGAATATTGCAGATCCATGTGGTTATTTGTATTCTTACTTTTTGAGAAGTCCATTCCTGATTCACTTTGATTTAAGCTTCTTTAGTTCCCTGGTTAGACCTGAATGCTAGGTAATATTTAATTCAGTTAAGATTTGTAGCCTTAATTTGTGTTTGGTTTTGGCCTTAACGTTAATAAATTTTATTCCTCTTCACATGAAAACCCAGCACAACTGTTTGTAAACGAAAAGGTTTTTTTAAAAAAAATACAGATAAGAAAATGCCACAAGCTTTCACAATAGCATTCCGAGCTATAATAATTTGCCAGGGTTTGTATTTCATTATAACCTTTGACTAGAGATGTGCCACTGCTCTGTCTTGTTTTGGTTACAGAAACTGTTATACTGCTATGCATCTATTTACGAGATACCCTGGATGTCAGAAATCCACCCCAAATTGAAATGTGGTGAGGAACCTCAGGAGGTATGAAAATCCAAATTGTTACAAAACCACCCCCACTCTGCCAAGCGGTAGCAAAAGTCCAGGGGGTTCCAGACACTCATCCAGGGTCTGTGTTCCTTTGGAGAATTGAGACACAGCAGGGACTGTCGTAGCTTTAAGAAATGTGGTTTATTCACTTATTTACAGCTTCTGTTTGCACGGAGGGAGTCCAGATCTTGCAGCATGGTCATCTCAAGAGGGGCTTGTTCCCCATAGCAGTGCAGCCTTGGAGTCCAAGGCATCTGTCCCAGCCAGCCTTCAGCCAGCCAGCCCAAGATGGATCCCAGTCTTTCTTCTCCTTCTTCTTCCCAGCACACTTTGCTAAAGACTCTCTTTTCCTGTCACCTCACATCTAGTTATCCTGGCAGCCTTCTGTCTGCCCCAGCCCAAGAGTCCTCTTAGACGGGCCATCAACCCATCTTGTCATATGAATACCTCTATCCCAGGTGATAGAGTTTTAAGATGAGGCACTGCTGTTTTTAATATTGAATTTTAAATTGCTGTAACCTCTCCTTAGAGGAAGAGCAGGTAAGAAACTGAAATAATAACGAGCCAGATAAACTTGGAACAGTCTTGTCCAGTGATATCTAGAAGGCATCTGGCTGGAGTACAACTCTCATCATTGCAGACTGCTGATGTTGCTGATGGGAGTTGGGAGTCCAACAATATCCAAAGGACATCAAAGTGCAGAAAACTGGCTTGAAGGTTTGGTGTGGTTTGGTACAGACTGGAGAGAGACAAGGACCCACTTCCCATGCTAGTTCTTCTAGTCTTTAGAGCTCCAGTGAGAGCCAGTGTGGTGTAGTGGTTAAGAGCGGTGGACTCGTAATCTGGTGAACCGGGTTCGATTCCCTCCTCCTCCACATGCAGCTGCTGGGTGACCTTGGGCTAGTCACATTTCTCTGAAGTCTCTCAGCCCCACCCACCTCACAGGGTGTTTGTTGTGAGGGAGGAAGGGAAAGGAGATTGTTAGCCGCTTTGAGACTCCTTCAGGTAGTGATAAAGCGGGATATCAAATCCAAACTCTTCTTCTTCCAGTCAAGATGTTGATTGCATTTGGCCTATAAGACTTAATGCTCTTAGCCCAATGTACAGTGGTACCTCGGGTTACATATGCTTCAGGTTACAGACGCTTTCAGGTTACAAGACTCCACTAACCCAGAAATAGTACCTCGGGTTAAGAACTTTGCTTCAGGATGAGAACAGAAATCGCGTGGCAGCGACAGCAGGAGGCCCCATTAGCTAAAGTGGTGCTTCAGGTTAAGAACAGTTTCAGGTTAAGAATGAACCTCTGGAACGAATTAAGTACGTAACCAGAGATACCGCTGTATCTGAGAGACTTGCTTTTCTGTGTGCCATTGTAGGAAACAGAAGAAAGCCAGCCCTTGAAGAAACCAGACATGATGCAGGTACAGGCAACGCAATAATGGGGGGGGGGACGTGTTATGCTTTAGCAGTTTTGGAGCCACCCCTAGAGTCTAGTCACTCTGGGCACATCTGTTGCTGCAAACTCATAATTTTAATACTCATTGTGACTTCTCCCATAGAATACTTGGATTTGCAGTTTAGTGAGGATTCTGTTAGAAATCCTGAACTTCCCCTCATAGAACTGCAGTTCAGTAGATCCCTGTCTGGGCTGAGGGAATGGCTTTTAAACCAGTTTTAAGCCTGAAGTGGAGCTATGCCCTCAAAGTTCAGAACAACTTCGAGAAAGTTCATTATTGGGGCTTGTGGGGGGGTGGGGTCCTGGATTCAGCGTGGTCCGAGTTTCCAATTTACATTCCACCATATTTTAATAGTTAAGTCTAATTCTTGTCTGTTCTTGCGCAATCTTGACTTCCGGGATGTGTTGGTCTGTTTTAAACACCTAATTAAATACATTGTGATGGTTTTTCAGCTTATGAGGAGAGGTCCAGGTTACACCCCATTCCGAAGGGCTGGTCTAGCCCTCATCACAGGAACAAGCGGAGGTGAACCAAGTGGAGCTTGTAACCTAGGCTTTGGCAGCAATCATGGCCACAGCCACAAACATGGCCACAGCCACAAATATGTCCTTAAAAAGCCCAAAAGCAAGCCGAAAAACAAGTCTTCTGAAGAATCTGATGAAGACAAAACTACACTTACACCAGCTGCTGAAATCCCAGAACCGCTACCTACTTTAGACGTGCTTCAACAAGAGGAGGTTGAGACACCACAAGACATCAATGGACCTCCACCTTCTTTGTTTGAACCTTTACCGGATCTGCCAGAACCACCAGCTCCTAAGTGTCCAGGGAAACCGTGGAAACCCATTATAGCCCTTCAGGAACCTAGTCGTGACTTCACACTCGAAGATCTTTTACCTCCCTCTGTGGACACCGCTGAACCGATCGAAACAACACCAGCTCCCAACCCGTCAATCTCCCTCGATTTTGATCTCACAGATGCTCTGTAACCAGTTTATTATTTCTTCAGGAATTCATGAAATCCCACAGCAGTTGAAGTGGGAAAGTGACTCGGATTTTAAGGCTGCGCGCAAACATAACACTGAAACAGGAGTTGCGGCAAATTGTTTTCCCACACGGCAAGCCTGGCCTCCCCCTTTTGCAATGCAATTGGCAGGTGTGCAACCCCGAAATTTAAACGTTGAGTCAGCAACCTTGCCTCTCACATGCTTTTTTTGTTTTGTTTTTCGAATTATTTATTTCAGCATTTGTCCTCTTCCTCCTTTTCTTACACTGGGACGAAAAAGCAAAATTTAAGAGTTACCAAAGTGTTCCAAGGACGTGGGGGTGGTAGGTTCAGTATATCATAGGCAACCTGCCAATCTGCAATGTATAGATGGCTCCTATAACAAATTCTCAGAACTAGTTGCCTCTGTACCAATCCCTGGAAAGAATCATTTGTTTGAACAGAATGTCCTAATTGCACTTTTTGAGCAACCTCGCTACACCAATAGTGTTATGTTTGTCTGCAGCCTTGTTAGCCAGTAAATTTCTGAATGAATTCCAAGTATGATCTAGCGTATTGCACCTGATTATTTCCCACTCCCGCCCCGACTCAGTTGAAATCAGTAGAATGTTCCAGCATCGAAACAGTAAGGATGAAAGCAATGTAGCCTACTTACTCTAATGCAAAGTACATTTGGTGATTGAGCTGCGCTCTCTTCCCTGGCTATTGCAAATAATAAAGCAAGCATTGAAAAAGCACTCAAGTACTAAATATACTTTGTTGGCAACGAACCAGGAAGGTCTTTGAAGGCTTGGCCAGAGAAACTCAGTTTTCCCAAATGCCTCTGGGCCTCAAACTCAGAGTTAAAACAAAATTTAAAAAGTGATAAACCTCGCTAAATTTAGGCACCCACTACTTCATGAACCACAGCAGCTGAAAGCTTGAATTTTTCAAAAATAGGTTGGTTATGAAATCCAACATGACGACTCTCATTCCAGGCAATGTGTGCATCATCATCTACTGATAATTATTATTATTACAACTATTTATTAAATTTGTATACCGCCCTATACTCGCAGGTCTCAGGGTGGTTCACAAGAAAAAAAATCACAATATAAAAACACAGAATGCATAATCAAAACAAAAACAACTCAATAGTCATGTGGCACCGTGAAGCCCAGAATGCATCATAGGATACTGTCACCTGTTGTATCTGTCAGGGGTTCAGCCTACCCTCAAGTAGGACCCTGGCAGAGACACATGCCCGACTGGCATATTCCCTCCCTCCTGGTCGATCGTTCGGGAGCTTCAAAAGCTTTCTTCTGTCTGAACATCACAGCGACCGATGCCAACAGACACCGGCACACTTAGGGATCTGCAGAGTTTGCACATCATGCATAACAGACGTCAGCATTTTGGCTAATCTACTTTATTTACATATAAACACACACAGAGAACTGCAACATGGCTCCCTCTCTCTCTAGCATCAGACAGCAAAGAGAAAGAGAACAAAGGACAATAGTCCCACTTCACAGAACACAGTAACACAACCATCCTGTCTCTGTCACTTCCCACTTTGTGGAGTCAAAACATATACCGTCATGTGAAAGACAACAATCCCATGAGTGCAATCATGGAGCAGGAATTCTAACAGTATCTGTTTGAAACTTTGCTTTCTTTCCCTTTCCATGTGATGCTTTATACATCAGGGCTAAGGAACTTTTTTTTTTTTTTTAGTTTGAGGGCCACATTCCCTAGTGGATAACCTTTTGGGGGCCGCAGGCCAGGTGTGGGTGGGGTTGGAGGCAAGAGGGTGGGGCAACAGGTGTGACTCATACCCTTTGCAATATCAGAGGTTTATACACATACCTCTCCCCTTTCAGGAAAGCAAGGTTCATCATCATGTCGCAGCCAGGCAAAAAAACTCAAGGAAAGCAGGAAATACGGTTGGACTAGGGAGAGGTAAGGGTCATGGATTGTCCCAGGGCCTGATAGAGAGGCATGGAGGACTTTATTTGTCCTTTAGGGCTGGAGTTCCCCATTGCTACAGAGCAGGAATTTGAAGCTTGACTTTGGCTGGATCTAGACACAACAAAGAAGCTTTTCAGTTAAACGCCCTGCAAACTTTGTATGAGAAATCGTGTTGGCAGAAACAGAACTCCACATCGCCATCTGGTGTCCCTGCGTTAGAATGCATAAACAACACATATAAAGCGCCTTTTCTTCGCCAATGTAGCCGAGTCCCTGGTCAAAGGCAATAAACTAATACTTGTATTTTGTAGGTGAGGAACACTGCAGCCGAGATATAAGAGACTGGCACAAAGCCAGCCACAGCTAGGCATGGACAAAAACTGTTGTTTCCAGTTTCTCTTTCGCAGTCTTAAATTCAGTTCTCCGCATTTCCGCAGCAATTTGCGATTGATTTGTTTTTAAATCCCAATGAAAGCTCATCAGCATCTCAGTGCAAATTTCTCCTAACGAACACATTTCAAACACACACATTTTACGCACGTGGTTTGGCTGGAGGACCACATCACAAAATTCAGAGAAGTGGAAATTTAGGAGGGCTAAGTTTCAGTTCATTCGTTCATTCAAGATGTGTGGAGTAGGAGGCAGCTTCTCCACCCTAAAATCGAATTTCACCTCCATTCCTAGCCATGGCAGACTCCCCCCCCCCTTTTCCTTCTGGGAGCCAGAAACCCTTTGCCAATCAACTGCAAATCACCCAGACGTGTACATTTATTTCTTTATTTATTTACATTACTTATATCACTGCAAATTTTTTTTTTTTAAAGCCTGGCCTCCTGCCCCTCAATTTTCCAAAAGGGAGGCCAGCACATACACCCACCAACTCCTGAATCTACAACTCCAAGAAAGGCCCTTGTCTGGCAGGATGTTTGAGAAATCCCAGTGAGAATTTATACCATGGGTAGGAAAACTAAGACCTGGGGGCCGGATCCAGCCCAATCACCCTCTAAATTCAGCTCGGTCCGGGAATCAGCGTGTTTTTACATGAGTAGAATGTGTCCTTTTATTTAAAATGCATCTCTGGGCTATTTGTGGGGCATAGGAATTCGTTCATTTCCCCCCCCCAAAAAAAAAAAATATATAGTCCGGCCCCCCACAAGGCCTGCGGGACAGTGGGCCGGCCCCCTGCTGAAAAAGTTTGCTGACCCCTGATTTATACCAGTGATAACCATCTTCACCTGTGTCAGCTATCTCCTCGAAAGGTGTCGAACCTGAAGCTGACCACCTATGCTGTGTTACATGAGAGAGAGAGAAGAAGAATCTTTATTTACATCAGCCACTAGCCACAGCAATAAAATAAAATGTACTGTGTTACATTTGAGGAGGCCAGAAACCTGTTTGTAAGTAACTAGGTTGGCACAGGTAGATTTGAGCAACAGAGCTTCTTTTATTTTCAGTAATTCTACTTTGTGCTCTCAATTTATTTCACATGAGGCACAAATAGTGTTAAATTTTCTTGTGTGTGCAATCCAGCCAATGTTCCCCAGTGTTTGTTGCAGGAACATCTCATTTTCCCCAACATTCAAACTGCTAGAATAAATTGCTGGGGGGAAATGTGCTGGATAGGCTTGGATACGATGGAAATATTGTACGTTTTGAATGCTGGGTGGATATTTATTTATTTACTGCAAGGAGCTCAAGGTTCTCCTCTTCCCTGTTTCATCCTCACCACAACCCTGTGAGGTGAAGATTAAGCTAATTGATGGTGACAGGCCCAAGGTCACCCAGTAAGCTTCATGGCTGAGTGGGGATTCGAACTCTGGTCTCACAGGTCATAGTCCAATACTCTAACCATTATGCCACACTGGATAGTGGTGGGTGTTTTTGCAGTTGTTTTGGATTACAGTCATACCTCGGGTTGAAGTAGCTTCGGGATAAGTATTTTCGGGTTGTGCGCTGCAGCGACCCAGAAGTAACGGAGTGCATTACTTCTGGGTTTCACCACTCGCGCATGCGCAGATGGTCAAAATGACGTCACGCGCATGCACAGAAGCGGCGAATCACAACCTGCGCACGTGCAGATATGCGGACGCGGGTTGCGCTTGCTTCTGGAAGCAAATGGGACTCCAGAACAGATCCCATTCGCATCCAGAGGAACCACTGCATATTGTATGGAGGGATTTTTTAAATCTAGATTTGATAGATGGCACTTGTGCCCTCACTGTGATCTGAAATACAAATTCCTCTCTCTCTAGCATAATAATAATTTATTATTTAGACCCCGCCCATCTGGCTGGGTTTCCCCAGCCACTCTGGGCGGCTTCCAACTGAATATTAAAAACAATACAGCATCAGACATTAAAAACTTCCCTAAACAGGGCTGCCTTCAGTTGTCCTTTAAAAGTAAAATAGTTGTTTATTGCCTTGACATCCAGTGGGAGGGTGTTCCACAGGGCAGGCGCCACTACCAAGAAGGCCCTCTGCCTGGTTCCCTATAGCTTCACTTCTCACAGGGAGGGAACCACCAGAAGGCCCTCAGCGCTGGACCTCAGTGTCCGGGCAGAATGATGGGGTGGAGATGCTCCTTCAGGTATATTGGACCAAGGCCGTTTAGGGCTTTAAAGGTCAGCACCAACACTTTGAATTGTGCTCGGAAACGCATACCATTTTCTGATTTAGCCTTCTTCCTCCCAGCCCCACCTTCAGAGGCTATGCATTTTTCCAGCATAGTCATATTCTTCATTTATCTTATGCAGCAGCCTTCTCTGTTCTTTGGATGGGCCACTGGCTGAGAGATACATGAATCATCCCTGCCCTGCCAAAAATGAAAACAGGCAGGCAGCCATCTCAAATTGTTGTTACCCTCTAACTGCCACACCACCCGCAAGACTTTTTCATCTTTTGGCTGCTTCTAACAAGTTGCTGTTCCTTCCCTTTGGCCATTAGAGGGCAGCTTGTTCTGAACTTGTTCTCGGAATCTCCTTGTCTGTTGACCCTGCCAGTTTGCAGAAAGGGGTTTGTGCAGATAATGACGTACCACGCCTCAGCTTACTCAAAAGGTGACGCTGGCTTGGCCTATCAAACAAGGTTGCTCCCATTATCAGTGAGAAGTTACAAGGCATTTTCACGTCTAAAACGGACGGCTAGTATCTCGCTTGCAGCACGCAGGGCTTATCCAGACACAGTGGTGTAGGAAGGGGGGGTGCAGGGGGTGCGGGTCGCCCCGGGTGTCATCACTGAGGCGGGTGTGTGACAAAAAATAACTCCCGCACCCACCGCACGCCCCTTCCCTCACCACTGCAGGCGCACTCTCCCCTTGAGTGATTTCCAGAAACCAGAAGCCATTGCTGTCTCCAACTTTGCAGGCAGAGCACAGCCTTTATGGCTAGTAGCCTTTGACAGCCCTCTCCTCCAGGAATCTGCCTAAACTGCCTCCTCCTCTCTGTCTCCCTCGCCTGCTCGCTTTGGCATAGTAAGTCTCCGTGGAGGAAAGCCGCTTCCCTCTGCAGGAATCGGGAGAGTCCTGGCATGGCCAGCCGCGCAGAGAGCGAGGCTCCCCCCTGGAGGCCAGGAGGGGCGGCAGGGATCTTCCTGCCAGCTGTCAGCCGCCTGGAAGGTTTCCAAGGCTTGACTGGGTTGAAATGGGCTGAGGCTGCTTGGGACAGTTTTCCGTGAGGGCTGCCTTTCTGGTATTGTAGGGGACGGGTGGGAGTGAGTTAATACTTTTTGCTGGGTCTGGGTTGCTCTGGGTTTTATGACTGCATGGCGGGAGCCGCCTTTGGAGGCTTGTTGCCCTAAAAAGTAGCTTTTGAATAAAGAATAATAATAATAATAATAATAATAATAATAATAATAATAATTTATTATTTATACCCCACCCATCTGGCTGGGCTTCCCCAGCCACTCTGGCTTCCAACAAAATATTAAAATACAGTAATGCATCAAACATTAAAAGCTTCCCTAAACAGGGCTGCCTTCAGATGTCTTCTAAAAGTCTGGTAGTTGTTGTTCTCTTTGACATCTGGTGGGAGGGTGTTCCACAGGGCAGGTGCCACTACCGAGAAGGCCCTCTGCCTGGTTCCCTGTAACTTGGCTTCTCGCAGTGAGGGCTTGGGGAATTGAGGGGGAAGAGTTTGGAGACCCACACTTAGGCGAGCATGAAGGCAGAGGCATAGCTAGGTGAGGCGGGGGGTTAGGGTTAGGCACTGGGTGTCACACCGCGGGGCCTGCAGCGTGCCTGAGCCACGCGTCTCTCCTGAGGGGAAGGCGGTGGCAGACTGCCTGCAAGCTCCGAGCTGCTTTTTTGAGCAGCGTGGAGCTTGAGTCTCCCCACTGCCTCAGCCAGCCCACAGCTGAGAGGGAGGCTGCGGAGAGGCTCCAGGAAGCGCACCCTGCCTTGGCTCGCCCTGCCCCCATGGGCGGCTCGCTCCACCCCTGGCTGCAGGGCGCGTGCGCCTCCCGTGCACCTGAGCAACTAGTTACGTCACTGTCCAGACGTCCCCATGTGCTGCTTCTTTCTCCTAGCTCTCAATTGGAGCAAACAGCAAGTAGAAAACTGCTTGAAGTGTGCTTTCTAAGCAAAGGAAAAACAGAATTGTAGACAAGCCCTCGGTGGAGAATTCAGCTTCTTTGGGGCAGGAGGACGATTCAGAAATACAACAAACAAACAAAACAAAACAGACCTCCATACATTTAAAGCACGTTCCTGCAATAATGTGACTGGAAGTAGGCCTAATTTCAATAGAATCTCAAATATGGTTGCATAGGTTCCGCTTTTGTTTGAAAGTGATGCATATGCCTGTGAGACTGGCTCCCCTCACATTGACCGATTCTTTTTTCTCCAAGTGGGGTGGGGAAAACCATCTAAATACCAAATTATTAAATTTGGGTTTCTCCAGCAGCGATATCCCACCCCAAGGATACGATAAAGCAAAAATGAACATTGCACAGAGAATCAGAGATATCGAATTACAAAACCACTTAGCCCAAGCTGATTCATATCCCGTGCACAGGACAAACAGATTGGCGCCGGCAATTCCCAAATATTGGACAAATTTGACTATCCACAAATTTAGAAAGGCATTTTTACGCAAGCCGAATTTAATGTCATGCCATCTGCTCCATTGGATGGGAGATACAGAAAAATTCCTCACAGTGAGCGGAGCTGTCCATGTCAGAGCAGTCAAACAGAAACAGTGGGCCATGTTCTCTTTCATTGTAGATTTCATTCAGATTCCAGAGCCTCCCTCATAACTCCTCTGGTACGAAAAGTGCCAGTGAGGATGGAAGAATACTATTTAAAATACCTCTTGTCTGACTGGAATTCATATGTTACTAGAAATGTAGCAAGATTTTGTGCAATAGCCATAAGTCAAAGAAAGCAAAAGATTAAACAGCTACATAAATCGTCACGAACTGCTACAGTTCTTAGCTAAATCTCTTGATCTTTTAAACTTGTATGGTGTTTTATTCCTCTGATTATGTATTTTAAAGGTAAAGATAAAGGACCCCTAACAGTTAAGTCCAGTCACGAATGACTCTGGGGTTGCAGCGCTCATCTTGCTTTACTGGCCGAGGGAGCCGACGTTTGTCCGCAGACAGTTTTTCCGGGTCATGTGGCCAGCATGACTAAGCCGCTTCTGGCGAACCAGAGCAGTGCACGGAAACGCCGTTTACCTTCCCCCCCAGAGTGTTACCTATTTATCTACTTGCACTTTGACGTACTTTCGAACTGCTAGGTTGGCAGGAGCTGGGACCGAGCAACGGGAGCTCACACCGTCGTGGGGATTCGAACCGCCAACCTTCCGATCAGCAAGCCCTAGGGTCAGTTGTTTAGACCACAGTGCCACCCGTGTCCCATGTATGTATTTTAAATACACTTAATTAGTATACTGGTTGTTAAACCCCAGATTGATGGTATTTATTGTTTATGTAGAGAATTATGCAGACATTCTGGTTTAAATATGTTGGCTGTTTGCTGTAAAAAACATTGATTGACTGATTGGTAAAGCGCACACACACACACACAGAGAGAGAGAGAGAGAGACAGAGAGAGAGAGGAATCCTTCGAACTGTAGTTTATCCCTTACAAATATACAATGCCCAGCACCTTTAGCAAAATACAGCTCCCAGGGGGGGAAAAAATTGGGAGAGTGCTTTAAACTTATGGTGTGTAAGCAGCCAGAGATGGAGAATTGGAAAAAGCAAAATGGTACACCGCCACCTCTGTGACTCTGTAGCTTCCCAGCACTTCCCATCAAGTGCTGGCCTTGCCAGTTATTGACAAAGCATCAAATTCCTGACCTGCAAGCCGTTTTATGAAATGGAAACCCGACAAAAGGTCCCGCAGCAGCAAAATTGCCTTCTGTAAACAAGGGGAGATGGAGATGCCATCTGAAGCCTAAGCTCTGCTTCAGAACGTCAGAGCAAGTTAACAGCCTTTGGATCTTTAAAAGAGCTTGGAGGAAATAGGAGGAGGGACTGTTGCTCCGTTGGGGGGAGAAATATCCTTTGGCAAAAAAAGAGAGAGGAAATATCCAGCATCAAAAAAGAGAGCACAGATCTGCATAACATTTGCATGTGCCAATTTATATGTCTGGATGCACATTTAGAGTTGCTGAAATTTAAACAGAAATACATCTCTCCATAACGGGGGAAGCCTGTAACCAGGTGACCTGAGTGCATCTGCTCAGTGTGCTACCCAGGTGCTTCCATTTGACTGACAACTTCAAGCCCCTCCCCCATGCCACCCTGCTCTCCCTTCTTCTGGTTCTCTAAACTGTACTTGAACCAGAAAGCCCATCAAATAAGAGGCTGTCCTCTGGAATGCAGGGCATGACTTTATTTTGACATTGCTGGGTTGGCTCAGTAGATAGAGCATAAGACGCTTAATCTCAGGGACGTGAGTTCGAGACCCACATCACCCAAAATATTCTTTCATGGCAGGGGTTGGACTAGATGACCCTCATGGTCCTTTCCAACTCTACAAGTCTGTGGTTTATACACCAACCCATAACAGAAGGTTCTTTGGACAAGCTGCAATAAATAAGTAAAATAAGTTCCTTAAAAACCCACTGAAATACAAAGGAAAACATAAAAAAAAGAAAAAGATGGGGATCACATAAATATGATAAAATAGAACTCACTGCCTCCCCCTAAAAAAAAAACAAAAACATATTTAAGAATTAAAAGCCTAAACTACCTCAATTAAAAGGCCTGGAGAACAACAAGGTCTCTGCTTGTGCTGAAAAGATCTTGTTCACTGGACCTTACCTTTATTTCTATTTAGCAAGATTTACATACCAGTTACTTTTTTAAAAGTCTCTAAGCAGTTTACATAAAATGGTACGAAATATTCATTTAAAAAGCAGCAACAAAAGCAGACTTTGGGCTTGCTTCTCAACTGACTTACGCTTTGCTCCTGACTACTGCCTTGTGCCTCAGCTCCTGATTTGAATAGCCAAGTCCTCAAAGTGGGCATACAAGATTACTTAACACCAAATTAGTTACCCTTTTAATTTGCAGAGCCCATCACCCTCACAGTCAGGGTGATGAAAGGCTGCATTTTCCCACCCTTTCAACTGAAGTACAAATGGGCTTGTTCATTGCTCCAAATTAATTAATCATAGATGAAGGTAAGATGCACACGCAGAGAGAGATGTTGCTATTCTATGAGTTGCAAGGCCATCGTTTCAACTGCTATTAAGCAGGCTATTCTGATTGCTTAAGTGTCAACTCCTGCTACAAAATGCATTTTGGTGCTTCTGAACAGCCTGCAAGAAGCTGCCTTATAAAAGCCCCCTGCAAAATACCAATTTAAAAACATTCCAAACAGATTCTTTCCTGCAAGAGGTCACGGGTTAAAGACATGAACAAAACAACTCCCCCAAACATTCCCTGCCTCCCCCAAAATTGACTCCCTGGCCGACCCCAAGAAAACTTTGCTGTCAAAGACAATTCCAGCCTAGAAAAAGCAAAATCGCTTGGGCATTGCAGAAAATCGAGACAGTGAGCTGACAAGGCCATTCAAGGATGAGGAATAGAGGGCATCTTTTTGGCTCACACAGCCCAATGAGGACAATTTTTCACACACATACACACACACACACACACACACACACACACACACACTCCCCTTTTCAAGTTGCTATTCAAGAACTATTCAAGGGACACAGACTAGGCTGCATTAAATGCTTTGCTAAATGTCGGAGACAGCGCTCAGCCTTTCAAGGATTATAGGGTCTTCCTTCGCAAAGGAATGGGAACATCTGCCACAGTAAACAGACTGGGGGCGGGGACTTGGTTTGAAAGAATAATTGCAAACTAGAAAACGGCAAAAGAAAAGAAATCTGGTTCAGCAAAGCTTGAGTTGTTGAGCATCTGATTTAATAATTAAAAGTGTGCCTCTGAGTATAAGCAGGGTAGTTCCTTTCACCCTGTTGCAAAGGCCTCCAACACATCTGAGATTAAGGGAAAGGGCTGGCTTCCAAAAAAGCTTGAGATCTCGGTTTTGATTAGTTAAGGGCAATAAACAGACAAGAGCTTGCCAGGAGAGATTAGCATAGCTAACTTCACCTATCCTAACAGAATAGAGGAACATAAGAAGCTGTCTTACACCAAGTACAGTCATACCTTGGTTTTTGAACAGCTTAGTTCCCAAACATTTTGGCTCCCGGACATCGCAAACCCGGAAGTGTCTGTTCCGGTTTGTGAACTGTTTTTGGAAGCCGAACATCCGACGGGGCTTCCACGGCTTGGCTGCAGGAGCTTCCATTTGTTCTCTGTCGAAATATCACCACCAAACTCAGCAAGAGGGTTCCTGAGGTGGGGGCGGCAATCTTTGTTGATTTTTGGATGCCGGGAGCCATTTTGAATCATGATGGCAGCCCAAATGCGACTTTGGCATGGCCTTGCCCATTTTTTGGCACAGGTCCAGCCACCTCTCCAGATATCAGCTTGGTACAAGGGTTCCCAATGGGCGGGGGGGCAGTGGTCTGCATCAATGTTTGGATGCCAGGTGCCATTTTGAATCATGATGGCAGACAGAAATGCCACATTGACATGACGTTGCCTGGGGGTTTTTTTGGCGTACGGAAGGCAGTTTGCTATGCTCCTGACTTCTGCCCCCTTCCCATAAATCCGCTCCACTTCCCAGTGGGGAGAAGTTACGGTGGACCGCGTGGCCACCCACTCCCCACCGGGAGCGGGGGACTTTGTCCCCCATTGCCCGGGGGATCCTGGGCACGTCAGAGCCCGGCCAGCCAATCTGCTGGCCGGGGGGCGTGGCCGGGTCTGTTTAAACAGAGGAGCGAGCCCAGAGGGCTTCCTCTTTGGCTCGCTTCCTCAATCACCCGCCCTCCCTCCCTATTTTGAAAGGTCTAGGCACTGGCCTTGCTATGGACCTCGGTTGGTCACCGTTGAGGGGCTTGGTAGGAATTTTTCCACTTGGCAAATTGGCACTGGCAACTTGGTTTTCGCCTACCTCGTAGCAATCGTCACAACTTTGTTAGGGTTGCGGCTAGGCATTGTTTGACCTTGTGTGGGGGAGGGGAGGTGTGGACATCACCTGCCCCTCCAAGCTTAAGGGTATTCCGTTAAAGGAATCCAGGGGTGGTGATCTTGTCCAAAGCCCGGGTTGGGGGCTAGGGCAATGACACGAACCCGACGGGAACACCAGGGGGAGCTCGAGTTGGTCTGCATCGACAGAGCGCCCCCTACTGGTGGTTTGTCCTTACCGGACTTCCTGTGCATTGGGCAGGAGTCAGATATAGTTGGATCCAATCAATGCGTAAGCCAATACCACTCACATTCTGTAATTCAATAAAGTTGTGGCCAAATTTGCCTAATAACATTAACCTAATATCTGTGTCCTTGTGTGAGTTATTTCCCAACGAGGGGGTGACTGCGGGGTCTTGACATGCAATCTTCCTCTACAGTGTACAGCCATGGGGAGAGGATCAGGCAACACTCTCTGCTAACTTGAGGAAGCCGCAACGCTAGAAGCCAGGAAAACACCCTGTGTGAATGGGGCATGTCCCTCATCCAGGACTTGCCCCAGAAGTCTCTAGAATTCACAGGGATCCCATGGCAGGCATAGTGATGTGGAAAGAGATGCCTGGAATTTTAAAGTTTGAAGGAAAAGAACTGCTTTCTTATTTCTCTCGCCAGCACATCACTGCCAGGAAGCGGTAGATGCAGAGCTAAGCTAGTGTCAAAAACATTGCAAAAGTGACAAAAAGAGAGAACTGCAGTGTGCAGGTGGAGGGGAGGTCAGGGATAAGCGGCTCTGGAGATTTCAGCAACAGCCAAAAAAAAACAACAAACCACTGTAAGCTTCTGACTGTGTTTGTGGAGATGACTCGCATTTTTCTGTACAGGATTTTCATCAAAATACGACAGGCATAAATACACAGAATGCCACCTGAAGAGATATAGGATTGCATATGACGTTTTCGCCCTCCCCACAGCGTTATGGCCTCATTCTGCTTGCAAGATTTCACTGCTTTCTCCAACTGCAGTGGAAAGTATTTGGGGAGGCAGCACATCAAAATGTTTTGTGGTGCAAACAATGGCTGTAAATATGCCTCAGTAGACGGGACTTTGATTCTGACCCGGCAGGGCTCTTCTTGTGGTTGCATGTTCCCCCTTGACCCAAATCAGGTGGCGTAAAGGGTGACTCCGAGTATTGGCAGACATGAACAAATTCTCCCCAAGTCCTGCGCAAGTCCGAGCTTTTGCCCAGTGAAGTCAACCCAGGTATATTTAGCAGTCCTTTCTCGTTCTCCTCGCTGCCGGCCAGACATGCTGTACTTGAATAGCTTTCAAGTTTCAGTTGCCCTCTGACCAGCCGGGCTTCTGCAACAGCGGTGCCAACAAGACAGATCCCACAGCAGCAAAGAGCTTCTGGAAATTTTCAGAAAAGTGGCTCATTCCTTAATTGCGGTGTTTCGCCGGCAAAGCTGCCCAACTTGTTTGCTCAAAATTCTTTGCAGCCCTGTGCAGCTGAACTAAAAAAGAATCTGTTGATCATCAGTTCCTTTTCTCTAACATGCCATTTCCCTTTTTTAGACAGCAGCGAGGTCGTAGATTTTGTTTCTCTCTCAACTCCTCGCCGCTGCTGCTGCCTCGGAGTTTTCATCTTATGTGGCTTCCCCAGGGGAAGAAATCCAGGCTGAGATGATTTTTTCCCCTTTCCAAAGCAGCGCTATGGCAACAGCACTTCTGAGGCAGAATTTCCCTCCTCTGTTCATGTTTATGCGCTGCCATTAGCATGCAAAGGAATTGCTTGCTTGCACGCTGTAATATTAAAAAGACACGGTTCCAATGTGCCTTTCTACTGCAAATAGTTTCCACAAAACTGCAAAATTTGCTTATTCTTTTTTTCTGCTCTCAGGATGCTCGCCTTATTCTTCCCTAGGAAAACTAACATTTATTTTAGATTATATAAAATAAACGCAGTTGTTAAAGCTGTAACACTTGTTGGCATCCATCTATCTCGAGACAAATGGAGTGCGCCTCTGGGGGTGAAGTCATCTTGGGGCGAAAGCCTGAGTAGCGTGTATGGAGGTCCTGGGCTACCCAGACTACAAGACCCCACTCTGGGCCTCAATGATGTGGTCTGAACGAAAGCAGAGCAATACATTTGGCACCAGCTTGGCTGCAAGAGTTGCCAGAAGGAGGCGTACAAGGCGCCATCCAACTGTCTTAGGGACTCCACTCCAGATTTGTGTAGTGGAGAGTTTTCCTTCTCCTAGATGGGCTACGTTCTCAGGTTAAAGCCTCTGAGAACTGGATAGAGATGGGTGTGTATCAGGCACCCTGAACCAGTTTTGGAGTTTTTGGTCCAGATCACAATGCCTTTCCTAAACAAGGGGGATAAAATATGGTCACCATTTTGTGGACTATATGAAAAGCATTTGTGATACGCAAATAACATTTGTGGGTTTACAGGAAGCTATGTGAAGAAATATTATTAGAAACACTGTAAAAAGGGGGACAAGGGAATAGATTTATTTAAAACAAAAGGCAATGTTAAATTTAGAATTGCGGATAGATTAGAAAACGGAAGATTTGCGGATGAGCTGAAGGAAGTCAAAATTACGTATCTGTGATAATATTGAAAATGTATGTTTAAATCTTGTATTAGAAATTGAATAAAAATAGTTTTAAAAAAATATGGTCACCATTTGAGCATGTGTAGTAGGCCAGACCCTTGTGTATTAAGCTGTGTGCTAGACCATGCTAATCCTCTGGAATGAGCATGTGTTAAGTGATAATTAAGCCAGGCTGGCCTCCTATGTGAGGTGATAGCCTGGGGACTGGCCATTAAAAGGTAAAGGGACCCCTGACCATTAGGTCCAGTCGTGACTGACTCTGGGGTTGCGGTGCTCATCTCGTTTTATTGGCCGAGGGAGCCGGCGTTTGTCCGCAGACAGCTTCCGGGTCATGTGGCCAGCATGACTAAGCCACTTCTGGCGAACCAGAGCAGCGCACGGAAACGCCGTTTACCTTCCCACTGGAGCAGTACCTATTTATCTACTTGCACTTTGACGTGCTTTCAAACTGCTAGGTTGGCAGGAGCAGGGACCAAGCAACAGGAGCTCACCCCATCACGGGGATTTGAACCGCCGACCTTCTGATCGGCAAGCCCTAGGCTCTGTGGTTTAACCCACAGCGCCACCTGCGTCCCGGGGCCTGGCCATTAGGAGGACACAAAAACCAGAGGGAACTCTGTGTGAGACAGCAAAATATGTGGGGTCTTTCACTCCACAGATAAAGCGGTATGAGCTAGAAGCTTGGAGCAGGAGTTATGTGGCGGGAAAGCAGAAAGGCAGGAGGCATGGCATGATGGCTGATGTTTGCTTGGATCCTAAGTTGCACCTGTGGAGGAAGCAATACCTTCTTGGGGTGTAATGCTGGGAACCCCTCCATTGTAGGCTAGGGTTGCATTTGGAACTCTTGTTGGAGGAAAGACACAGCAGTGAAGTGGGCATTTTGGAATGAGGAACTAGAAACTGGTAACCTGTATAAGATCAATTTCTGAGCATGTAGGTTTTAGGTATTATTCAGAGAGCACAATAACAGCCTTAGGCATGCAATGGAGCCTCTTCCTTTCCTCCCAAATGAATAGCCATTCTCTCAAGCCACATTGCAAGCTGTTATTGAAACTCTGAGAATTTTCCTAAGCAGCTAAGAACACAGGATAAATAATCTTCCTTGTGAGTGTGAAGAAACCATTCCCGTTACGTTCTGGCTTTTACCAAGTGTTGTATGTGAAATGAAATACAGTGCACTGTAAATGAAATGTTAATGCAACACAATTTCAGAAGTTTATCAGCAGCTATCACCTGCTTCAGCTCCCTTAGGCTATCTCTGTGCAGCCTGAAGGGCAAACTCTGCACTCAAACATGTGTACATTTTCTCCCATTGACCACTGTGCATCACTTTCCCATTCAAGATGTAAGTCGGTAGAGTATGGGACTCTCAATCTCAGGGTTGTGGGTTCAAGCCCCACATTGAGCAAAAGATTCCTGCATTGCAAGGGGTTGGAATAGATGACCCTCGTGGTCCCTTCCAATTCTACAGTTTTGCGATTCTATGATCTCTATATGCTGGGCATGGAAAGACTCTACCAAAATGTTGGAAAAAGTTCTTCTCCTCTAGAATGGAAGGCCATCTTCCTAACAGATTTTATGAGGGCAGAAAAACCTAAGATTTTTTTTTTCATGTTTCTCTTTGTGAGATCCTATCTGAAATTTCTCCTGCTAGCTTGCAACAGAATTATTTGGGTGACTGACATGCTTCTTTGAGATGGTTCCACACCCCAACTCAAGGACTAGGCTAGTTTTTTTAAAAAGTCCTCCTGCAGTCCAAACAGTAATAACAAACAGCCCTTGTCCAGTATAGTATTGGCATTAAGGTCCATAATCTCACCAAAGAGGTTGTCATCCTTTATGTACTTGACAATTTGTATACCTGACAAAAAATAAATTAACATATTGAGCCCTGGATTTTGGTGGTACAATGACCAATTGGCCGCTTGGCCCACATAAATCCCTGGACTTAACTTAAGTGTTTTTCTTTCAAACCTATTTCCCCTTGTACTATTTTGCTTGGACAGCTTCAGCTATTTGGAGTTGTTTGCTCAGCTGACAGCCTGAGGAGATGCTTCTACTCTTTCTGATCATAGCACCACAGTGGGCAGACTGAAGCTGTTATTTTACAGACAGATACTGAAATTGCAGCATTAGCATGTGGCTATTGTAGCCACTGACCTGAAGCTAACGTACTGCTTCAGGTTTACTCCAGGTTCATTTATTTTTGAGGCAGCAAGCTTTCCTGAATAACTATGTTGCTTCAAAAATGGGTAAAATCTGGCCTAAATAGTATGCAGTCTCTATGTGAACAGTAATGGTGGTGAGCTTGCCAGTTAAATCCAGCTGTAAAGACTAGGAAGGGCCCAAAGTGTGGTGGAATGCATGCAGAATGAGCCAGGTTTGTTGCCTCAGTACCTCTAGCTGAGCATCACAGGGTGAGGAAACAGGGCTGGGAATAAGCTCTGCCTGAGGCTCTGGAGAATTGCTGGCAGTCAAAGTAGACAATCTGCTCAATGATCTGGTATGGCCTAGTATAAAGTAGCTTCTAGCAAGCAATACACCCATCAGCTTTAAAGCTGCAATTTTATACTAATGAACAATCTAATTTTACATACTAAGTTGCCATTGTCTGCAATGGTGTTCCTTAAACTGCTTTACACGGCCGCACCATTTAGGCCAGTATTGCCTTGCTTTACTTTCGCTGGCAGTGGCTACAAATCTTTCCCAGCGCTATCATTTTGAATTATGAGAGCATGTGCTCGATGCTGCTTTAAACAAGTTTTCAAAGTGCTCCACTGAGCCCTGCAAGATAGGCAACCTGAATAATCCCCTACTGCAGACAGGAGAGTTGAGGCAGGTAGAGCAAGAACAGCGTTGCCAAAGGAGCTTGCGCTCCAAGCGAGATATGAATCAGCACCTTCCAGGTTCCAACTGTCATTTACTTACTTAATAATAATAATAATAATAATTTATTATTTATACCCAGCCCATCTGGCTGAGTTTCCCAAGCCACTCTGGGAGGCTTCCAATCAAGTGTTAAAAACAATACAGCATTAAATATTAAAAACTTCCCTAAACAGGGCTGCCTTCAGATGTCTTTTAAAGATAAGATAGCTACTTATCTCCTTCACATCTGAAGGGAGGGCATTCCACAGGGCGGGCGCCACTACCGAGAAGGCCCTCTGTCTGGTTCCCTGTAACCTCACCTCTCGCAGTGAGGGAACCGCCAGAAGGCCATAGGTGCTGGACCTCAGTGTCCGGGCTGAACGATGGGGGTGGAGACGCTCCTTCAGGGATACAGGACTGAGGCCGTTTAGGGCTTTAAAGGTCAGCACCAACACTTTGAATTGTGCTCGGAAATGTACTGGGAGCCAATGCAAATCTCTCAGGACCGGTGTTATGTGGTCCCGGCGGCCACTCCCAGTCACCAGTCTAGCTGCCGCATTCTGGATTAATTGTAGTTTCCGGGTCATCTTCAAAGGTAGCCCCACGTAGAGCGCATTGCAGTAGTCCAAGCGGAAGATAACTAGAGCATGCACCACTCTGGCGAGACAGTCTGCAGACAGGGTCTGGAACTCACTGGGTGACCTTGGACCAGACACAATCTCTTATCCTAACCCACCCCACAGGGGTGTTGTGGGGGGTGAAATGGAGAGAACCATGCACACCACCTTGAGCTTCTGTGAAGATAAGGGTGGTATACAAACGCGAAGACGACTGGTGGAAACTGGGCCAGGTGGTGTTCAATGGATTCTGGGTGCCCGGGAAGTATAAGAAAGAGGAACAAAAAAGGAAATCGGGTTATAGATAGACAAGTAAGTAAGAGATGGAGTGGCCGGGAGAGGGGCAGAACTGGAGTGAAGAAGGGGGAAGAGAGGAGAAATAAGGTACATGAAGCAGCCACTTTTGCTGAAGCAAGCCAGATCTTGAGTCCGGTCTCTGCCTGGACGGGAGACCTCCTTGTAGCACACCTTCAGCTCCATGGAGGAAGACATATATATATCTGAAACAAGCCTGATCTTGATATATATATATATCTTGTTTCAGGTGCCTTATTTCTCCTCTCTTCCCCCTTCTCGACTCCAATTCTGCCCCTCTCCGGGTCACTCCATTTCTTACTTCCCCTCATGGATGCCCTCAGCCCGTCCGTCTTGCACCCATTTTACAGTCTCCCCTTTCACGCTTTTTCCTCACACCCATTTCACCGGCGCCCTTTTCCTCGTATTCCTCATTTATCGCCCAACGCCCTCTGGTTTCCCCTCCCCCACCCCCTTCTTTACCCTACAACTAACCTCCCCTCCCCCATTCTCTCCCCCGTCCTGAAGCAGCAGCAGCCACTAATTCCCCCCTCTCGCCCTTCCTTCATTGCTCCTCCCCACTACGATTTCAACCCAGCCGCCTTCTCCTCCGGGGCAGGGGCGAACTCGGAAACCCCGTTTACAAGACTCGGGGTGGCGGGAGGAGGGGGAGGGGGAAAAAGCGGGACGCAGACGGTCTCCTCAACTGGTGCAATATCCCTCCGCGACTCACAGCATAAAGTAGTTCCAGACAAGGTCTCGCCCTTTTCCGGCTTGAAAAAGCCAGAATCCTCGTTAGTCTTCATTAATGGGGGCTGGGGAAAACATACAAAGCAACCGGTCCTTCTCTGGACCAGCACGTGGGAGGAAATGGCTGCTTCTGTGGTGGGCTTGCTCTTGCTCTCCCTCCCCCCTCCCACGCCGCGCCGCAAGTTGCTGTCCATATCCCTCCGCAGCAAGAGGAAGGGGGAGTAAAAGTAGTCCCGGCCAACGGGAAGGCTATATAAAGCCGGCGCCGCGGAGGCGCTGCCTTTTCAGTTGAGGAGAGCGGTGGTTATCGGAACATGTCAGGCGGCTCCGCGGATTACGGCAGGTAAAGTGTGGCGCGCGGGGATAAGGGAGGCGCGGCCCTGCGTGCCAAGGGCGGCGTCGGGCTATTTAAGGCTCGAAGCGGAGGCGTCGAGAGTGACGGGAGAAGCGCTTTCGAGGGCCGTGACGTTGGACAAGCGGGGCGCGGAGAGGGACGCGCCATGGTCGTCGCGCTGCCTCCGAAGGCCGCTGCGGCTGCCGCCCTCTTCGCCCTCCCCTCGCTCCGTAGATCGAGGCCCCGCTCTTAAAACGTCTCAGTAGACATCTTCCTCTCACGGAGCGACGGGGCCGCCTTTCCCCGCTCTCCCCTCTGTAAATGCCTCGAATAGTACAGCCCGAAACGGTTGGTTCCCCCCCATCTCGCTTTCATGATTGGTGCCTTTTCCCCGAGTCTCAGCTGCGCCGCATCGGGGGACGGGCCTCCCCCCCCTTCTTCGGGGAGGCCGCGTGGTTTCGTCCAAGAGGCTGCCTCCCCGAGCGCGCCTGCTTCGGAAGATTCCATTTTCACTCGATCGAAAAGGGGGGGGGGACAGGGTCGGGAGGGGTGCGGCTCGCAAGCTGTTCTCGTCCGTCGGCGGCCTCGCCAGTCCCCGGCGTGTCCTCGACTTGCGCAGTCGAGGCTCAGGGGCGGGGTTCTCGCGAGATTTCGGCGAGAGGGCTGAGCACGGGAAGGACGGAGACGGGAATGCACGGGTTGAGAGCGGGTCTCGCTCCTGATAACGCGGCACGTGCCCTGCCTTCATTTTTCTTAGCGCCCCCTCCCCCTCTCGCACACCACCTTGCAGGCTTTGTAAGGTGCGGAAGCTGCTTGTCAAAACCAGCTTTCCTTACATTGCAACCTGTGCTGACTGAAGATAAATGGAGTAGCTTCTCTTCCACGTGTAGGCCAGGGTCTCCCTTAACGCGAAAATGTCTCTCCCCCCCCCCCCAAAAAAAAGATCCCTCCTTAATGCAATGCATATTGGTGATGTGAAATTTCCATAGAAAACGACTTTAACTTACTATAGCCGGGGCTGTAGGTGGGGGGTGATCTGCATCTGCTCAACCTAAAATGGCGGGGACAAACCCTTTGCAACAGTGAAGCAACCTATGAGCATTTTTTTGAGGTAGCAGGCAACGTGAGAAGTAGACTGCAATCTGCTTTGGCTTTCTTTGGAAAACAAAAACGGCTACCAAATTTTCCTTAGTTTATAAATGACTTTGTATTCCTGATGGTGGCCTGTATGCAGCACGTGCTGTGTGTGGCCATGTGATTGCCATACCAGCATCATACTACACAAAGATTTCACTTCTGAGTACCACTGGTGTTTGATTCTGGTCTAAATAGAAATTGAGAGTTTACGCTTTATCAGAAAGACTTAAATGTAGTAAGTCTTTAGTATATAATGGTGGAGCTCACAACCTTGTGGAAAAGTAGGTTGAGTGAAGACTTGCCAAGTTAGTCTTGGGTCTAAAAATTTCCATTTCACAGTACACCAAGTACATTTCTGACAAAGCAGTAAATGTGGGTGCTCATCCTGAATTCTGAGAGTGCATTTATCTGGGTCTTACCATTTTATGCTTACAAAATACACATACTGAAGGGTTTGGATAATGAACAAAACCAAATCCCTGATTCTTTTGAAATGGCATTCCTTGATTTAAGGATGATTTTAAAAAATACTTTGAGTAAAGTGAGCAGTTCAATAATGGTGATATTCAAATAAGTTGCTTAGAGTAAACCAATTTAAATTATTGGCACTCATTTAGTCACCAATTTCAGCTTATCTGCTCTAAATAAAAGTTAGTTGATTTCCAACGTACGTTGGCAGCTGTAACATTGTTGGTAGATGTGCTCTGGAGTAATTCATCACAGTATTTGTATCAGTATTTAATTTGGTTGCATCCATAGAAGTTAGAAACTTGCTGGTTTGGCTGACAGCTTTGGCTTTTTTATTTAAACAGAGACCATGGCCCAGAGGGAATGGACCCCGATGGCGTCATTGAGGTTAGTATTTCATTGATAGTTCCTTTAAAATGTTGTTAGGGATGATGAGTGAAGTAAAACATTTTTTTTTCCTTTTGCAGAGCAACTGGAATGAAATTGTTGACAATTTTGATGATATGAACTTAAAAGAATCCCTCCTCAGGGGCATTTATGCATATGGTTTTGAGAAACCTTCAGCTATTCAGCAGCGTGCTATTATTCCATGCATCAAAGGTAAGCTAGTAGTAATGTGTTTATTATTGGTAGGTACTAAGTCCTGTTCTTTGGCTTGAGTTCCCAGCCTTGGGGTGGAAGTAAAACACATCTTTCCTTGTAAAGTGAGATGATGGTATACCATCTTTCGGGACTGACCTGAAATGGAGATAATTTGTAACTGCTGATCACTTGAAAAGGAAATAACAGTTAAACTGAATCCTTGATGTGTTGTGTGGGAGCAGTAAATATCTATCCTTTTTTTAGGGTATGATGTGATTGCTCAAGCTCAGTCAGGTACTGGCAAGACAGCCACATTTGCTATTTCCATCCTGCAACAGTTGGAGATTGATCTCAAGGAGACCCAAGCACTAGTATTGGCCCCAACCAGAGAACTGGCTCAACAGGTATTGATAGTGTAGTTAAAAGCTGCTTACATGTTGCATAGGTTTCAGGTTTCACAACTGTAGGACAGTTAACATTCCTTGCAGGGTGACTTCTTATCTCTGGGTTATAAAAATGGAAACAGGCCTCTGTCCCACTAACTTTTCTCCTTTAAATACATGGAGAGAAGTCAGCTGGGACAATGGGCCTCTGAAGCTGTGATGAAGTTGGGTAACAGCTGTGTAGGAGTGATGAAGGGGCATATCCACAAGTCTCCATTATATTAAAATTTTAATCTGAATTTTAAGCCTTTGTTTAAAAAAGGGGCTCTCTTTAAAAATGCATGCAGTTGTGCAACATGGAAACTGCAGTGCGCATGTGATCGGTTGATTTTTCTCTGTATGTATGTAATTTGTACTGTGTGCTTCAGTCTCTTAAATCTTCTGTTTTGAACAGCTTTTTGTGGCACTACACACTTCCATTAAATTCTAGTTCTTCTGAATAGAACTTTCAATATTGCGATAAATGTTTAAGACCAACATAGAACTTCTGGAGAATTTTATAGTTTGACTGAGTGCATAACAACTTTTTAAGAAAATGAAACAATTGTCCAAGTGACTTAGGGGGAGGGGGGTGGGACCTATACATTTGTTCAGCAAGAAGATCCTAGTGAACTTTTGAGTTGAATTTTACATCATTTCTTGTGGAGGACAGCAGGATATTATAAATGAAATTGAGCATTGACAGCAATCCATAACTTGCTTCAGGGAAGGAAAGGAGTCTAGGATGGGTTGACACAGCATCAGTTACTTTTCAGTTTAGATGATTTTGCCTAAGTTAAACTGCTTTAAATATAGCATTGTCAAGAAAGCTATCTATAACTGGTAATTTGCAGTTCTTAAGTGGATATACCAAGCTGTTTGATAAACGATAGGTGGACATTTGTAAAGAACCTGCCAAGTTTTCACCTCTAATCTCTGAGGGTCATTTATTTAAATGTTACCGTAAAGTTGTACTGTAAGTTGTACACTGAAACAATGTGGCCCAGGTAGATCCTAGTTTTAAAAGGCACTACAATGCTTCTGCATGTGTGGTGACTAGTAGCTATTTTCTGTTCCAATGTGCAACGAAAACTAATCTGCAATTCTACATTGGTAGTACTTTATATCGCTTTGCAAAACCAAGGCTCCCCTCAGTGTAGAAGAACAAATACTTCTCCGTAGTAGACTACCTGACTGAGGACAGCGTCAGATGTATTACATTTCTTTTGGAGATAACATTTGTGGATAGGAAAGGCATTGCAAGCTGCATGTAAAATAATCAAGTACAAGTTGCATGTGTCAGTCACTGCATACAGTATAGATTCATTGGGAAGCTGTGGCTGGTGAATAAGTGGAGCAATGCTTAATAACATTCTAATTGAGACATATTATTTCAGATCCAAAAAGTTATTCTGGCTCTTGGCGATTATATGGGTGCAACTTGTCATGCTTGCATTGGTGGCACAAATGTTCGCAATGAGATGCAGAAGCTGCAAGCAGAAGCTCCCCATATTGTGGTGGGAACTCCAGGACGTGTGTTTGACATGTTAAACAGGCGTTATCTGTGTAAGTAGTGAAGTACTAATTAAACTCTTAGTGGGAATGTGTTTGAACAAGCAGTGACTAAAATATCTTAATAAGTGTGCTATTCAGCTGAATAGGCAGAAGTTCCAGACGTAGGAATGTGCAAGATTGGTGGTTTAGCATTGTTTTTTCCTGCTAAAGAAGAAATTAAAAGCGTAGTTTATAAGAACCCTTATAATGCTTCCAAAATGTTTCCTTTTTGTTCTAGCGCCTAAATGGATCAAAATGTTTGTATTGGATGAAGCAGATGAAATGTTGAGCCGGGGATTTAAGGATCAAATCTATGAAATTTTTCAGAAATTGAGCACAAACATTCAGGTAAAAGCAATCTCACAGTAACAATGGACATTAAATTTGGCTGCATTGTACTGGTGCAGGTAAAGTTACAATGTAGCTGTGTAGTGCTGTATTGTCGTTCCCCCTGCACAAAGCAAAATTGTCTCTTTTCTATCCTTGTCTGTTTTGATTCCACGGCAGACAGGGACGCTTGGTTTCATACATTATCTCCTCATTGACCAGCTTCTTGAGCAATTTTAGAGCAAACCACTTAAAAGAAACACTCCTTTCCTGTTCAGGTTGTGTTGCTGTCTGCCACTATGCCAATGGATGTGCTGGAAGTGACCAAAAAGTTTATGAGAGATCCTATTCGTATTCTTGTGAAGAAAGAGGAATTGACCCTTGAGGGTATTAAACAATTCTACATTAATGTGGAGAGAGAGGTAAGGGGAAAGTTTAATAATCTTGAAGGCACTTCTTGTACAAGCACTGTGCTAAAACCACAGAAGTTGGGGTTACACCTTGGCTTCTGTAGTAATGCTAGCACGGTACACACAAGAAGAAGAACAAATGCACTGGATCAGTAAAAGACTTGGGTGGACCTCTTTCTTAATGTCCAGTGTCCTAGTCTGGAGTTTTGGTGCAACACTACTTAATGTCTAGAAATACGAGTCACCTTTAAGATTCTACTTCGGAGTTTTATGTGTACCTCATGCAACTCTTCCTTGTGTGTACATGACAATTACCTTAACTTTACAGGAATGGAAGCTTGATACTCTCTGTGATTTGTATGAAACCCTGACCATTACGCAGGCTGTTATTTTCCTTAACACAAGGAGGAAAGTAGATTGGCTTACAGAGAAAATGCATGCACGAGACTTCACTGTTTCTGCTCTGGTAAGTGTTGATACTGAAGAGGCATTGCATGCTATGGTAATTGAGAAGCAAATACTAAGGCGCAGTGTCATGGGAAGTGTCATTCCTAGTCCTAATGGCACGGTATTGCATACTTGAGTGGTGAAATTTGAGCACTGGAAGAGACTTCTAGACCCCTTGGAAGCAAGGTTCCTCTTTTGCTTAACTCCATTCTCAGAGGTTTAAACCTGCTACATTCTTCATCCCCTCTGTATTTTCCTGTATACCTGCTTATTGCAGATAAGAAATGTGCCTGTTACCAGAGGAATAGTTTAGCAAAGTTTTGAATATTTTATATTTAAAAGGCCATAAGTTAAAATGGAGAAGTCTTTGGATACTTAAAAAGTTGGTTAACAAGCTTTCTTTATCCATACAGCATGGTGACATGGACCAGAAGGAGCGAGATGTTATCATGAGAGAATTTAGGTCAGGTTCAAGCCGTGTCTTGATCACTACTGATTTATTGGTAAGTATCCATGGTCCCTGCCTTTTGTGCGAACCTACCCAAAGCTGTTTTGTTTGGTGCAGGTTCTTGTAACCTGAGCTACTCAAGCTGTTGGAAGAGTAAAGACCATGCTCCACTATGGACTTGCATTATTGTAGTTCATCACTATAACATGGTCAACAAAGCTATAAGTATACTGTGATCCTGGAGGAAGTTTCTTTGTGTTTATAGTAATTTATTATTTGGGTTTATAGGCTCGTGGCATTGACGTGCAGCAAGTATCGTTGGTTATAAATTACGATCTGCCGACCAATCGTGAGAACTACATTCACAGGTCAGTTGAATTTCCACTCAGTTTCCATTCCGAAGCTTCTTCAGAATCTGCACACCCTGAATACTTGTCTTGCTTTCTTGCATCATATACTACAGTGTGTGTGTACGTGCACATAGTGTTGTGAGGATGGGAGGGGCAGAGCTTCTTTGTTAGCCAATGAAACAAAACAGTGGGAAAACTTGTTTGTATTGGAGCCTCAGCAATTACTGGTTTTCGGGATAGAGCTGCTGAATTAATGTTCTGTGGCATGTGTTGTTGAGTCTGCAAAAGTTCTTTAAAGAACTACTACTGTTGTATTGTGATTAGGAAAGCAGAGGTTTATGTTGTTTCCAAAGTTGCTATTAGTTTTCCTTCCTAGAAGTAAGTACTTTGCCTCTTTCAGCTTGTTCTGTTGCTTTATTGGAAGTTTCTTTGTGCCAATACCTTCACTGCTGCTCTTTGGTTCTTACAGTGGGATTCTTTCTCTGGTGTATCTTCTAATAGCTTTCAGTTTATCTCCCTAAGCTTAGCTATCTATCATAGTGGCTTTGTCCCCTAAACAAAGTAAATTGTACCTTGTTACTTGATGTAAAAAAATACAGGAGTCGCTAGCCCAGTTGATGACGGGATGGTGCTCAGAAGCGACGTTGGCGTAATTTAGGACGTGGATTCGTAAGCGGCACACTGTTTCAATAAAGAGCGAGTTGGTATTTATATACTTTTCTTTTGTAATGATTGTTGTGAGCTATGTTTTGTCTTAAAAGCTCTTAATACCTTGGTCAGGTGAAAGCAGAAGTTGTGGGTTTTGTTTTTAACCTATATATCTCCAGTGTGCCCTGTAAATGATACTGCAAAAACTGGTGGTTCTGCAAAAAGTGGTGGTAAGTTTTCCCACTGAATAAATTTGTGTCTTTGAGGAAGTAAATGTAATGTTTGGCTTCAAGGGATTATGATTTGGAAAATTTTGGTTAAAAAAAAGGTTTGTAATTTGTAGGCTGACATCAAGCTCTGTCCATGTTTAAAAGCCGATAGTGAGCTTATAACTTGCCTGAGTTATGCAGAAGTGGGGTGGGGGAGGTTAAGTTTTGCTGGGTATAACGTGGCTTGTCTGTGCTGCCAAAACCTTTCTTTAGTTGGTATCTGCCAGTACTCAAGAGAGTAAAATAAATCTTGCATATGCTTTCGGCACAAAAGAATAACGGTGCTATAGTACAGCGCAACAATGTGTGACAACATTAATCTGCCAGTGAGTACCACGTAAAACAATTTTTGTCCCTGGAAACAGGCTATTTAAAATGAGTTTAAAAGTAGCTTCTTCATACTCTTTTCCCTGTTCTGTGCAGGATTGGCCGCGGTGGTCGTTTTGGCAGGAAAGGTGTGGCTATAAACTTTGTCACTGAGGAGGACAAGCGGATCCTTCGGGATATTGAGACTTTCTACAATACTACAGTGGAGGAAATGCCAATGAATGTGGCTGACCTCATTTAATCCCTGGGATTGAGATGTTTTTGGAATGCAGTGCTCGCTGTTGCTGACTAGGCGATCCACAACGGGCATTGTGCTTCTTTCTTGGGAGATACATTGAATCTTGTCTCAATGCTCATTACGGATCAGAAATACAGATTTTTGATAAGCGAAACGACATTTTGTCGTGAGCTTTTGTGGGGAGAGCCTTTGGCTTTCTCCTCTTTAGGGTTTTAGACTGTTGGGGTTGGGTGGAAAGTCATGGGGTCTGTAAATTTTTTCTTTATTAGAAATTTATTTCCTAGTTCTGTAGAAGTGGTTGTGCTAGATGTTCTTTTTCATTTAATTATTTACTTATGGACTAAAAGGTATAAGTGCTGCATAAAATCAGCCAATTATGTTAAACTGGCATACCTACTTTTATTGTATATTATAGTTCTATAATAGACTAAATTGGCCTTTCAAAATGACTAATCTTTTATAATAGCATTAAAAATGCATTTTTGTTTGCTATGTATTTATTGAATAAAGTATTTAATTAGTGTTAAGTGTGATCTGGACCCTGTTGCTAAACCCCAGCAAGCAATCATTACTATTGTCTTAGTTAGGGTTAAACCCATTAAAATTGCCATTTGCACATGTCTTAATGAAGTTTGAATGTTCAATAAAATGCTTATATATTCACTTGACTGAGCTGCAGGTTTCTTTGGATAAGTGCCTATAGTCTTGCATTAGATGCACCAATATTTCATTCTACCCTTGGGAAACTACCATATTTACTCAACTCTAATGTGCCAGAGTGTCTAATGCACACCTTGTTTTCTGCAACGTGATTTGGCCAAAAGTGAGCATTAGATTTGAGAAAATATGGTTTTTACCTAAATTGATGTGTTAAACTTTTACTCAGTGGTGATAGGCCTTTATAATCCGGTTTTGGCGTATTGGTGCTGTGTCATTCATTAGATCAACAATTTATCTCTTGTTTCTTCTTCCGCCCAGGACTTTTGCGTCCTTTCCAGCTATATGACTTGCGCTTAGACTCACAGAAAAACTTTAGTCTGACATTACAAATCAAATAAAAACAAATGATTCCAGCTTGCAGAAAAAGGAAAAAAAACTGGCAACCCAAAGGAACAAAAATCAAAACTGGCCTCTGTCCATGGTATAATTTCACAGTATTATCTGCTGACACTTAGACTAGGAATGAATAAGCCTTTCTAAATACTGGAGCAGGTAGATTTTCTGAGGAAGCTGGTATGTTGGCCCATAAATCGCACACAACCTTACAAATTTCAAGGGTTTAACTTAAACCAATGCACCCAACTCTGAGCTCTTGACAACACAATCCTTAACTTCCCATGTGATTGATTGACAGTCTCAACTTTGAGTTCTGTGTGTGTGCCTTAGATGAGGGATTACTACTTTCATCAGGAGAATAGCAGTACTATAGCTGTTGCTACTGTGGCTGGCAAGATTCATTTCTAACGTAGGTGATTTATAAACTGATTTAAACAGGGGTGTTGATGCTATTTAACTTGTAGTTCTTCATATCCTGCACTTTTTGCCTCACAAAAACCAGTAAGTTAAATGGATACCTTAAGATCTAGTAAAAACATAACCAGAGGTACCACTGTACTTGTCTCATGGGGCTGGCTTTTCACTCGTGTCATGGCCAGTAGTTTACATAAAGCCTACTAATGCTACAACTTGTTGCTTTCTGCCATAATTTGTGAAGTAAAATAAATCACATGTAAACGAACAGCTTCCCCATTGGTTGCTGCCAGTGATGGTTAGATTATCTCAAAAGGGGGGATATAGATGCAGCTGACAGCCAAGGGGCCAAACCAAAGGGCTTTACTCTCCTGGGCAATTTGGGAGGTCAGCTGTGAATGTACTTTCTCCCATTACCTGATGCAGTGGGGGTTGCAGCCTTTTATTCCTTCAGCTCAACTACAGTATAGGCAAAAGCAGTGGCTGGTCTGGATCCAGGCTTTGCAAATGGGGACTATGTCTTGGGACTTTGAAGGTGACATGATAGAAGTTTATAAAATATGTGTTGGAATGAAGATAAATGAATTTTTTTTCACACTAGAAAACTTGTGGACATCCAAGGAAGATTGTTGTGGAACTTGCCTCTGCAGGAGGCAGCGATGGCCACCAAAGGATTAAATTCATGGGGGATGAGGCTTTCCATCACTATTAGCTATAATAGCTATAGCTACAATATTAGCTATAATACTTCTGAACACACCAGATCCTGGAAACTGGAGGGGGAGATGGCTATTGTGCCTAGATCCTGCTTAGGGTTTTCCACAGGTATTGGCTGCTGGCCACTGCAAGAACAATGCTGGAAGAGATTGGTCTCCAATAGGCTGTACCTCTGTCCTGTGTGTCATTCCCATGCCCCAGCAATGTTAGGTCTTCAGCACCAAATTAGCCACCTTTCAGTGTAGGTCAACAGGAAAAGTAAAATCAATGCAAAAATGTGCATGGTGAAAGGTATTTAGGAGTCAGATTCAAAGTTATTGGTCAAGGACAAAGTACTTTGCTTTCTTATGAAATGTAGCTTACACTAAAACTTTCCTGGAGGTAGCCCTGCTTAAGACACAAGACACAAGCAAAGTCTGTAAAGCTTATGCCATAATTTATGTAAAGTCTTCAAATTCCACGGGATAATTTATTTCAATAAGACCGCTAGGTGTAGAAAAACTTATCCTGAGTTCTTGTGCATTCTACAGCAACCTAAACCAAAATCCCAGTGAATGACTACAGTAGAAGGAATGACTATGAAAGGTGAAATGACAAATGCTTAGCTATGGCAGCACTGTATTAGTTTTAAAGTATAACATTTAGGAAAAAAGTACAAGAATAAAAAGTTGCATTCCTTTTTTTAAAGCAGCAGAAATGCTGTAAAAGTAAAGCTCATTTTCGTTGTACTGTTATACCACTAGAATGTCAGGCACAAAGGCTGTATTTTATTATCAAAAAGTACCACAAATAGCTGCATCAAATAGGATGAAGTAATGAAAAGGAAAATATTTTGCCGTGCTGTTAGTTATTTTGAATTAGCTGCTGCATCACCACCGCACAGAGGCTAATCAACTGCAAGAACTCATCAGACCCATCTGCCAAGCACTTGTCTGTGTCCTGCCAAAAAAAGGAAAAGTTACAAGTTTTCAAAATCTCCCAAGATAACTATATAATGCAGTCAGAGAAGAGCAGGCTTTTACATCTCCCTGCTTCTCAGGAACATAAATTAGTTTTTCAAGCTGTTATAGGGAGCTTCAAAATCAAACGTTTGACCACCCCCAAGTACACTTTACTCAAGCCAACATTTTCTAAAGCTGGTTGGCAGAGCTCTGTATGACCATTTGTTAGAGGAATCCCTACCTGAATTTAAATTTGCATTTCTCAGCCAGTCTTACAAGCAGGCACTGTAGTTGCCTGTAACTAACAAGACTGGTCTACAGGTATTGTCTCCTTCCCTCCCAGGACAGAAAAAGGCACACCCAAAAAGTTCTGCCTTTGTTTCTCCCTAGCAGGAGTGAAAAGCACACCTGTGAAATCCGTGTAAACTCATTGTGTCTTCCTGTTCTGAACAGGAATAAAATATCTCTGTTAATCACTGCATAAATGTAGAGCAATGCTAAAAATCTTCCCTCTGCTTTTCCATTGTGTGTAATGACTAGACAGGTAGCTCAAGCAAGTTGGCTGGGGTAACAACGGCCAATGTCCATTTCTCTTGAATCCCTTCTTACCACTGCCTGTTACCATAAAAGGAGAATTGCCTCATACAGGGAGAGTACCATTAGTATACCATTCTTTGGGAAGAATTCACTAATGCACAAATACTGTAAAGGATTTCTTATGGCCCCCAAACCACAAGCAAACATGCATTCTAGATATAAAAAGAACTGAAACAGAATGAAGACTCACAGCAAGCTTCTCTGCAATAACAGATTTCTGCTTGTCACTGAGATCCTTCCTCTCAATAATGGTATCGTGAAGCTGGTTTATAAACTGAGTAGCTGCGTAACCTTCATTGATCAGATTCTGGACATAGGGGAAAACAAATATTGAAAGCAGCTAGCATTAGCCAATTTAAACTAATAAGCTACAGGCTTAGACAACCAAAACATTACATCAATGCAGACGGAAAGTACTCCTTGACTTACTGTAAATCACAAAAAGCTAGGAGAGACAAAGCTTAGTTTATCATTGGCGCCCTACAATACCACGTAAGATATTGCAATATGAGATTTCTGAAAATGGAGAGTAACGGTATTACCAAATACAAGCGTGCTACGTGATACAAATTCAGAACAGGTAGTTTAAATTGGATTTGTCTAATACCCAGAGGATTATTTGATGGTTGAGACAACAGGAGGCTATCTTGTTTTATTGTACACAAGTACCATACCATTGTTTAATGAGTCATTTTAGACACAAATCAGATTATTAGCTTAAGTGAAGTCTTGGAGTCAGCCTCATTGAGTATTCTGGAATACGTGTGTGTGTCACATGCCTAAGCACAGACCAGCTGCCGGGAAAGACTAAAGAGGTACGATGAACTAAAAATTCATCTTCACAATTCATCTATTCCATCACCCAATTGTAAGGAAGTATATACAACACTCTAAAGCAAGAAGGAAGTTTGAGGAAGCTCTAACCTTAAAACAGTTGTAGTTGGCCCCTGGTGATGCTAAAAAACTTTAGCTAAGTTGTGATGAAATGTTAGCCACTCCTGATTTTAAAGTACTAACGTGCACTGTTAATCGCAAGCCAATGTCTCATCCACCTAGCCTCATACTACAGAAAGGCCATTTCATATGCAGCTACCACTTATGCTTAGTAGGGCAGCTAGTGAAGCTGCCAAGAGGCTTGAAATGTCAGGCTTGGCAGCAAAGGATCTGGGATTATCAAATGTGCCGCCCCACAAAAAGCGTGTTGGAGATTAATGCAAGCCTACAGTTTTTGGATACACGTTGCAATAAGGACTGCAGAGCTGTTTGCAGATGTGTAAGGCACATTTTGTAGCTGGAGGGCCCCACTCCCTCTGGGAAACCTTTGGGGAAAGGGGCACATATCGGTGGACAGAACCAGGGACAAAAGTGGGCAATGCTTTTGTGGGTAAAATAAATTTTACCCACGCATAATGCATTTACTTCTGGGGATTTTTGTAACCAGGGAGTGCTACTCCTCCCTTTGAGAGTGCTTTCCCACCTAAGGTCACTGGGAATAAATGTCAGAGAGTTCATGTTACATTAACACCATAACTGGCTTAAAGACGAGCAGTTTTTTGTTTCAACATGCTTACATAACCACTACTACCTCCTCTACAACTTGCCAATACAGAAAGAAAAGTAGCATTTAAAAAAATCTGATCTGATCCCTGTACATTTTAGATCTAAAGCAAGCTACCTTTGTTGCAGCTTCCAGTTTTTCAAATGAGCCACTCTGACATGCGGTTAGTAGACCATCTAAAATTCCTTGAGGGACAATCTAAAACAAAAGTTGCATAAAGAAAAACATCTCATTGAAGCACCGAGAATAAAAAATAAAAACAATGACTGCAAGTCCTGATGTGTAAGCAAAAGTTCAGAAGCCATCACTAGAACATACCATTTTCCATAGGTCTTCTTCACTTCAATGTTCTAGGGTTTACACACACCTTTTAGGTAGGAAAATCCTCATATGGCAACTGCTGCACCACTGGTTTTTTCCTCCAGTTTCATTCATTGCGCAATGCCAAAAAGGGGATGGCAGTACCCCTTTGCCCCACAGTTAGTGAGAGCCAGCGGTTAGATTAGCAGTAAAGCAGCAGCAGTAGATTAGTGGAAGTCGTGTGTAGTTGCAGTATCTGTTGGGGATACCGTAACTTCACCCCATGGCTTCATTTCCCTCCTGACAAATGGTTCAGAGTGGATTAGGTATCCTTCCTATGTTTTAACCACCCCTTCGTCATGGAACCAAGATGGTAGAAACATCACATTTGCAATGCAATTTATGAAAGATTATGAATCCACAGTGTTGATTTCTGCCATATTCTATGCCTCTCTGTCTTCTGCTGGATCAGCAAACATACTTCCAGAACCACAGATGTTCAGAGACAACATGCTCTGACCCAAGATTCTGCTTTGGGAATGGATTTGGTCTCACATTTCCAAACTTATAAATGACCCTGTGACATAAATCGGTGAGATGCAATAGCATCCACCTAGTAAATAAACATGTAATAAATCAGTCAGATCTAACAGAAACAGAAAATTAAGCAAAATGAAAGAGGATTGTATTCAAAAGCTTTTCTTCATGTTTGAATGATTCACAAGTTTCTATGGAATATATTTCTGTTTGCCCTGTTTTGCACCCCTGTGAACTTTAGTATTCAGGGCAAGTCATGAAAGAAAAAGCAAGTGTGGTACAACAGAACAGATAGCTGTGAAGAAAAAAATACCATTTTATGGAAGCAGTTTTCCAATATTTGCAAGCATAGACCGGGCCAACTGAAATACGCAAACTAGACCTACCCCTGCAATTTCAGTGACAACTTTCTCAGTGACCTCTTTCCCGCCTGTTAATCGTGTAGCGCTTTGAAGAAGTGTGATTGCTTTTCTCAAGTCCCCTTCTGATGCATGGACAAGGTAAGAGACTGCCTGTGGAAGAAATACTGCTTTATAAGAAAATCAAAGAAGAGATGAGACAGTTGAGATGCTTTTCTGAAGTACTCTTCTTTTCCTACAGCAGATTCCATATCTTACCCAATTCAGTAGGAAGGCTGACACATTCAGGGGGGCGAACACAGCACTTTCCCCATTTGTCACATGTAGTTACACATTTTCCTTCTCAACTACAAATCAACAAATGCTCTAATGGTAATCACGTTATAAGTGGTGTGATCTGTCCCCATGGCTTTTGTCCAACACTGTCAGATCTCTGTATCACAACACGGATAACGTTCTAGGAACACAAGAGTAAGCTTTATGTTTAATCTCACAAGTTTGAGCTAGAACAGAATGCTTCCTTTAGCAAAGTTAATCAAATATACAAATAATTTACAAATAAGGTTTCCTCCTCCCTCTTCTGTAACTATGTGTGAGCTCTCTCACTGCTGCAAGAGGGGCCGACTGTGTTTATTTAAACAGGGATGCAGTACAGTGTGACTGCAGATGCCAGGACTGGTATGAATGGGTAGGCACTATTTGCTCCAGACAAAGCCCCGTGACGCTGGCAGCATGAGGCTGCAGCATTCCTGAATAAAAGCAGGGTAGCATGTGTCTTGATACTGCGGAGGCAGGCCTAAGCTCAGCCTCTCCAGCACAGCACTGCACTGCAGTCTGCACCCTAGCTTAATAAACTTAATAAAGAGGTAAGGCCTCACCACTGCACTGCAAAACCACTTGTGTACTCTAGAATGACACTAGTCTGTACTTTGAACTTGAGGCACACTTGCCAAAAATACTAGCCACCACTGACCCGGCACAGAAATTCCCTAACTATGCTTAATTACCCGTATTTTTCGCTCTATTGGACACACCGGACCATAGGACGCACCGGACCATAAGAGGGGGAGAATAGGGGAAAAAACTTTTTTCTTGTTCTCCCCCTCAAAAACAAGGTGCGTTCAAGAGCAGGCCTTGCCGCTGCCCCCCGAGCTTGTGGGGCTGGCAGTGGGGGGAAGCGCTGCTCTCCCCCACCGCCAGCCTCAAATATCCCTGAAGCCTTTGGAGCGCAGCTGCACTCCAAAGGCTTGAGGCTTCGGGGACATCCTTTGTAGCCTCCGCAGGGCAGCGGGGTGCCTTCACCCCGCCGCCCTGCAGAGGCTTTGTGCAGCCATCCCGAAGCTGGAACAGCGAGACGGAGGGCTGCGCAGCGACCCGTATCGCTGTTTTGGCTTCGGGGACAGCCTTTCAAGCCTCCGCAGGGCGGCGGGCTGCGGAGGCTTTGTGCAGCCATCCCGAAGCTGGAACAGCGAGATGGAGCGCTGTGCAGCACCCAGTCTCGCTGTTTTGGCTTCGGGGACAGCAGGCTGCTATCCGCAAGCCTTGGGAGCCTGGTGGGAACTCCAGCCGGGCTCCGCAGGCTTGCGGAGAGCTGCCCGAAGCCCGGGGTGCACAGCGCCGCGCTCCCCAGACTTCGGGCAGCTATCCACAAGCCTGCGGATAGCTTCCTGAAGCCTGGAACGCGAGAGGGGTCGGTGCGCACCGACCCCTCGCTCTCCAGGCTTCAGCAAAAGCCTGCATTCGCTCCATAGGACGCACACACTTTCCCCCTTCATTTTTGGAGGGGAAAAAATGCGTCCTATAGAGCAAAAAATACGGTATTTTGACTAAGTTGTGGGACCAACGGCCCTTCTGTAAAATATGGGTAATGATTAAACTATGCATGTAGCTCAGCAGTGACCCAGAAAAAAATACACTAAGCATTGCGCCCGTCTCTTTTCACAGAATTAAAAACAATGAATCTCTGAATGAACAGAAAATCTACCTCACTGCTGACTGTCACATTCTCCTTTTCAGCAATGTCTAGAAGTCTCTGTTGCTGGATTTTGTCTGAAAGGGGCTTGAAACGAAATTTGGAGCATCGGGATGTTATGGGTTCAATTATCCTGTGAAAAAGAGAAAGTGAAACGCAATTACAAGAGGAATCCATCCTCTCTAGTTTCCGCAGAACGCGACAATACATTTTCCACTACTTCCTGCCCCTTAGCAAAAAAGTAAAATTTAGCAATGCATCAATTATGCTACGTTCTTCATTTTCCAAGGGGAATTAAGGAACTCTTTACAATGCAAGTTTAGGATTTTTACAATGGGAACTAGGAATAAATGTGGGATACTAAATCTTTTCCATCAAATAATAAGTAAGAAAGAATGGTGAAACCTATACATACCTGCTGATGTAATTACAAATAAGGCAGAAGCGTGTTGTTTTCGATTCTCTCTCCATGGTGCGCCGTAAAGCTGCCTGGGCTGCTGAGGTCATAGAATCCGCTTCGTCCAAGATTATAATCTTAAATGGGGGACACGGCCTGCCACTAAACACACACCCATTGCAAAAACATGCATTAACAACTTAAGCTACTAGTGCAGGTAATATTTGCAAATCCAACAAACGATGACATCAGTATTGCTTAGCCACTTTAATCCATTTCTGAGATCTGAAAGATGTTTTAATATTTTGGAACTTTTATTTCAAGGATGACACGTGTCTCCGAACATATCCTGTTCAAGTTCTGACAGTGTAATCAGGGCCGGCCAAGACAATCTGCTTCCTGTTGTGAAGGACAAGATAACGTCCCTCACACTGTTCCAGCGTACTGCAATCTTGAGTTCCCTGGTGTTGTGGCCCACAGGCTCCCATCTTCCCCAGCTAGCTTGGCCATAACTCAGCCAACTCTTCAAGTAACTGACAGACTGAATGTTGGAAATAAAATGTCACACACAACGACTGACAAGCTGCTGTCTGTATGCCAGCAACTGAATCATTCAGGGTGCAATAGAAGACAAGTGCATTCAGCATTTGGGAAGCTTGCACACAATTTCACGGCTTCCATAAATGTCCTATCGGGTACAGTGGTGCAAGACATGTGAAGGATAAATTCCCTCAGAATGCAGTTATGCTCCCGTGACTCACTCGAGAGCCCAAAATCCACCGTGCGATGCTGACTTGTGGCTTAATTTAGCATTACAGAGCGAACCCTTATAAAACTAAAGCAGAGAGAAATACAATCCTACAAAGCAGCTTTGATCATTGTGCTTACTCTGAACGACTTCCCGACACTGTTAGTTGAGCAAAGCTCTTCACTTTCTCTCGAATGACTTGTATTCCACGTTCATCGGATGCATTCAACTCAAGGACTCTCTGCCGGAACAGTTCGGGCCTGTTTATCAGAACAGAAATTCAGCCAATTTTTAACCTATTTGTTATACCGAGCTATTAATCTGGTTTTGCATTTTGAATTCTGGACGTTGGTTTTCCTTGGTTAAAACAAGGTTTTCTCGCTCCCCTTTTGTTTGGGGACCTGGACTGCATGTTCATTATTTATTTAACTTATGAATCACTTAAGGCATTATTAACATCCCGAAGTGATTTGACAAAAAAAAAGGAAACTATAAAAACAATTGTGCCCAATACAGATACAGACTAGGATAAAGCATCTCAACTTGAAAGGCTCTAAGCTCTGGATTTTCCGTATGGAGTAGGAGGTTGGTCTAGATCAACATTTTCCAACCAAGTGTATATGTTCCCTACTACAACTCCCATCAGCTGTACTTGATAGGTCTGGTGGGAATTGCAGTCCAAAACATCGAAAGGGCATCAGCTTAGTGAAGGCTGTACTAGAAGGCATACAAGGCCTTCTCTAGCCCTATGATTAGTGATCAGAACGTCCTAAATTTGTTAAAACTTCTATATTGATTGTAAAAGGAACTCACTTGGATAACTAACAAAACACTCAAATCACTGAGTGACATTCCCCCCATTTCTGTGCATCTCTTCTCTATTTATACATGCAAGTTATGGATGTGCAACTGAAGGAAAATCTCAGTTTTAAAAAACCCACCTAGTCTCACGGAGGAGACTGCATGAACGGGGGTGCGCAGTTCAAGTACCTGTCTCGCTCCATAATACATAGTGTTAGACTTTGTGGCCACAAATTCTGCAGCCATGCATTACTGTTTTGCTTCCAAACACTCAAAATCATCATGATCTCAGTTTGGAAAGTTAACTTTCGGTTACCTTTCTTAAAGTCTCCACTTCAGTAACTATGGCTTAAAACTGTTCTGCCAATGTTAACTACAGGTTTATCTCTTCTGGAGGAAGAGAAATGCCTGCAAACTCAAGATTCACTCTGCCTAATTTCTGCTTCTTCATGTTGCACTAAACCAAGTGCCTACTATTAAGTCACCAAAAGTACTAGAGGATTGTCGGACTCAAAACAGACACTTGAATGCCACTAGATCCCACACTTACCCAAAGAGTTCTCTGGCTGCTGCCAAAATAGTGGATGTTTTTCCAGTTCCAGGTGGGCCATAGAACAAGAGATTGGGAAGCTGCAACAGCAGGAGGTTAAACAATTCTGTCATACAATATTTTGTAAGTGGATATTTTAGAGGAACAAGAAACCTCAGGCGATGTTATCATTGAGTATTTGTTTTACAACACTTACATAGGTGTCTATGCCACAACTCAAGCATGGGACACGATTTTGCAAATAAGAGTTGTGTATAATTGCAGGCATAGATTTTAATCTGATCAATATTTACCGGCCTGTTTCAAATACTATCTTTACGCTTTGGTTTTTTATTTTCAGAATGTTGTAATTGGTAATCCCAAGACAGAAGGGAAAAAGGTGAAACAGATGCTTTAGATAATATTTTAAATACTATACAGGGATGCATATTGAGTTGGACACAGGACAGGTCAATAGATGATTTGGTCAAATATAAATCTAGTGTTCTAATTAATTTAATGCTTTAAAGTAATAACAAAGGGCAATTTAATCATCAACAGGTCTGATAATTATGTTAACTATGAAATGAACTAATTGTGAATAAATGATATTAGGTTGTTTTTTTAAAAAAAAAATGAATTTTAAAAAAATAATGAATTAATGAATTAATGCAAAGGAACAATGCAAAGGAACATTTTCTATTAAAGTCAACAAGAGTTATTCGCTTTGGATTTTGTCACAGAACAGACACAGAAGTATCTTTTGTGTTTTACTTCAACCAATTTCCTTCAGCTTTTTTTTTTTTTTAAGTGACTGTTTATGCCCAATCCCTCAAAGGACCTTTACAGGGGGGGAAATAGGCAGATCACATTGAGGAAGTCCTTCAGCAAGCAAGACTTTTGTCGCAGGGCAAGTCTAGGGGACCAGGAGCCCTCACACACCTGCTGACAAAATGACACTATAATAAAATTGGAATACAGTGAGGGGTAAATTTGCCCGTTTGCCCTCTGACGAAGAAATGACCAGTCCATAATTTTAATGGTAGGTTTATTGTAGCTGTGAGAGACAGAACAACAACAGGAAAACCCCCAGAAGACATAAGTCAGAGATTGATGTGCATTATAATGAGTGAAATAAGTATTTGATCCCCTATCAACCAGCCAGATGTCAGGCTACCTGGTATCTTCACTGTATGTAACGAGCTGAGATTAGAAGCACCTGCTGTAAGGGAGAGGTCTTACCTGTAATCCCAGCTCGTTACAGTACCTGTACAAAAGACACCTGTCCAAAGTAGCCAAAGTCCAAAGAGCTGTCCAAGGATGTCAGGGACAAGATTGTAGACCTGCACAACGCTGGGCTGGGCTACAAGACTATTGCCAAGCAGCTTGGTGAGAAGGTGACAACAGTTGGTGCAATAATTCGCAAATGGAAGAAACACAAAATAACTGTCAACTGGGGTTGATATACAAGCAGAGCTGCACACCAAACAGCCACTATCCTGCTACTTTACTCAACATTTGGTACTTTTACAGAAAACCTACACTTGCCAATCAATGAATGAATACCACAAACTTGAACAGCACATTTAGCTGGCACCTACAGTAAGGTCTGATGAAGGATCTCCTAATCCTTTATCTAACTTAATGGCTGTATTTTTAGCAAAGCTGTAACATGACCAAGCTACGCTATTTCTGACTGTTGCCAATGATGAAGTTATGGTGCCTATAGGTGGCCTATTATCAGCTAAAGATACATGGAAATTTACAACACACAGTGCAAAACACTTTCAAAAGCATGGACATTTCTACATAGAAAACAAGTTAGAATCGTAGGGTTGGAAGGGACCCTGAGGATCATCTAGTCCAACCCCCTGCAATGCAGGAAAATGCAACTGTCCCATATGGGGATCGAACCTGCAACCTTGATGTTATCAGCACCACGCTCTAACCAACTGAGCTATTCTAACAAGATGTAGACTAATTTCAATACATTGGTCAATTGATTACAGTGGTACCTCGGGTTAAGTACTTAATTCGTTCTGGAGGTCCGTTCTTAACCTGAAACCGTTCTTAACCTGAAGCACCACTTTAGCTAATGGGGCCTCCTGCTGCTGCCGCGCCGCAGGAGCACGATTTCTGTTCTCATCCTGAAGCAAAGTTCTTAACCCGAGGTACTATTTCTGGGTTAGCGGAGTCTGTAACCTGAAGCGTATGTAACCTGAAGCGTATGTAACCCGAGGTACCACTGTACTTATTATTTAATGATGGTCAAATATCCCATGTAGTACTCTGAATCATCTTAAAATGAAACTATTCAATACAATGGCCAGGATGCAAATAGCTACTTCAGGTGATAAAGAGACTGGACATGTTCAGGGGCAGATTAAGGTGCCCTGGAGCAGTGCTGACAAGAGATGTCCTGCTTTTTAACATGTGAGATGTTTGTTGTAGTAGAGTTCTTAGAAATGAGCCATGTACAACCCATCATTACTGCCCTGCCCTTCCCCCACAAGTATTAGTAACTAGCCTTAGCACTTGCTATCTCCTCCAAAGAATGCATGAGATGGAGTGGCAATTTAGCTGCAAATTTTAAGACGTTCCAGTGGAAGCATATCTTCTTCAAACTCCAGCTAAACATTCTTACCAAAAGACTAGGTCATCAACTTGGGATAAAACATCCCCTACCACTCTCTGGAAGCCAATTGGATCCATTAAGTAGCGGGGGCGGACCATCCGAATCGGTCCCACCTCCCTGCAGAGGGGAAGGGTCGGGGAGAAGTCCAGTTGCAGCAGGAAGTGATCTGACCATGGCACTTCTTTTGTTTCGCTTTTAGTTAGTGTCAGATCACCAACATCCGTAGAGGTAAACACCAAGTCTAAGGCATGTCCGCGGCTATGAGTTGGGCCAAACTTATTCAGGGACAGCCCCATGGAGGCCATGCTTTCCACGAAGTCCCGAGCGGCCCCTTGTAAGGTCGTGTTGGCATGGATGTTAAAATCCCCCAGGACAACCAAACTAGGTATCTCCAGGAGCATATCCGCCACGACCTGAAGCAGCTCGGGCAGGGAATCCTTGGTGCAGCGGGGAGGTCGGTACACCAAAAGGAATCCTGTACTGCCCCTATTGCCCAACTTCCAGAACATGCACTCAGAAAACTAGGTCTTCCCAATAGGACACCTGGTGCAAACGAATGACTTCCTAAAAATCACTGCAACCCCCCCTCCCCACCCACATGACCTGGGTTGCTGTGAGTAAGAGAAACCTGGTAGGCAAGCAGCAGCAAGGACAGGCGCATCTGCTTCATCCAACCAGGTCTCTGTCACACATGCCAGGTCAAATCCTCCATCCATAATCAGGTCGTGGATGGCAGTGGTTTTATTCATCATTGACCTGGCATTGCACAGCAACACTTTCAGGTCAGGTAATGAACAGCTGGAATGAAAAGATTACAAGAGTAGGAGGAGCCAAGCACTACTGGCCTTTCGTACAAAGCAGATACTGGGAAGAATGATACAAAGGATGCGTATGATTAAGCATGATGCACATTTCCCTAGGAAAGCAAGATCGAGCTCTATGTGAAACATCAGATACAGAAAAAGGGTGATGTTCAGCTAATTTTTTGCTCTAGGGCAAAGGTGGTTCCACCCTCCACACATGCCCTATGCTGTCCCTAAATCTGCTCTGGAGGCTTGAGGGAAACCCCTGAACAGATCATGGGGGCATGCAGAGAGGGGAAAGAACATTTCATTGTGCAAGAGGAAATCCTTGTACTGATGGAAAGCTCATCTTAGCACTAAGTTGAATACAACCAATACAGTGAAGAAGTTTGGGTCTATGTACAAGAGGAACAGACTTCCATTCATGCAACAGGACTTCCCCCTCTTCCCCTCTCCCTTAAGCCCCCCAATTTCTACTCCAGAAGATCCCCCAATCCTTTACAGCAAATTTGAGAACTGTTCAAGGAACTTCAGGGCAGGGGAAGGAGAGGAAGGGGGAAGTCCCATTGCAAGAGCAAGTCCACTTGTACCATGTTCTATTTCACATAGACAAGGCCGGATTTATAATGGTGCCATCACATTAACTGTACCAGATTATTTTTTGTAGTCCTTGAAAGCTTATGCCATAGCCCTTAATATACCACAGTACTTATTTTGTAGTACCTTCATGTGTTCCTTTCAGGGTAAGGGGGAGCCCTATTCGGAAAGGCCCTAATCTCCTCAATCAGGCCTTGCACCCAGACATCCAGCCTTCTACAATTTAAACTGGTAGGTCTGGAGCCTCAGAATTACCTGTCAATCATTCGTCAGAAGTCAATCATCACCACAGAGGTAGAAAAAGGCAGGAGGTAAGGCACTGTGACCTAAGGGTTGGCTTGCTCTGGTTATTTGATGTTTTGCTGAGACAAAAGTGCAATGGGTAACTGGCTGCAAGCAGGTCAATGGAGTGTGAAATGTCTGCATGCAGTGGAGTGCTGGATTTGGCCTGGGAGGGAACCTGAGATGGGGCAAGCGAATTACACTGACCTTTTCTGTGACCCAAAGTACGGGTGTATTTTTGGGCCAGAGAGCCAATCCAGCCACTAACATAAACGACAAGAGAAAGGCCGGGGCGGGGGAGGGGCAGAGTTGTCTTAGCTTCTATTGCCACATTTTAAAGCATGGTTTAACAACCCTAAAAATACACATGAGGTTGTACCTAGCTAAGTTCAATGCGTAGAGGAAATGCATTAAAATTAATGACTGTAAGTTAGTCATGCCTGTTAACTTCAGTGGGTTCGTTCTGAGTAGGACTAGCACTGGATATGCAACCCTGGTTGTTTCAGGGTTTGGTGTTCATTTGCTTCTTTTAGGAAATGCAGAGGGAAGCCTTTGAAGTTTATTTCAGCAGTGGCACTGGGAAAGGGCTGATTAAACTGGGCAGGAGGCGTAGCTCAGCGGCAGAGCAGCACACTGTTCAGTCTCTGGCATCTCCAGAAAGGGCTGAGAAAGATGTCTGTCTGAAGTCCCAGAGAGCTGCAGCAAATCGGTATAGACTGTACCAAGCCAGATGGACCAACGGGACAATGCAGCTTCCTATACCATTCCAGAACCTTCACTTCTGGTTGTTTTTTTGCCATCAAAATCTATTCCCCACAAAAGGAGTCCCAAGAGCATGATACTCCTGGAGACTCACTCAATAAGTTGTCCCATATTACACGTTAACTCTCAACTGTTAAGGATTTATTGTAATTTTTGTTGTTGTTCTGGGAGCTGTTCTGGGAGCATACAGCTGCAGAACGGCCAATAAATTTTATTCTGACTATATAGACACAAAAGTATGATTCATAAGACTACACACAATAATTATCTTCCACTGGAAAAATTAACTTGCATATGCCATGAAGCGCTGGGAGAACTGCAATACTCACGTCAGCTCCTTGTAAGGTTTTCTTCAGTACTGCAACAACTTCCTCTTGAAATGCAACTTCATCCATGCATTTTGGGCGGCTACATAAAAAAAAAGAAATAAAAAACTTTGCATGTATTACTAATATTTTCTGAACAGAAGTAACGATACATGTACCGTAACTTCTCTGTTCCTTTAGATCAATGAGCAAAGCAATTCTCTTTTATGGAAGTTAGTGGTCCACGGATGCAGAGCACAGCTGTCACAGTTGTGTCACCCATCCTGTGGAAATCATCCCAAAGACCTGCTTTTGGCTTCCTTGCTATTTTCACTGCCTGCTGAAAATGATTTTAGGAAAGCTTTTAAATGAATACACTGCAGAGTCTAATAAATTTCTGCTGCTGTCGGCTTTTCTTTTTACAGAGATAAACAAGCAAATAACCCCTCAAATCTGGAGCTTAACAAATATTTCAGTCAAAGCAGCAAGTCTTAATAGCTAATACTCTGATGCAAAAAAATAGACATCTGGCGATGTAGTAGCCAGCCACAGATGAGCAACTTGGCCTGCGTGTGCAAGCAGTGCAACATCAAAGAAGCTGTCAACAAGTTCAGCTTCTACTTTTCCACAGAAAGAACCTCTGCAATCTTCCACAAGCCATTCCTCTGACACTGCATGGCTTATATAGGAGAATTAACTTTGGACTGGCATTCATATAACACTGTCCTGTGAAACAGAGCACCAACACTAGGAGAGGCATAATATAAGTGGAGACATCTAGTGGTTACAGTCATAGTCATTATTTAAAACAGTGGTTTTCAACCAGTGTGCCCTAGCACCCTGGGGTGCCTTGACTGATGGTCAAGGGTGCCGAGGGCAACACTGGCCTCCTCTTTCCTTCCCTTTCTCCTCAGATGCCTTCTCGGGTCTCTGCCTCCCAAAGGCTTGCATGGCTGCTTGTTACAGCAGCCCTGGCTACAAGCTCCCCAGGCGAATGGTGCCTCTGGGCTTGTATGGGGTGCTGGTTGTCAGGAGCTGAGGTGGCCTTGGAGTAAGCAAGCAAGGGAGGGAACCCAGCCAGCCAGTCCACCAGCCCCAGGCACCTCTCTTTGGGGTGGGGGAGCAGCTCAGAGACCATGGGCGGTGGCTGCCCAGAGGACTCCCAATAAGAGGGGAGAGGAGGCTGAGGGAACACTCCACAAGGGAGGGGTGAGGGTCTGCCAGATCTGCAGGCAAGGGGTGACATAACTGAGCCACTGAGCCCCACAGGGGTGCCGCAGAAAGAATGAAATTGGTCAAGGGAGCCATGGACTCAAAGAAAGTTGAAAACCTATGATTTAAAACACCTCCAGTGTAGATGATCACATTCCCCTAGCAATGGGGCTAGGAAATTTTTTATGCCAAAGGCCACATTTCCACATGGACAACCTTCTGGGGGCTGCATGCCAGTGGTGGGTGGGTCAAGAGGAAATAGTGGGCAGATCAACAGATGCAATTCTTTATCTTTGCACAGCAGGCTACATGCCAGCCATACAAGAGTCAATTTCTACACACCCCTTCACTCAGTCAAGCAAGAGGCATTCTTCATCCCTCGCATTCATTTTGGGCAATTACACCACTCATTTAGATTCCAAAGCAGAGTCCAATACTTACTATTTTTCCACCCAAGGAATAGCTCTGACCCTCTTGCCCTCCCCACTGCCTCCTGCAGTGGCAGCTGTTCCCCGATCTTTGGTAGATGGGGGTTTAGTGCTGATTGAAGATGGTCCTTTCAGAAATGCCTGCATTGCTGCTGTTTCTCACCAGTCTGCAAAGGAGGAATGGGAAGGAAATGATGCACATGTGTAATTTGAAAAATTAGTTTTGTAATTTGATAGCTCCACTCATTTCTCAGTTGCATCAATCCTGACACCACTGATAAGTGAAGCAATTATTTTTGTTGAACCATTTCATTTATAAGCAGAAAAGCCTTCAAGCCTATATTTTTTTCTTCTGGTATAAGAACAAAAAGGGTGAAGTCTGCAAGGATACGTTGTCATATGATCAAGAACCAACAAAGTCTTTTTACTCAGAAATGTCATGGCTTCTCTATGCACATCCATGAAACATACACTACAATCTGCAAGCAAGTTGCACAGAAACCCTGATGACAATTACACAACTCCTCCAATGTCTATGCATTCTTCTATACAGTGAACAGTCCTCTATCTGAAGGGCTGTCAGAGAACAGTTTTCTGTTTGAAGTAGTCCCTGGCTTACATCTCCTGTTCAAAGATAAGCAGACTGTATCAAGCTCCCAGTTCTGAGATCTGGAGGGGCGAAGGGATAGCTCAGTCAGTGGAGCATGAAACTCTTAATCTGAGGGTTGTGGGTTCAAATCCCAAGTTGGGTGAAAGATTCCTGCATTGCAGGGAGCTGGATTAGATGATTCTTGTGGTCCCTTCCTACTCTACAATTCTGTGATTCTATCACCCTGCCAGCAGTTCTGCCACTATCTAAAATCCTGCGAGGCAGTCAAGCAAGAGACGGCCTTTTCTGCAGTAGCCACACACACACACACACACACACCATTGTCGATCACTCTCCCTCCAGGAGCATTTGGCCCCATCCCTACATTTATTTAAGGTGCACCTTTTTCGCACAAGCCCCTTTGGGGTGGGACACTACACGGCTTAACTGTAACTAAGCTGCATATAGCCCACCCTGAGACAGCATGGGGGAAGGGCAGACTATAAATACAAATAAGCAAGCAAGCAGCCCTAAGGAAGGGGAGCAGTTGGGGCCTGGAAGCTGCCTGTCAAAAGCAGGTGGGCAGCGACAGCAACCCCCACCCCCACTCCCATTACTGCGGGAGGGTATTTCTATCTCAGTTTGTCCAATATTTCCAAATTTAAACATCAACATACATACATACAATATACAGTGTATATATATGTGTGTGTGTGTGTATACACATACACATATATACACATACATAGTTTTATGCCTATATATCTATAACCTACATATCTATATCTAGCTGTGCGATGATTTTTGTCTCTCTGGTTGGTTGAATGTAAGTCGCTTTGGGCTGCCCTGAGCAGGATAAAGCAACAAAAACAACAACAAGTGTAAGCAACCACCCTCCGCCCACCCCCTCAATGCTCCAGCTACATAATAATAATAATTTATTATTTGTACCCCGCCTATCTGGCTGGGTTTCCCCAGCCACTCTGGGCGGCTTCCAACAGAACACTAAAATGCAATAACCTATTAAACATTAAAAGCTTCCCTAAACAGGGCTATGTTATCTAAGTAAACACAGGGACTCTCGCGGCCCACAAAACACAGCAGTGCCCCGGATCCCTGAAGGGGGTGGGACGGAGGTGGTGGAGGAATAACATCCCTTCTCCCCCCCCCCCCCGCTCGCTCCTTCAAGGGGTTCGCCACCGCGTGCGCGCGCCCCCCTCATTAAAGGCACCTGCGAAGCGGCCGCGCGCACAGATCTCCTCAGGCCTCTTTAGCGCGCAGCTGAAGCGGCCTCCCTTTCCCTTCCCTTCCCCCAGAACTCCCGCCAAAACCGATCGTTTGGGTCAATGGGCGGGACCACTTCCGTGTATATACGTATGTATAAGGGCGCGCTAGCAATACGAACGGACCATAGAGCTCCGACGCGAGATTCCGTTCGCCGAGGGAGGGAAGGTAGGTGGGCGGGGGGAAAGGGAACTGGCGCGTCACGTGCCGCGCCATATATGGAGATGTGGGCCGGCCGTCCCTCGCCGAAAGCGGAGAGGCGAACGTCGTTTGCGAGAGGGAAGCGACGCGCGTGCGCTGAACTGTAAGCTCCTCCCCGTTCTCTGGATAGAGGAGGAGGAGGGAATTGTCCGCGTGAGAAGAGATTTGAGCATGCGCGCACAAAGTATTGCCGACCAGTCCCTGCAGGCGCGGGTCGTGGGGCGCATGCGTGCGCGAGAGTGTGCCTCGAGTATTGAACTTGAGTTTTAGCTGCAGGCAGCGTTTTGTTAGTCATACGGGGCCATTCGTCGCTTATTGGAAACGATGTAGAAATCCAGGCATTTTGAAACGTTCAGGGTTCGCACCCACCACCCCAGTCCTTTTATGTTCATTCACACCAGGGCCGACCCTAGACATTTGGACACCTGAGGAGAACCACAAAATGGTGCCTCACCCTCCCTGTCAGGGAAGAAGGCGTGAGGGAAGATCTGCATGAGGAACAAGAGCAGGGAATAAGGATCTATATTGGAAACAATGGACAAATAAATACCTGCATCATCATCTGCTGTCCCTGTGGATCCTGCTGCCTGAGGCGATCGCCTCATGGGTGGGCCGGCCCTGATTCAGACTAATACTGTGAACTGCGAAAATACCTTTTGGGTGTTTATTTCTTGCCTCCTCTTTTTTAATGAATTTTTATTAAATTTTCACTTTTACAATTTAAAATACTCGTTTTACATCCTTAAAATAACAATCACTTCCTTTCTCTTTCCGTGGTTCATTTTAAGTATCATAAATCCCTGCATATTTTACAAAAACTATGCCATTCAGTATTCCATTATTGCATCCATCAAAACTTGTTTACGTTGCTGAATTTATCTTAACGCTGCTGGCGTTTTCAGCTGTACACAATCACACCAAGGAGGAGGAAAGCAACCAACCACCTCACATGGTTGGCATCCGTCAGTCTCGAGAGACAAAGGAGTGCGCCTCCGGGGGTGGAGGGAGCCAGTGTTAGCAGCATTGAAGTGACCTCCCTGGGGCGCAAGCCTGGGCAGTGTGTTTGGGGGTCCTGGGCTGCCCAGACGACAAGACCCCCCTCTCGTCCTCACTTATTTGGCCCAAAGGAAAGCAGAGCAAGACGTTTAGCACCAGCTTGGCTGCAGGAGTTGCCAGAAAGAGGCATACAAGGCACCATCCAACCTCCTTAGGGACTTAGGGTCTACTGCTCAGCCTTTTCCTCTCCTGAAGATGTCCCACAAGGCAGCAGGTACGGATTTTTCCTTGAGTATAGTTGAAAGGCAGTTGAGGTTTAGGATCAGAGTTTTCCTCCTACAGCATGTGCAGAAACCACCTTCTTGACTATTAGACCTGCTTTTGGTCCTGTCCACTCAATCTGCCAGATCCTGTCTTTGCATGCAGGGAAGTCCCTAACTCACCAAGGATTTGAGACCCACTGGCTACCCTCACCTGGTAGGCCTAGCTGGCCAGTCGAAGCCGTTTCCACAGTGCCATGAGCTGACAGCTTACTGGAGCCACAGGTGAGGGCTGAGTGCAGGATGGGGGACCAAAGGTGGACAAACTACCCCAGAAGGCATGTCCCCCACCAGGGGTACTACCCCTCCCTTAACACCCCAAACATCCCAACATAATTATCCATAATTACCCACAAAGGGCACATTTCTCCATTGCCTCCTGAGACAGATGGTTTCTGTTATGTACTGAGTTGAATAGGATCCAAAAGGCAGCCGTCTGATTGGTCCTAGAACAATAGGATTCAGAATGCAGCGGTCTGATTGGTCCTAGAACAATAGGATCCAGAATGCAGTAGTCTAATTGGTCCACAGGAGCCACCCAATCCAGCTCCAGGTGGAAGGGAATCCGCAACCTGATTGGCCTACAAGAGAATCCCGGAATTAGCCAATCACGTGGGGCCCATTGTGTAAATAATGTATGTAAGGCAGACATTCTGGAGGAACTTCCATTCCTCCTCACCACCATGAGCTGAATAAAGAGCATGAAATCCACTATTGACTCCGAGTATATTTCAGTTTCCAACACAGGCAGTGGGGAAGAAAGTTTGAGGTTAAGGCAACAGATAAGTTGCAAGAGATTGTAACAACCTTGCTAAGTGTGTGTGTTTTAATGCATCTTTGTGGATTGGTTGATTGATTGATTGATTGATTGGTTGGTTGGTTGGTTATTTCTTTGGGTAGCCTTGGGCAAGATAAAGCTATTAACAAATGTAATTATTATTAATGATAATTAATCCATTATGTGGATAAGGTAGGTGGAGGAGCCTCAAGAGAGGCTTGTGATAAATCTCCTTGCACTTTAATTCAGCATTATTTTCAAAGATGGTTACGCACTTTCATTTGTTGTTGGTTTTTTAACTGAATAAACTTCTTTGAGGTGGTGGTGGTTGTTTTTACAATCAAGCGGTGTGTATAATGTTTATTAAATAAATAATCAAACGCCTACATAAATCACGTATCATTGCACATGGAGGTGAGTGACACTGAAAGGAAGTAACACAGAAAGCAGTGTTGCCCCATCTATGTCCACACAGATACATTGTGCTCTTGAGATGGAGATCTCATACATATTGGTTGGCAGGCATAATATGTATTGTTTTCTGCACACAGTTTTTCCAATGTACCAGATTTGCACAAAAGTCAGTAGAGTGGTTGGACCTGCTGAAGTGTCCTCCTGCTCAAGGATGCTGAGGCAAGTCCTGTGACTACCTTTTCCTTCCTTTCAGACAGGCACCAAGCGGTATGGCCAGCTCGCCACTGATAAGAGTCTGTGCAACAGGGACTAGAAAGGGCCCATTACTTTACTGTACAACAAGTATCTATAGATGAAGTCCAACTCTCTCAGCAGATTTGTAGCTATCCTGTTGTCGTGGCCCTGATTGTCATTGTAGAGTCAACAGTGCTTACTTGTACAAGAAGTGCTCCGCTACACGCATTATTGAGCAAAAGCAAAGGCACAAACTGACAATTAAACTAGACGGCAACAGGAGTAATCACTTGGGAGAGGAGCTATACAAGGGCGTACAGCTAACCTGGAGAGGGTCTCTATAGCAACAACAGTTTATTGAAAAGGAAGCTGCAAGGAAGGCAACATACTGAAAATTACATCATTCTACTGGGAAAGGAAAACTATAATTTTGTTTTGGGCAATTTGAAATAAATAGCTTCCTGTTATTGGGCACAGTGGCGGCATCCTCTATTGAATCAGACCAAATCACAACTCAAGGGCAACAAAGGGTCAGCAGTATTTGTGCAGTGTGGCACCTGTCTTTTAAAAAAAACACACAAGAGTTGTTTTCTATACAGTACAAGGAGGGGGATGTTACTTGTACAGAATGGATTGATTATAGACATTTATTTAAAGAAGAAGAAGAAGGAACGGGTTGTGGAAATTCTGGGTGTATAGAATTTCTTCACAGAGTTGAAGGGAAGCTCATTTGCTCTGGCACAATATGCATCTGGCTTTCCGTGAATTATTTCTACACAACAATTTATCACACCCACCCTCCATTTAAAATGAATTTGCAGGGCAATCCTACAGTCTCTGTACACTTGCAGCTTAGGCCTATACAACAGAAAGATGATTCTACGTTCTCCCAGCAGTTGTCAGGGTTGTTTTTGGTGTTTCTTTAAAAAAAACCACAACACTAGAAGGGCTAACCATTTGGCTTCTGTGCCTTAAGTGATAAAATGTATCACCCCAGAATACATGTTAATTATTGCATGTGCAATTAATTACGGTATATTAATTTACAAAGACCTGAACAACTTTTGCCCAGGGTTCCTTAGGAACCACTTAAACCCTTACATCCCGGTTTGATCACTGAGAGCATCTACAGGAGTATCCCTGGCCTCAGGTCTGCAGGCTCCAGAGAGCTGCAGAGCTTGCAGATTCGGCCTCCATGGAGTGCGCCACTCACAGCCTCCTGCCCCTGTCTTCTGAAACCATCACTGCACACCTGCCATGCATCCATCCCCAGAAACGCAGCAGAGGATGCAGAAGATGGCATTTTCTGTTTGGCCCCAGCAGCAAAAACGTCCAGGGCCAGCCTTGCTCCCTTGAATTGGCAATGCTCATTTGGTGTAATTCACTTATCTGAGTCTTTCTGTGCATGTTTTATGATGGAGGAGACTTCAAAGTATGCTGCTAGGTGGAATTCTGATTACCGTAAATACTCTATCCAGCTAATGGTTCATCTCCCATCCCTTAACCACAAATTCATGCTATAAACTTTGAAGCAAATGCAAAAGCAAAGGTATAGTTCAGGCCCCTTGTCTGTATTTCTGTACTCTCAGGAAATACCATAGCTCTGAGGTATCTCCAGCTTCAAAGTCAGGAACAATACAAAAGGTGGTAGTGGTTATTTTATTTAAAGGAATGCATCTCAATAAAGAGTAGGGAAGGAGAAATTCTATTCAGTTTGCACTTAAAGGAGAATCTACCCAGTTTACATAGGAATTGAAACACAGCCATCCTTTTCAATTTGCACTTCTCTGGAATTTTGCAATGCAGTTCACCAAGGTAGGAAACACCCAGGTGTTTACCAGGGTTAAGTGTGGATGCATTAGTAAAAATAACATGCATGTTATTTTTACTAATGCATGCATAGTATTAGGCGGAAATGCTTTGCAAAAAATAATGTGTATATTAGGCCAAATTGCATGTTGTTGTTTAGTCATGCCCGACTCTTCGTGACCCCATGGACCAGAGCACGCCAGGCATTCCTGTCTTCCACTGCCTCTCGCAGTTTGGTCAAAATCATGTTCGTAGCTTCGAGAACACTGTCCAACCATCTTGTCCTCTGTCATCCCCTTCTACTTGTGCCCTCCATCTTTCCCAACATCAGGGTCTTTTCCAGGGAGTCTTCTCTTCTCATGAGGTGGCCAAAGTATTGGAGCCTCAGCTTTATGATCTGTCC